CCTGCTTGCCTGATCAAGGTGCTGTACCCGAAGAAGGCTGGGGTCTCATGGGAAAAGGCAGCCCCGCTGCTGTAATTCAGCGCTGGGAGGATTGCAGCATGCGGGGGAGTCCCACGCCGGAGCAGCTCGGGAAGGGCTGCAGCCGTGGGAGGGAATCCAGTCAGAGGAAGTTAGTGACCCATGACGGAGCAGTGTGGGGAACGCTGCGGCCCGTGGGAGGGACTCATGTCAGAGAAAGTTTGTGGAGGACTGTCTCCTGTGAGAGGGGGACCACAATGGAGCAGGAGGAACAAGTTCCGGACACTCCCCTCACCGAAGATGAAGGAAGTGGCAGCTCTGACTGCACCCCCCATTCCCTGCCCCTGCGCCCCTGGGGGAGGAGGTAGAGATATCGGGAGCAGAGCTGAGCCCGGGAAGAAGGGAGGGGAGGGGGGAAGGTGTTCTCAAGATGTGGCAATGCTTCTCACTGTCCTACTCTGTTATGTGTTGTTAGTGTCTGTAATAAATGTATGTTCTTTTTTCCTTCCCCTAACGAGTCTGCCTTTTGCTCGTGACCATAAAAGGGGGATTTTCCCCCATCCCAGTCCTATCTCGAACCCCAAGCCTGGCTCTCTGTCCCTTCTCATTGCCAGAGGGGAAGGGAGAGAGAGGTGGTGCATTGTGGTTGGCTGCCAACCAGGCCTAAACCACGACACTATGACCTTCATGGAGGTGGCCGTGTCTTCCACCAAGGAGCAACAGGCACCGAGGACTCTCTACGTGGACATCACGCTGGAGAACTATGAGACCGTGATGTCTCCGGGCAAGGAGTCCTCTCCCTTCCAGAGCTGGAGGCAAAAGCTCCCAATGCTTCAGCTCACGGCCTTTACGTTGCAGGTGCTCAATTTTCAGATGGTTTGAGCTCTGCGGCACTCAGAGGTGAGGCAGCTCATCTCTTTGATGCTCCTCCTGGAGGAACGTTGAGGAAAAGCCCTTTTTTTCTTCCCTTCTGTGTAATTTTCCAGTGGATGGAAAGACCTGTCTCTCCCGTAGGGATCTTCTCCCTTTTCTTGGATGAGCTCCATCCCGACGATTGCTTTTGGGCCAACGTTTGAGGTTTGCCCTCCTTGGGGGGAGGTCTGGGATGACTGGACCACTGTCCTTCCCACCCCATGTCCCTCAGGGAGTTCCCATGTCTTTAACTTTGCAAATACTCTGCAGTTCTCAAGCCCCTCGTGCCGCCATCTCCCAATTTCACCCTCTGGAACGGGGTTTTTCCCTACAGCCAACCCAGACGCAAGAACCAGGAGAGTGCTGGGGCCCTGATCTTCAAGTAACGGAGCAAAAAGAAGCCCCAAGCAGCAGAGTCCCTGGACACGGGGTTTAATTACACCCCCCGGGGAAGAGAAACCTTTCAAGTGCCCCAAGAATGGGAAGAGCTTCATGATGTTGAGGGTGGGTCAATGGAGGAAACGTTGATTGGGTCAATGGAGGAAACGTTGATTGGGTCAATGGAGGAAACGTTGATTGGGTCAGTGGAGAAAACGTTGATTGGGTCAATGGAGGAAACGTTGATTGGGTCAATGGAGGAAACGTTGATTGGGTCAATGGTGGAAACGTTGATTGGGTCAATGGAGGAAACGTTGATTGGGTCAATGGAGGAAACGTTGATTGGGTCAATGGTGGAAACGTTGATTGGGTCAGTGGAGGAAACGTTGATTGGGTCAATGGAGGAAACGTTGATTGGGTCAATGGAGGAAACGTTGATTGGGTCAGTGGAGGAAACGTTGATTGGGTCAATGGAGAAAACTGCCTTTTTCCTTGCCTCTTTTCCATGTTTCGAGATTAAAAGCAGACCGTGCATCAGCAGGGACCCCGTTCCTCTTGCACCAAAGAAGCAAAGTGCGTATTGCCTCTTCCTCACCTTTGACTCCCCGCTTCTCCATGATTCTTATCAAAATACGTAAAATAGACCTTTCCTCTGCAGAAATCTGCGCCCCCGTGTCAGTCCCCAGCTGCTCACCTTCTCCCAGGTGCCTTCGGTTGCCGTCCGGACTTTTCGGCTCAATCTCTGCCGACCGTAGAGTTCAGCTGGGCTCCGCTCCCGCCGCTCGGCACCCGCGGTCCTCGCTTTGTCCCGAATCCCGTCGTTTCGTCCCAAATCACGTCAGTTTGTCCCAAATCACATCAGTTTGTCCCAAATCACGTCAGTTTGTCCCAAATCCCGTTGTTTCGTCCCAAATCACATCAGTTTGTGCCAAATCACGTTGTATCGTCCCAAATCAAGTCGTTTCGTCCCAAATCATGTCGTTTTGTCCCAAATCACATCAGTTTCTCCCAAATCACATCAGTTTGTGCCAAATCACACCGTTTTGTCCCAAATCACATCATTTCATCCCAAATCACATCCGTTTGTGCCAAATCACATCGTTTTGTCCAAAATCACATCAGTTTGTGCCAAATCTCGTCGTTTCGTCCTGAATCATGTCGTTTCGTCTCAAATCACATCGCTTTGTCTCAAATCACATCAGTTTGTGCCAAATCACATCGTTTCATCCCAAATCTCGTCGTTTTGTCCCAAATCACATCAGTTTGTCCCAAATCACCTCAGTTTGTCCCAAATCACATCGTTTCGTCTCAAATCACATCGCTTTGTCTCAAATCACATCAGTTTGTGCCAAATCACATCAGTTTGTGTCAAATCACACCGTTTCGTCCCGAATCACGTCGTTTCGTCCCAAATCACGTCGGGGTCACCAGTTGTAGCAGCCAGAGTATCGAGTCAGAGGGTTCTTTTTTATTTCTTTACGCAGGCAGACCCCCCCTTCGCCGTCCTTTCAGCTATTTTATGTTTTCTTACCATGAGCGCGCCGGTTACAGCTTTTCCGTTGGCTCTAGTGTCCTGTTCACTCGCCTAAGCCAATACACCGATTTTCTTTAGTCCGCAGGCCCCAATTGAGGCACTGCCGTCCTCTCTTTCTGCTTTCCTATTTCCCTTTTTTTTCAGGATAGTTCCTCTCAGCTGTTTACATTTTTCTCTCCAGGCAGAGCTGCGTCTCATCAAGCTCGGAGCCGCCCGTGGCCCAGCCGAGACACGAGTCCACACGCGGGTGGTGCTCCGGCACCCCCATCCCCTCCGGAGGGTATTAACGAAATGGGGAAAAAAAAAAAAAAAAAAAAAAAAAATTAAAAATAAATAAATTTAAAAATAATAACAAAAATAAAAAGCCCTGAATCCCATCCGGGGGGGGGCGGCTCTGGAGGCTCCTGCCCCGCCTGCCCGCCCCCCCCCCAGTTTCAGGCTGTGTCCCCCTCCCCTCCGTCCTCCCCCCCCCCCCCCCCCCGGGTTTTCCTTCCGCGCATCCCCCGCGGTCGGTGCGCAGGAAGGGGCGGGAGCAGCGCGGAGCTGCCGGAGGTGTGGGGGGGGGGGGGGGCACCGCTGCAGGTAAAGCGGGGGGGGGACACACACATACACACACACACAAGCGAGGGGGAGGAGCGGGGGGCGGCCCCGGGAGCGCGGAAGGGGACGGGAGCGGGGGGGGGGGGGCGGCACCGGAGGCGGCCGGGGGTAGGATGGGGGGGGGGGGGCGGGGGGTTACGCGGGTGGATGCGGAGTTGGGGGATTAGGGGGGGGGAGGGGGCAGCACCGGGACCGTCGGGGAAGGGGGTGGGGGGAGCAAGAATCGGGGGGAGCGACCGGGGGGGGGGGGGAAGGCGGGGGGGAGCGGCGGAGGTGGCCGCGGGGAGGTGCGGGGGTAACGCGGGGGGGGGGGGGGGGGATGCGGAGGGACGGCGGCGGGGGGGGGGGCACTGGGGGGGAACCGGGGACGGGACCGTGGGAGGAGCGGGGGGGGGCACTGGGGGGGGAGCCCGGGGGAGAAGGAGCCGGGGACGGGACTGGGGGGGGGCACCGGGGGAACATTGAGGGGGGGCACCGGGACCGGGGGGGCACCGAAACCAAGGAAGGGTGAACGGGGATGGCAGCGGGGGGGGGGGCAGCCCCGGGGGTCGGGGGGTTGCGGGTGGGGGGGGGGCTCTGCCCACGGTACCCGGGCGCTGGCTGCCAGCGGGTGACACTGGGGATGCGGGGAGGCGAGGGGGGGGGTGGGGGGGGCGGGGATGTGTGAGGGTTTTGGGGGGGGGGGGTGGTGGTGGTGGGGGTGTCTCTTCTGATCCCACCCCCTGGAGCAGGGGCCCCCCCCATTCCCGAAGCTGCCCGGGATGGAGCGAGCCGCAGAGCTGCCGGACCCCCAAGGGGGGCGAGACGGGGAGACCCCGGGAGACCCCCTTGCAGGTGAGGACCTTGTGCCGGTGGAATGACCCCCCCCACCCCAAACTCAAGCGACGGAGGGCGAGGGAGAAGGGGGGCTCATCCCCCCCCCCCCCCCCCCAAGAACCCAGCCCTCTCTTGCAACCCCGCAGCCGGTTGCGGAGGAGCGGAGGAAGAGCCGGACCCCCGGCGAGAAATCCCGGAGCGACTGGGGGGTGGTGGGGAAGAAAATGCTTCGGACCCCCCCGCCGCGAGCGAGAGGGGGCCGGGAGGGGCTAAAACCCTCCCTCGTGGCAAAAACGTGAAGGTCCTCAAGGCATCGGGAGGGCGATGCAAAGTAGCCGCCGGAGGGAAGACGTACGTGTGCGACGCGTGTGGCCGGAGCTTCGGGCAGAGCTCCAACCTCGCCGTCCACCGGCGGATCCACACCGGCGAGAAGCCGTACCGGTGCCCCCAGTGTGGGAAGGGCTTCAGGCAGAGCTCCAACCTCCTGGTCCACCAGAAAACCCACACGGGAGAGAAGTTCTACGAGTGCCCCAAGTGCCAGAAGAGCTTCCCGGATCGGGCGTTGCTCCTCGGGCACGGGGGGGTCCACGCTGGAGAAAAACCTTTCGAATGCCAGCAGTGCGGGAGGGGCTTCACGCACCGGGCGAGGCTCCTGGTCCATGAGAAGGTGCGCGTTGGAGGAGAGCTCCACGCGTGTCCCGAGTGTGGGAGATGCTTCGGGGAGAAACCCAAGTTCCTCCGGCGGCGGCGGCGGCACGGCGGGGAACGTCGCTGCAAGTGCTACGAGTGCGGGGAGGAGTTTGGGCAGAGCTCGGCCCTCAACCTCCACCAGAAGGTCCACGTGGAGGAGAAGCTCTACCAGTGCTCGACGTGCGAGAAGTGCTTCAAGGACCGGTCCACGCTCATCAGGCACGAGAGGGTGCACACGGGGGAGAAGCCCTACAAGTGCCACGAGTGCGGGAAGAGGTTCACCCGCAGCTCGGACATCATCGTCCACCAGCGGACGCACACGGGGGAGAAACCCTTCGAGTGCCCCGAGTGCGGGAAGAGCTTCAGCCACGGCTCCAACCTTTTCCGGCACCAACGGATGCACACGGGGGAGAAGCCCTACGAGTGCCCCGAGTGCGGGAAGAGCTTCGGGCAGAGCTCGGAGCTCATCGTCCACCAGCGGACCCACACCGGGGAGAAGCCCTACCACTGCGCCGAGTGCGGGAAGTTCTTCCGCGGGAGGTCAACCCTCTTCAGGCACGAGCGGCTGCACACCGGGGAGAAACCCTACGGGTGCGGCGAGTGCGGGAAGAGCTTCGGGCAGAGCGGGGACCTCGTCGCCCACCGGCGCTTCCACACGGGCGAGAAGCCCTACCGGTGCCCCCAGTGCGGGAAGTCCTTCAGCAACAGATCCAGCCTGGTGCGGCACCAGCGGCTCCACGCGGGCGAGAAGCCCTACAAGTGTCACGAGTGCGGGAGGAGCTTCGGGCAGAGCTCGGACCTCCTCGCCCACCGGCGGACCCACACCGGGGAGAAGCCCTACCCCTGCGCCGAGTGCGGGAAGAGCTTCGGCAGGAGGTCCAACCTCGTGGTTCATCAACGGGCCCACGGAGGGATGCGCGAGTGCCGGAATTGCGGGAGGAGCTTCCGGCCCAACTCGCGTCTGGGGGTGGCGGTGGGGAAGGGCCCCCCCCAGTGCCCCCAGTGCGCAGAGGGTTCCCAGGACGGGGGCGGGGGAAGGGGGAAGGGGGGTGGGTTCGACCCCGCCGAACGCCAGAGATGACACTGGGTTCGTCAGAACCGGGGCTGGGGACGGAGTTTTGGAGAGAGTCGAGACGCTCAACGTGAAAGAAAAAAAAAAAATAAATAAATCAGCGCTTCTAGATAAAATTCTTCAGTTTGAAAGACTGAAAAACTGGGGAAAAAAAAAAACCCAACCCACCCCATGCTAATGATCTAAAGTAGGCTGATGGTAAATAATATACTTCTTTTTTTTACATTTTTTTTGCTGGTAATTCCCTCTTCTTATTGAGTTTCCTCAAAGGGCTTGATGGGTTGGCCCACGTTCCACTTGCTCCCGTTGCTCCCCAGTCGCCCCAGCTGCTGTTTCGGGCTGGTCATCGCTCCACCGTCTGTCCTTAAGGCCCTTCCTTAAATCCTTCGGCCTTTTCCAGGCTGGGTAGTCCCCCCAGCACCCCGAAGATATTCTAGAAATCTGCCTCCCCCTGCACACCCTTCCCTCCCCCTTGGCTGTATGCAACCTCAATAAAAAAAGGCCCTCTGCTCCCCAGGAATTTCACAGGGTTTTTTGTATTTTTCTGCTAGCTAAATGGTGATATATTTATTTTTTATTTGCTCCTGCGGGGCAAGGAGAAGTTACTGCTGTTAAAAAGCGAAGATAAAGCACCTCTGAGATGGGACCTTGGGGTGCAACCGTCCCCTAAACCTCCCGGAGTGGAGATAAACAGTGATTCTTTCTCTCCAGGCTGCAAAACCCCCATAAAAAGCTAGACACATTCCCACCCCCCCCCCCCCAAAAAAAAAAAAAAATCAACAAAAAAAAACCCACCCTGGAAAGGATTTAATTTTTTGGCAACTTTTCCCAGCTCTGGGCTGGGTGCTGAGCATCCCAGGACTGGGGCTGGATCCGTCCCCCAGTTCCCCCAGTCCTGCCTTGGGCCGTCTCCACTGCTCCCAGCGTGGACCCCCCCCTCCCAGGGTCATGGGGGGGTTGGTGACCTCCCCCCCCCAACTTGGGATGGCGCGTGGCCTTAGTGGGGCCCCCACATCCCTCCTTGTTGACCCTCTTGCCATCATGGAGCACCCCCGAGGGGACCCACCCCATGGTGACATCACTAGGACGTCAACGCATCGCTCGGACCACCCACCCCCCCCACCCCCCAAATCCTTCAAGCCCACCGTGGGGCCACCAGCCCCATCTCAACCCCCGATGTCCCCCACCATGAGCCACCCACCCGGCTTGTCCCCCACCACGTGGGCCCCTCAAAACCAGCAGGATGTTGGAGCTGCTGGGTGCCCCACCAAGCCACCAAGGCGGAGGGGGGGGAACCGTCCCACCCCGGGGGGGTGTGGAGATGTAGGTGGGGATCCCCTAATTTTGGGCACAGAAATGAAAATTTTGGCCGTTCATCCCACCCGTGGCACGAGCGACCGGCTTCCCGCCAGCAGCAATGATGACCCAGCAAAGGAGAAAAAAAAAAATGGGTTATTTATTGAAAATTTGATATAAATAGCCTCCGATGGTTTCCCTCTGGGTCACTGAGCCTTTCGAGTCACTCTCCTTTTACCAAAATCTTGTGGTTTCCCCTTGAATCGGGTGGGGTGGATGCCCTTGCCCCTCTCCAATATCCACAGTGGGGAGCTTGCGATTCTTCTCCACCCTTAAAAACTTCTACATCTTCTGGAAGGAAATGCTCCTTCCTTTAATATTCCACCAGCAATATAAAATTTCCTTCCATTTTTATCGTGTCTGCAAATTTCTAATAGGAAAATAAAAAATCTCCTTAGGAACAACCAGCTTGTTTTTTTTTTTTTAAGTCGAGGTTTAATGCGTCAAGGCGGGACGTGCGCTGGCTACCTCTAATCTGACCTTAAAAAATAAAACAGCAAGATGTTGGAAAAAAGGGGTTCTGGGGGGCTGGGAGGGCTCTCACCGCGGAGCCAACGCTGGGGCTGAAGCTCTTGGAGGAGCAAATTGACGACGATGAAACGTTCTACGCACTAACAAGAGGACTTGGGGGGAATTCGGCCTGTTCCAGCACGCGCGGGTGCCGTCAACGCTTTCCTGCCCCCGAGGAGCCCCCGCTACACAAAAAAGGTCAAATCTCGCACGGGGGATGTCCCACGCTGCTCCTCTTCCTTTCTGGCTTGCGTGAGCTTGGTACCAAGCCAGGCCAAGCCAAGGTAGGCCAAGCCAAGCCAGGCCAAGCCAAGGTAGGCCAAGCCAAGCCAAGCCAGGCCAAGGTAGGCCAAGCCAAGCCAAGCCAGGCCAAGCCAAGGTAGGCCAAGTCAGGCCAAGCCAAGCCAGGCCAAGTCAGGCCAAGCCAAGCCAAGCGAAGCCAAGCGAAGCCAAGCGAAGCCAAGCCAAGGCAGGCCAAGCCAAGCCAAGCCAGGCCAAGCCAAGCCAAGCCAAGCCAAGCCAAGCCAAGGTAGGCCAATCCAAGCCAAGCCAAGGTAGGCCAAGCCAAGCCAAGCCAAGGTAGGCCAAGCCAAGCCAAGCCAAGTCAGGCCAAGTGAAGCCAAGCCAAGCCAAGCCAGGCCAAACCAAGCCAGGCCAAGCCAAGCCAAGGTAGGCCAATCCAAGCCAAGCCAAGGTAGGCCAAGCCAAGCCAAGCCAAGGTAGGCCAAGCCAAGCCAAGCCAAGTCAGGCCAAGTGAAGCCAAGCCAAGTCAGGCCAAGCCAAGCCAAGTCAGGCCAAGCCAACCCAAGTCAGGCCAAGCCAAGCCAATCCAGGCCAAGCTGTTTCTCCTCTTCCAGGCCCCCGGAAGGTTTTTTCTTTTCTGTGTCACCTCTGCTGGTCAAGGAGGCTTGATGCCTCCTCGAGGGGCTTTGCACACTCGGGGCACGGGGACGAGCCCTCTCCCATGCTCATGCTCCCAGGAGTCTCGGCGCCAGAGTCTTCCTCCAAGCTCGTCCCACGTTTTGAGCGTTCTCCAGTTCTCCGTCCTCTGTGTCCCCGCTGATGGACGATGAGGCTGGATTTCCTGGTGAACCTTTTCCCGCACTCGGCGCAGGGGTAGGGCTTCTCCCCGGTGTGGGTCCGCTGGTGGGCGATGAGGTCCGAGCTCTGCCCGAAGCTCTTCCCGCACTCGTGACACTTGTAGGGCTTCTCGCCCGAATGCCACTTCTGGTGTTTAACCAGGCTGGATTTATTGCAGAAGAACTTCCCGCACTGGGGGCACCGGTAGGGCTTCTCGCCCGTGTGGAAGCGCTGGTGGGTGACGAGGTCCCCGCTCTGCCCGAAGCTCTTCCCGCACTCGCCGCACTCGTAGGGTTTCTCCCCGGTGTGCAGCCGCTCGTGCCTGAAGAGGCCGTACCTCCCCCGGAAGGATTTTTCGCACTGGGAGCACTGGTAGGGCTTCTCCTCGGTGTGGGTCCGCTGGTGGATGGTGAGCTCGGATCTCCGGGCGAAGGTTTTCCCGCACTCGTGGCAGGCGAAGGGCTTCTCCCCGGTGTGTACGAGCTGGTGGGTGAAGAGGTTGGAGCGTTGGCTGAAGCTCTTCCCGCACTCGGGGCACTCGAAGGGTTTCTCCCCCGTGTGCGTCCGCTGGTGGACGATGATGTCCGAGCTGCGGGTGAACCTCTTCCCGCACTCGTGGCACTTGTAGGGCTTCTCCCCCGTGTGCACCCTCTCGTGCCTGATGAGCGTGGACCGGTCCTTGAAGCACTTCTCGCACGTCGAGCACTGGTAGGGTTTTTCCACCATGTGGCTTTTCCGGTGGCAGCTCAGGGCCGAGCTCTGCCCAAACTCCTCCCCGCACTCCCGGCACTGAAAAGTTTTGATTCCTCTGTGCAACCGCTGGTGGCAAATGAGCTCCGACCTGTCCTGGAAGCATTTTTTGCAGTGGGAACATTGGTAGAGGCTTTCTTCTGCCGAGAGCTGCCCATCCCCTTGGCCACGGGGGATTTTGTCCGTCTGCTCCACCCCCGGGCATCCCTCCAGCCCCCGCTTGCTCTCCCAAACTCCCCCGTGGTTTTCCAAATTCCCTTTGGATTTTACCCCCGTTTCGGCTCCCTCGGGACACCCCCGCTCTGCGCCGCGTCCTCCGTCCTCCCTCCGTGTCCCGTCTCCTGCAGGGTCAGATAGAGATTGAGTCAAGTTTTTTTCTTTTTTTTTTCTTTTTTTTTTTATTTTTTTTTTCCTTTTTTTCTTTTATTTCTTTTTTTTTTCTTTTTATTTCATTTTTTTCTTTTTTTATCCTTTTTTTTTCTTTTTTCTTTTTTTTCTATTTTTTTTTTTTCCTTTTTTTTCTTTTTTTTTCCTTTTTTTTTTTTTTTTTCACCCCGGGGACGGGACCGTACCCCACACACGTCGCCCAGCGACCCGCCGCGGAGTCACGGATGATCCCCCCTGGAGGGACGATGCCCAAACGACCACCCCACCCCTACGCTCCTCACCCGTTGACGGGGTGAAACCCCCCCAAACAAAATTTCTCACCTGGGAGGATGCGCCCAGGGCCGCCCGTCTCCTCTCTCCCCGGGGAACCAGGCACCACCATCTCTCCCCCTTCTTCCATCCGGAGGCTGTTTTGGGGCTGGAAACCCTTGTTTTGTGGGGGGGATGGATGGCAGCTGGGACACCCCCCTCTTCCCCAGGGGGTGGGGGGGGGATTATTTTCCGTCTCCTTCCACCCAAAATCCTTCAGCCCCCCCGCCACGCCGCTGAGCGACTCTTTTTCCTCGGGGCGAGCGATGCTGTGGGTCGCTGGGGGGATGCGGCCCTGTGCGTGTGTGTGTGCGTGTGTCCCCCCCCGTGCCCCCCGACGCTACCGGGGGTCCCCGGGATGTTTTTCCCGCGGCGGCCGCAGCCGCTCAGCGTTGCTGGTCGGGTTTTCTGTGTGGAGGCACAGGAAAAAGCCAGGGGGGAGGCGGGGGGGGGACACACACACTGTTCCGGCCGTGCTGAGGCTCTTTGGGAGATGCTTGGCCGCAGGCGGGCGAGGGACTGGCAAGATGCACTCCTGCTGTGAAAAAAAAAAGAAAAAAAAAAAAGAAAAAAAGGAAAAATTATGATAAAAGAAAAAAAAAAATATAAAAAATTAATTGAAGGCAGAGAAGGGATGGAAACACGGTAACGGTTTCTCGCTGCGGCGTGGGGTGAGGCGAGAGGCTTGTGACAGGGTTTTTGTTTTTTTTTTTTTTTTATTCGGACACCAATCTGGCTGGAAATGGGGCGGGGGGATTTTTTTAACCCAGCACGGGCTGGAGTGTCGTGTCCCCCCTGACTTTTTGCGTAGAATCCGTGGGGTTGGAAAACCCTTTTAAGCTCCTCGAGTCCGACCGTGAACGTGACGCTGCCAAATCCACCATAATTAAAAAATGGGGGGGGGGTTCGTTCTGCCCCCTGGCCCCGTCTTCCAGCTCAGGGGGGGCCGGGTACCCCGAGAATAATTAGTCTTTCTATTAAAGGGTGAGGCAAAGGTGACATTAAGTACCTCAGCCTTTTTCTCAGCCCCCCGATGCTCCCCCCCAATCCGATAAAGGATGGAGTTTCCCCTCAGCCCTTCTTTTGTTGTTAATATATTTATAGAATTTTTTTTTTTTATTGCCTTTTACAGCAGCAGCCGCACCACGCTGTAGCTGGGCTTTGGCCCTTCTGATTTTCTCCCTGTGCAGCCTCGCGACATCTCGGAGCCCTCCTGAGCAGCCTGGCCCTTCTTCCAAGGGTCAGAAACTCACTTTTTTGGCCCCAAATTCCAGCCTGAGCCAGGCTCCTTCCCCGCCGGCTCGTCCTTTGGCGCCGTGATGAGCATCCAACCTTCCAGGGCTCCTCTGAGCTTTGGGATGGTCTTCTGGGGGATAAAATGGGGGGGGGGGGGGTGTCCATGTGTTGGGGCACCCCAGAGGTGCCCTGTCCCTTTGGGGACCTGGGCAGGACGTGTCCCCGCTGTCCCCAACATCTCACCCTCATCCATCCCTAAAAAAAGGGGTGCGGGGGGGGGGGGGGGGGGCGAGGGGCTGTACCCATAGCAGGGCGTGGGTAGCGGGGTACGGGGGGGGTTGTACCCCGCTCTGGGTTGTACCCCAAATTGGGGAGGGGCACCAGGAGTGAGCCCGTCCCTACCCCGAGGGGTTTGGGGGGAGCCTGTAGGTAACCCTGGGGGGGGGGGGGGGCAGAAGGAGAAGGGGGGGGCTGAGGATAAGCAGGGGGGACTGTACCCAGCCCTGGGTAGCCCAGATCCCGCCCCCCCCCCCCCCCCCAGCTCCCCCCTCTGCTGTTCAATCCCAAACCCTCATCATCATCATCATCATCATCATCATCATCTTTGATCAATATTGCGAAATATCGATTTAAACTAGCCCCAGGCTGGGCAGATCCTCCCATGTTCAGGGGCTTCCTCTCCTTCCCCCCCCCCCCCGCCACAAAAACCCCTTCGCACGAGAAGCCAGACCCCCCAAATCAACCAAGGGCTGCAGCGCCGCCCCCCCCCATCTTGTGTGAAAAAACCTCGGGGTTGCTCAGAAAAGGATTGTGGGGGGGCGGGAGGAGGCTGGACGGGGGGGGGGCAGCCCCGGCACATTGAGGGGGCTGGCAAAGTTTGGGGGTGCCCAGAAGGAAAACAAGGGGGGTGCTGAAGGCCGAGTGCCCCCACCTCTGACACCGCCCCCCCCAGCTCCTGCTCCCTCCACGGCTCCAGCCCTGCTGCAAATCCCCTTTGGGGAGGGGGATAAAAGGCCCCCCCAGACCCCCACGGTTGGAAATCACGGGCACCCGCAAACTTCCATTGAGCCAGATCCCGGGCAGGACGCGCTGCCTACAAGAGAGAGAAGAGCTGCTCAGCACCAAGAAAATAGCCAAAACCTCCAATCTCACCCCAAAAACGGAGCCTGCGGTGCCGCTGAGCAGCCCCCGGCCCCCCCCCCCCCCCCGCCCCTCACTGCCCCTCTGCTCCCTGGGCTCGGTGATCTGACTCGGGCGGGAGCCCAGGGAGTCGTCGAGGTTCCGTGATCCCCTCGGGTTAAATTATGGGGAGACAACCAGGTAAAATGTTTAACTTGTGGTAGAAAGAAGTTAAACGTGGAAATGGAGAGTAAGCGGTGGGGTCTCTTCTTGATGAGTCGAGAAGCAAGAAAAGAAAGGAAAGAAAAGGAAAGAGAGGGAGATAAAGAGTCAGAGGATGCGGGTCACCACCCCAGGTCCCAGCGCTGTCCCAGCTCCGGTCCCCTCGGGGTGGGGGCGCCCCCAGCAACGTCCTCTGTCGCGTTTTAAGTTCATTTTATCAGCTGATTTGCATAGCAGACCAAGCAAGGCAGGTCCTGGGCCCCCCAGGGTTACCTACGGGCTCCCCAAAACCCCGCGGGGTGGGGACGGGCTCAACCCCGGTGCCCCCGCCCAATTTGGGTTACAGCCCCCCCGGCCCCCCGGAGCTGGGTAGGACCCTCCCCAGACCCCGGGACCCACACCCTGCTACGGGGACAGCCCCTCGCACCCCCCTGCGCCCCTTCCTTTGGGGCTGGATGAGGGGGTGTGAAGAGAGACGACTTTTATCTTCGCCGAAACAGGGGCTGAGAATAAACAGCCTGAGAAAGAGATAAAGGGGGGGGCCCGGCCGGTTTTGCTGCAGCCTCAGGGCCATCGCGCCTGCGAGTGACTTTTCCCTCATTATCCGCAAAATGCATGTTAAGGTCGACACCCCTGCATATGCCAACGAAGATTAACAGGAGCGTGGGCGTTACATCATCCCACCAAGCGCTTTACACCTCCCCATACATGCGGGACGTGGGGAGAGCTGGGGTAGGGACGCAAGGAAAGCGTGTATAAATGGAGTGGGGGTGAGGAGTGAAAAAGAAAACCAAAACCCCACGGAAGAGGTAGAAAGAAGAAAGGAGGAGGTGAAGAAGTGAAGGAGACGGCGGCATCCCTGCCAAACTCGGACGGGACCGACGCAGCCCCAGGGCCGGTGATCTCTATTTCTCCTCTTCTCTTCTCTTCTCTTCTCTTCTCTTCTCTTCTCTTCTCTTCTCTTCTCTTCTCTTCTCTTCTCTTCTCTTCTCTTCTCTTCTCTTCTCTTCTCTTCTCTTCTCTTCTCTTCTCTTCTCTTCTCTTCTCTTCTCTTCTCTTCTCTTCTCTTCTCTTCTCTTCTCTTCTCTTCTCTTCTCTTCTCTTCTCTTCTCTTCTCTTCTCTTCTCTTCTCTTCTCTTCTCTTCTCTTCTCTTCTCTTCTCTTCTCTTCTCTTCTCTTCTCTTCTCTTCTCTTCTCTTCTCTTCTCTTCTCTTCTCTTCTCTTCTCTTCTCTTCTCTTCTCTTCTCTTCTCTTCTCTTCTCTTCTCTTCTCTTCTCTTCTCTTCTCTTCTCTTCTCTTCTCTTCTCTTCTCTTCTCTTCTCTTCTCTTCTCTTCTCTTCTCTTCTCTTCTCTTCTCTTCTCTTCTCTTCTCTTCTCTTCTCTTCTCTTCTCTTCTCTTCTCTTCTCTTCTCTTCTCTTCTCTTCTCTTCTCTTCTCTTCTCTTCTCTTCTCTTCTCTTCTCTTCTCTTCTCTTCTCTTCTCTTCTCTTCTCTTCTCTTCTCTTCTCTTCTCTTCTCTTCTCTTCTCTTCTCTTCTCTTCTCTTCTCTTCTCTTCTCTTCTCTTCTCTTCTCTTCTCTTCTCTTCTCTTCTCTTCTCTTCTCTTCTCTTCTCTTCTCTTCTCTTCTCTTCTCTTCTCTTCTCTTCTCTTCTCTTCTCTTCTCTTCTCTTCTCTTCTCTTCTCTTCTCTTCTCTTCTCTTCTCTTCTCTTCTCTTCTCTTCTCTTCTCTTCTCTTCTCTTCTCTTCTCTTCTCTTCTCTTCTCTTCTCTTCTCTTCTCTTCTCTTCTCTTCTCTTCTCTTCTCTTCTCTTCTCTTCTCTTCTCTTCTCTTCTCTTCTCTTCTCTTCTCTTCTCTTCTCTTCTCTTCTCTTCTCTTCTCTTCTCTTCTCTTCTCTTCTCTTCTCTTCTCTTCTCTTCTCTTCTCTTCTCTTCTCTTCTCTTCTCTTCTCTTCTCTTCTCCTCCCCCTCTTCCCTTCTTGCCATTCATTAACACAAACCGCACCGTATCGCTTGCCATAACTCGCCACGCTAGCGCGTACCCCGTTAGGGCGCTGGGGTCAATCACTAATTGCCTGTGCGTGGGCTTTGAGACACGTTTTGCCATTGGACGCATCCAACGTCTCCTGTCCACTGTCCCGTGGGCCGGCAGGGACACGGCCCCCGCCGCGTCCCCAAGGGGACAGGGCACGGCTGGGGTGTCCTGTCACTTGGAACCCTCCCACCCACCCTGTCCCCTTCTCCCCCAGCCCCCCCAAGCTCCCGGCTGTCCTAGGGCTGCAGGGACGCTGCTGGGCTCCTTCGAGACGCCCCGAAATCACCGGGCACTGCTCAGCCCCCCAGCCCCCCCAAACGCACAGCGTTTTCCTTCCTCTTTTATTTTTCTATCTGTTTTACTCCTGTTTTCGGGAGGAGGGTTGGATCTTGAACTCCCTCCACAGCCTGACACTGGGCAAAAGCCGGAGGTGCTGGGGCCGCCCTGGTTCTCCCGCAGCTCGGACCCTCGGGCCGGCGAGTGACTTTTCTTTCCGCAGGGGATGCGGAGCAGTGACTTGAGCTGAGCGGCCGGTGCGGGATTTCGCGGCCATCCCGGCGTGGGGGGAGCGGGGCAGCGCCGGGATTGCCGCAGCCTCTTTTGGGGGGCACCCCCTCTCCTTCGGCCGTCCCCCCGACTTGCCCCCCTCTCCCCCCGGGCTCCACCGCAGATGCGGTTCCCCGCCAGCCCCAGGGGCCTCCTGAGCTGTTTGGTGACTCTCCACCTCCTCCGGCTAGGATCAGGTAGGGATCCTGTGGGGATGGGGGGGCTTGTGCCCGCTCCGGGGGGCAGGTGGGCGGCAGGGGAGCAACCCCCGGGATAAAACACGCAGCTGGGGTTTGCTTTCCCTTCCTTTCACTTTTTCCCTTTCGCTTTCCGCCGGGCTCCCCCCAAAACGTTGGTGCCTTAAGGCGAGGCCGGCGGGGACCGAGGTCATTTTCTGGAGCAGGTTCCCACTCCCGGGAAAACTCCTTCTCCTCCCAGTCCTCCCGCTCCCTCCCCAGGGTCTCCGGGCTCTGCGGAGCACGGGGAGGGCAAAGCAGCGCCGGGGGGATGGAGCCGGCGCCGCTCACGCTGAGCTCAACCCAATTAATGACGTGTCGACAATTAACGTAGGCACGAACCCCTTGTCTCTGCGTCCCTCTCCCTCACCCAGATGGCTTCACAGTAGAAGGACCAGGATACCCTCTCCGTGCCCCCGTGGGGCAGGACATCGTGCTGCCGTGTTACTTGCCCACACAAGCGGACGCTCGGTCCTTTGAGATCCAGTGGACCCGGCACCATTTCTCCGAAATAGTGCACCACTACCGCAACGGCGAGGACCAGTATGGGAAGCAGCAACAGGGATATGCTGGGAGGACAGAGCTGATCAAGGACGGTCTCTCCACTGGGAAGCTGGACTTGCGAATCCGTGGGGTGAGACCCTCTGACGATGGCCAGTACGCCTGCACCGTGCGAGACGCTGCCTCTTACGGAGAAGCCACCGTGGAGCTGGAGGTGGCAGGTTTGTGGCCGGGGCGGGGTGTCCAGGGGCTGATCCTTGTGTCCGAGGGTCCGGGTGTCTCTCCCAGAGCTCCGGCCCATCCTTCACTTCATGACAAACTTGCCAAACTTGGGGGGGTTTGGGGGCACCGACCACCTCCCATTTCTGCCCAAGATGGGGTCGGTTTGGGGGCTCCAACGCTCTTCGATTCCCACCCAACTTGGGGTGGTATTCAAGGGCTGATGGTCTTCCATTTGTGACCAACTAGGGGGGTTGTGCATCACCAAAAGTCTCCAGTTCCTGACCCACTTCGGGTGGTTTTGGGGTGCCAACACACTCTGGTTTCTACCCAAAACGAGGTGGTTTTGGGTTGTTAATGATCACCTTTTCGTGTCCCAGTTGGGTGTGGTTTTGGGGCACCAACACTCTCCAGTTCCTCCCCCAAAATTGGGATGCTTTTGGGGTGCCAGAAGCCTCTGCTTCCTGCCCAACTTCGGGTGGGTTTTGGAGTGCCAACACACCCCGGGTCCTGCCCGACTTGCAGTGGACTTGGGGTGCTAATGTTCTCTATTTCCTGCCCAAATCGGGTTGGTTTTGGGGCACCAACACTCTCCAGTTCCTGCACAACATGGGGTGGTTTGGGGGGACCAACACACTCTGATTTCTACCCAAAATGAGGTGGTTTTGGGTTGTTAATGATCACCATTTCGTGTCCCAGTTGGGTGTGGTTTTGGGGCACCAACACTCTCCAGTTCCTGCCCAACAATTTGGGTGGGTTTGGGGCACCAACACTCTCCAGTTCCTGCCTAACAATTCGGGTGGGTTTGGGGCACCAACACTCTCCAGTTCCTGCCCAACAATTCGGGTGGGTTTGGGGCACCAACACTGTCCAGTTCCTGCCCAACAATTCGGGTGGGTTTGGGGCACCGACGCTCTCCCCTTCCTGCCCAACTTGGGGAGGTTTTTGGGGTGCAAGGGACGTTGCCGAGCCCGCTGGCCCAGCCCCTGCGGGACCGGTGCTGTGTCTGCTGTGGGGCTGGGTCTTTGCCTTTGAGTCGGGTCCATCCCTAACTCGCCCCCCCGGGCTCTCCCCCAGCCACGGGCTCTGTCCCTCAGCTCTCTCTGGAGGCTTACGGGGACGGAGGCGTCCGCGTGCTGTGCCGCTCGGCCGGCTGGTACCCGCAACCGCAGGTGCTGTGGCAAGATCCCAGCGGGCAGCATCTGCCCTCGGTCGCCCAGAGACGTTCCCCCGATGAGCGGGGCCTGTTTGGCATCGAAGACGTCACCGTCGTGACCGGGAACGGAGCCAGGACCTTCTCCTGCGTGGTCAGGAACAGCCGCCTCAACCAGGAGCGGGAGTCGTCCCTGCACATCTCGGGTGCGGCCCCGGGCTGGGCTTTGCTGCGCCGCCCGCAGCAGCTTTGAGCTCGGCTTCCCGGTGAAACGGGGGGTCGGGGAGGGGGGGTCTGAGCCTTCGGATGAGCTCCAGCGCCCGAGAGAGCCCGGGGCGCTTCGGGTCAGCGCCGGTGCTCCCGTGGGACGCAGAGGACGATGTCCCTTGAGTTCAGGGCTCCCAGGACAGGGCTTGTAGGAGCCGGGGGTTTGGGCTTTTTTCTTTTTTCCCTCGCCCTCACCCACGGGAGTGTAACACCAGCCCTTTCCCGGCTGCTTTCTGGTTTCCCAGCTCCCTTCTTCCACAATGCCCATCCCTGGATGGTGGCTCTGGGTGTGCTCCTCGTGCTCCTGGTCGCGTTCACGGGCCTCAGCGCGTACCTGTGGAGAAGGAAAGGTAAGTTTGGGCTGGGGGGATGGCGGGGAAGGGCTCGGTGCGGCGTGAGGCTGAGCCCTGGCCCACGGGCACACACGGCACCAGCCCACAGCTGTGTCAGCACAGCGCTTTGTGCCTTCCTTAAAAAGCTCTTTGGGCAAAGGAGGGAAGGGGAAAGGGAGCCGGGCTGTGGGGGGGAGCCCAGGGAGCACAGCCGGCCCGTCTGGCTGGTGGGATGGGCCAAGAGACCCCCTGGAGGTGCCACCAGGGATGAAGCAAGCTGCTCCGCTGACCACCTCTTCCTCTGCCTTTGCTTTCCAGTGGTGCAGTCCAGAGAGCTGGGTGAGTCCTTCTGGCCCCTTCCACTGGGAAAAACCTCCGGAGAACGGAGCCCCGTGGGAAGGGACTTGGGTTCCGACGGCTCTTGATCCTTCCGCGGCCACTGACCTGGGCCGACGGAGCCAAAACGGGGCTGGGGCGCGCCGGGGTGGAGAGCATGGCGGGCCTTTCCCCACACCCCAAAGAGAAGGAGTTTGGGGTCTGCCCAAGCTCTGCCAGCTCCTTGGGGAGGACTGATGGGGTGAGAACCTCTCCCCTCTCCTCACACATTGCTTTTGGTTTTCCTTTACAGAAGAACAAGATGAAGAACTGGGTGAGTCTCTGTGAGCTCTGGCACGGCGCAGGGTCCTCGCCTGGGCGCTCTGTGCTCGGCCCTTCCCCTCCTCACCCATCCTCTCCCTCCCTCCATCCCCTGGGTGCTGGGACACCCCAAGGGGCTGTTCCTGGTGTGTTGGGAGTTCAGGGAGACCCCCCCCCCCCCCAAGGTTGTCCCCTCTTGTCTTCTCATGGGCACCAGTGGTGGGATTTTTCCATTGTGGCGGGGAGCCATTCCTGGGGTTTGGAGATGTTTCTCACTCCTCAAAGAGAAGGGGTTTGGGGTCGGCACGAGCTCTAACAGCTCCCTCAGGAGCACTTATGGGGTGAGAACCTCTCCCTTCTACTGACTAATCGGTTTTGAATTTCCTTTCCAGAACAACGAGATGAAGAACTGGGTGAGTCTCCGTGAGCTCTGGCACGGCGCAGGGTCCTCTGTGCTTGGCCCTTCCCCTCCTCACCCGTCCTCTCCCTCCCTCCATCCTTCGGGTGCTGGGACACCAAAAGGGGCTGTTCTTTTGTGGGTGGGCAGCTCAAGAAGACGACCCCAAGGTTGTCCCCTTTCCCATCTTGTCTTCTCACGGACAGCAGGTCTTGGATGTGACCTGGCTGACAGGGAGCCCTTCTCAGGGTTTGGGTTTTTTTCCCCACACTCCAAAGAAGAGTTTGGGGTTTTGCAAGCTCTGACAGCTCCCGTGGGAGTACCCATGGTGTAAGAACCTCTTCCCTCTCCTCACGTATTATTTTTGATTTTCCTTTTCAGAACAACGAGACGCAGCACTGGGTGAGTCTTCGTGAGCTCTGGCACAGCGCAGGTTCCTCTGTGCTCAGCCCTTCCCCTCCTCGCCCATCCTCTCCCTCCCTCCATCCCCTGGGTGCGGGGACACCCCAAGGGGCTGTTCCTGTGGGGGTTGGCAGCTTGGGGAGACCCCCCCAGGGTTGTCCCCTCACCCTGCCCAGAGTTGCTGGGCACCGGCAGTGGGAAGTGACCAGCTCTTGTCTCTCCTTGTAGCCTGGAGAAAGTTCCTGCTTCCTGAAAATCCAGGTAATTGGGTATTTTATTTCCACTTTGGGTGGTTCTCCAGCCACCTCCTCTCATCCTGCTGCTCCCTCCCGGGGCTCCAGCCCCACCGGTGCCTCTTCCCACGGCCCCAAGCTGGGGCCAGCCCCAGGACCTTTAGGAGGAAGGAGATGCCCAGTCTCTTGCCCCGTGGGGCACAGCCTGGCCCCGGGCTGCCGAAACCCTGCCCAGGACTGAGCTCTGCCCCTGAGGCTCTGGCTCCTCCTGTCCCCTGCAGATGTGGTCACCCTGGATCCAGACACGGCTCATTCCCAACTGGTCCTGTCGCCGGATCGGAGTACCGTGAGATTGGGAATTAGACGGCAAGACCTCCCCGACATCCCGGAGAGATTTAGCAACTGGTGCTGCGTGCTTGGCCAGGAGGGGTTCCGGGACGGGAGGCACTGCTGGGAGGTGGAGGTGGTGGGGAAGGTGGGGGGTGACGCACGGTGGGGTGTGGGGGTGGCCAAGGAATCCGTGGAGAAGAAGGTGCAAGGGAAACTGAAACCTGAAGATGGGATCTGGGCAGTGTGGCACAAGAAAAAACTCGAGTCTGTCACCAATCCTCGCAAGGTCCTGTCCATGTCCCCGCTGCCCAGGAGGATCTGGGTCTGTCTGGACTGCACCCAGGGGCTGGTGACTTTCATCAACGCCAGGAACGGGGCCGAGCTCTTCACTTTCCTACCAGCCTCCTTCGATGGGGAGCGCCTCCGCCCCTGGTTTTGGCTGGAGACCGAGAACACCAAGCTGTCCCTCAAGGGCAGCTCCCCCCAGCCCGTCTGACCCCCCCCTCCCAGCCCCCCAGGAGATCCTGCCCTTCTCCAGACGCTGCCCGCTCTCCTCTCCTCCGTCCCGCGGGAGCAGATGCCCCTCTCTGCCCTAAGCAAGATTCATAAAGATTTGATTTATGATTACTGTCAGTGTTTTTTGCAATAATGATAGGCATTGCTGTAGGGAAATGTATGATCTCTTTTATTGTTTCCTCTCTTTCCCTGTCTGTTCAAGCTCTCCTGATTGCCACCCACGACGACGACTACCCCGACGTTCCTCCGAATGTTTGAGTCACGGGGTGGTGGATTGAGCTGAATAATTTCATGCCTCAAACATTCGTCGACACCGAAAGCCTCAAGGTCAAGTTGTGGCCTTTGCGGTCAGTCAAAGGGATGAACTATCTGCCCAGGGAACTGCGGAGAACATCGAAGAGCGCACAGCTCCCTTCCCAAATTCCCTAACAAACCCTGAAAGGCGGAGACGTAGATTGAGTAAAACCACATGTTCAGGTTAAGGCCTACATTTTAATTTACAACTATACCCTCGAAGAAGGGCTAAAAGATTGATAAGAGATAAACACCCGGCCCCAGATGGAGCCAAAGGCTGGGCAGTTGCCAAAGAAGACCCACCTCTCTTGGTCTGGTGTGCAAATCAGCAGATAAGATGAGCTTAAAAGGTGACAGAAAACTTTGCTCCGTGTGCCCCTACCATCCAAGATGACCGGAGCTGAGACAACGCTGGAACTTGGAGGGGTGGTCCGGATCCTTTGACTATTTCTCTCCTCTGCTTTCCTTTTCTTTTCTTTCCTTTCCTTTCCTTTTCTTTCTTGATAGATTTATCAAAAGGAGACCCCGTCGCTTACTCTCCTTTTCCAAGCTGAAGTTGTTTGTACCGCAAGTAAAATATTATAACCAGTGCTCTGCCTACGCTTCACCTTAATTTTCCCCAATGGGATCACAAAACCTTTACGACTCCCTGGGCTCCCAGTCCGAGTTGGAACATGCTCCCACCACGTCTCCAACTCTGCTGCAAATACCCTCCGGGGAATGGGGCAAAAAGCCGCATCAGACACACCACAGCCGCCACAGACACGTGCAAAAATTTATTGATACCAATCCTGCTGCGCCAGGGCAGGTCACACGTAGTATAACGGAGAGAAGAGCTGCTCAGCACCCAGAACATATCCAAAATATCTGATCCGACCCAAAAAAAATGGTGTTTGTGGTGCCGCAGAGCAGCCCCCGGCCCCTCAATGCCCCTCTGCTCCCCCGGGCTTGCTCAGGGCACAACGTGGGACGGAGGAGAGGAGAGCGGGCAGCGTCTGGAGAAGGGCAGGATCTCCTGGGGGGCTGGGAGGGGGGGGTCAGACGGGCTGGGGGGAGCTGCCCCTGAGGCGCAGCGTTGTGTTTGCTGTCTGCAGCCAAAACCAGGGGCGGAGGCGCGCCCCACTGAGGGAGGTCGGTGGGAAAGTGAAGAGCTCGGCCCCGTTCTCGGCATTGATGAAAGTCACCAGCCCCTGGGTGCAGTCCAGACAGACCCAGATCCTCCTGGGCAGCGGGGACACGAACAGGACCGTGGGAGGATTGGTGAGAGACTCAAGGTTTTTCCAATGCCACAGCGCCCAGACCCCATCCTCAGGGCTCAGGCACCCATACCCCTTCTTGTCCACAGATTCCTTGGCCACCCCCACACCCCACCATGCGTCACCCCCCACCTTCCCCACCACCTCCACCTCCCAGCAGTGCCTCCCGTCCCGGAACCCCTCCTGGCCAAGCACGCAGCACCAGTTGCTAAATCTCTCCGGGAGATCAGGCAGATCCTGCTGTGAAGTTCCCAAACTGACACTTCTCCCATCCGGCGACAGGACGAGTCGGGAATGAGCCGTGTTTGGATCCAGGGTGACCACATCTGCAGGGGACAGGAGGAGCCAGAGCCTCAGGGGCAGAGCTCAGTCCTGGGCAGGGTTTCGGCAGCCCAGGGCCAGGCTGTGCCCCACGGGGCAGGAGACTGGGCATCTCCTTCCTCCTAAAGGTCCTGGGGCTGGCCCCAGCTTGGGGCCGTGGGAAGAGGCACCGGTGGGGCTGGATCCCCGGGAGGGAGCAGCAGGATGGGAGGAGGTGGCTGGCTCTGGGCCGGGCAGGGGGTGTCATGGGGAAGGTGGCTCCTCTGCACCCCGAGGGTGCAACTCGGAATGGGTTGGAAAGGAAAGGAAACAGATGGAGATGCAGGGTGGGGCGATGGTCTGGGGGGCCGAGTCACCAAGCACAGGTGGGCACGGCCAGTCCCTTGCACTTTCCCACCCAATGACATCTACGCACAGATGAAAGTGGAGGAGAAGCACCCAAAGGGGCAATAAAATACCCAATTACCTGGATATTCTGGAAGCAGGAACTTTCTCCAGGCTACAAGGAGAGACAAGACATGGTCAGGTCCCACCACCCATGCCCAGAGGACCTGTGCAGGGTACAGGGGACAATCCTGGCGTGGCCTCCTTGGGGTGTTGGCCAGCCCAGGCACAGCCCCTTGGGGTGTCCCTGCACCCGGGGGATGGAGGGAGGGAGAGGACGGGTGAGGAGGGGAAGGGCCGAGCACAGAGGACCCTGCCCCGTGCCAGAGCTCACGGAGACTCACCCAGTTCTGTGTCTCGTTGTTCTGAAAAGGAAAATGAAAAACAATATGTGAGGAGAGGGGAGAGGTTCTCACCCCATAAGTGTTCCTGAAGGAGCTGGCAGAGCTGGGGAAACCCAAACTCCTTCTCTTTGGGGTGTGGGAAATCACCCCCAAACCCTGGGAAGAGCTCGCTGTAAGCTCGGTCATGTCCCACCACTGGTGCCCATGAGAAGGCAACAGGGGAAAAGGGAAAACAGTGCAATGGTCTCCTTGAGTTGCCCACCCCCCCAAGAACAGCCCCTTGGGGTGTCCCTGCACCCAGGAGATGGAGGGAGAGAGAGGATGGGCGAGGAGGGGAAGGGCTCAGCACAGAGGACCCTGCCCCGTGCCAGAGCTCACGGAGACTCACCCAGTGCTGCGTCTCGTTGTTCTGGAAGAAAAATGAGAAACAGTGTGTGAGGAGAGGCCAGAGGTTCTCAACCCAGAAGTGATCTCACGGGAGTTGTTAGAGTTTGAGCAGACCCCAAACTCCTTCACTTGGGGATGTGGGAAAACACCTCCGAACCCTGGAAAGGCTCTTGGCCAGCTGGGTCATATCCTATTGCTGGTGCCCCATGAATCTGGGCAGGGTTAGGGCACCATACTCTAGTGGTGTCCCTGAGGTGCCCAGCCCCCCAAGAACAGCCCCTTGGGGTGTCCCAGCACCCAGGGGATGGAGGGAGGGAGGGAGAGGATGGGCGAGGAGGGGAAGGGCCGAGCACAGAGGACCCTGCGCCGTGCCAGAGCTCACGGAGACTCACCCAGTGCTGCGTCTCGTTGTTCTGAAAAGGAAAATGAAAAACAATATGTGAGGAGAGGGGAGAGGTTCTCACCCCATAATTGTTCCCGAAGGAGCTGGCAGAGCTGGGGAAACCCAAACTCCTTCTCTTTGGGGTGTGGGGAAACATCCCCAAACACGGGGAATGTCTCCCTTCCAGCAGGGTCACGTCCCAACAGTGGTGCCCTGTGGATCTGGGCAGGGTTAAGGCACAAGAAGGGGGAGGTCTCCGTGAGGGACCCACCCCCACAGGAACAGCCCCTTGGGGTGTCCCCGCACCCAGGGGATGGAGGGAGGGAGAGGATGGGTGAGGAGGGGAAGGGCCGAGCACAGAGCGCCCGGGCGAGGACCCTGCACCGTGCCAGAGCTCACGGAGACTCACCCAGTTCTTCATCTCGTTGTTCTGGAAAGGAGAAAGAGAATCAGTGGGTGAGGAGAGGGGAGAGGTTCTCACCCCATCAGTCCCCCCCAAGGAGCTGGCAGAGCTTGGGCAGACCCTAAACTCCTTCTCTTTGGGGTGTGGGGAAAGGCCCGCCATGCTCTCCACCCCGGCGCGCCCCAGCCCCGTTTTGGCTCCGTTGGCCCAGGTCAGTGGCCGCGGAAGGATCAAGAGTTGTCGGAACCCAAGTCCCTTCCCATGGGGCTCCGTTCTCCGGAGGTTTTTCCCAGTGGAAGGGGCCAGAAGGACTCACCCAGCTCTCTGGACTGCACCACTGGAAAGCAAAGGCAGAGGAAGAGGTGGTCAGCGGAGCAGCTTGCTTCATCCCTGGTGGCACCTCCAGGGAGTCTCTTGGCCCATCCCACCGTCCAGACGGGCCGGCTGTGCTCCCTGGGCTCCCGCCCACAGCCCGGCTCCCTTTCCCCTTCCCTACTTTGCCCAAAGAGCTTTTTAAGGAAGGCACAAAGCGCTGTGCTGACACAGCTGTGGGCTGGTGCCATGTGTGCCCGTGGGCCAGGGCTCAGCCTCACGCCGCACCGAGCCCTTCCCCGCCATCCCCCCAGCCCAAACTTACCTTTCCTTCTCCACAGGTACGCGCTGAGGCCTGTGAACGCGACCAGGAGCACGAGGAGCACACCCAGAGCCACCATCCAGGGATGGGCATTGTGGAAGAAGGGAGCTGGGAAACCAGAAAGCAGCCGGGAAAGGGCTGGTGTTACACTCCCGTGGGTGAGGGGGAGGCAAAAAAGAAAAAAGCCCAAACCCCCGGCTCCTACAAGCCCTGTCCTGGGAGCCCTGAACTCAAGGGACATCGTCCTCTGCGTCCCACGGGAGCACCGGCGCTGACCCGAAGCGCCCCGGGCTCTCTCGGGCGCTGGAGCTCATCCGAAGGTGCAGACCCCCCCTCCCCGACCCCCCGTTTCACCGGGAAGCTGAGCTCAAAGCTGCTGCGGGCGGCGCAGCAAAGCCCAGCCCGGGGCCGCACCCGAGATGCGCAGGGACGACTCCCGCTCCTGGTTGAGGCGGCTGTTCCTGACCACGCAGGAGAAGGTCCTGGCTCCATTCCCGGTCACGACGGTGACGTCTTCGATGCCAAACAGGCCCCGCTCATCAGGGGAACGTCTCTGGGCGACCGAGGTCAGATGCTGCCCGCTGGGATCTTGCCACAGCACCTGCGGTTGCGGGTACCAGCCGGCCGAGCGGCACAGCACGCGGACGCCTCCGTCCCCGTAAGCCTCCAGAGAGAGCTGAGGGACAGAGCCCGTGGCTGGGGGAGAGCCCGGGGGGGCGAGTTAGGGATGGACCCGACTCAAAGGCAAAGACCCAGCCCCACAGCAGACACAGCACCGGTCCCGCAGGGGCTGGGCCAGCGGGCTCGGCAACGTCCCTCGCGCCCCAAAAACCTCCCCAAGTTGGGCAGGAAGGGGAGAGCGTCGGTGCCCCAAACCCACCCGAATTGTTGGGCAGGAACTGGAGAGTGTTGGTGCCCCAAAACCTCCCGAATTGTTGGGCAGGAACTGGAGAGTGTTGGTGCCCCAAAACCTCCCAAATTGTTGGGCAGGAACTGGAGAGTGTTGGTGCCCCAAACCCACCCGAATTGTTGGGCAGGAACTGGACAGTGTTGGTGCCCCAAACCCACCCGAATTGTTAGGCAGGAACTGGAGAGTGTTGGTGCCCCAAAACCACACCCAACTGGGACATGAAAAGGTGATCATTAACAACCCAAAACCACCTCATTTTGGGTAGAAACTAGAGTGTGTTGGTCCCCCCAAACCCACCCGAATTGTTGGGCAGGAACTGGAGAGTGTTGGTGCCCCAAACCCACCCGAATTGTTGGGCAGGAACTGGACAGTGTTGGTGCCCCAAACCCACCCGAATTGTTAGGCAGGAACTGGAGAGTGTTGGTGCCCCAAAACCACACCCAACTGGGACATGAAAAGGTGATCATTAACAACCCAAAACCACCTCATTTTGGGTAGAAACCAGAGTGTGTTGGCACCCCAAACCACCCGAAGTGGGTCAGGAACTGGAGACTTTTGGCGGTGCACAACCCCCCCTAGTTGGTCACAAATGGAAGACCATCAGCTCTTGAATACCACCCCAAGTTGGGTGGGAATCGAAGAGTGTTGGAGCCCCCAAACCGACCCCGTCTTGGGCAGAAATGGGAGGTGGTCGGTGCCCCCAAACCCCCCCAAGTTTGGCAAGTTTGTCATGAAGTGAAGGATGGGCCGGAGCTCTGGGAGGGACACCCGGACCCTCGGACACCAGGATCAGCCCCTGGACACCCCGCCCCGGCCACAAACCTGCCACCTCCAGCTCCACGGTGGCTTCTCCGAAAGAGGCAGCGTCTTGCACGGTGCAGAAGTACTGGCCATCGTCAGAGGGTCTCACCCCACGGATTCGCAAGTCCAGGTTCCCAGTGGAGAGACCATCCTTGACCAGCTCTGTCCTCCCATGATATTCCTTTAGCTGTGCCCCATACTGGTCCTCGCCGTTGCGGTAGTGGTGCACTATTTCGGAGAAATGGTGCCGGGTCCACTGGATCTCAAAGGACCGAGCGTCCTCTTGTGAGGGCAAGTGACACGGCAGCACGATGTCCTGCCCCACGATGGCAACGATAGGATAGACTGGTCCCTCTACTGTGAAGCCATCTGGGTGAGGGAGAGGGACACAGAGACAAGGGGGTCGTGCCTACGTTAATTGTCGACACGTCGTTAATTGGGTTGAACTCGGCGTGAGCGGCGCCGGCTCCATCCCCCCGGTGCTGCTTTGCCCTCCCCGTGCTCCGCAGAGCCCGGAGACCCTGGGGAGGGAGCGGGAGGACTGGGAGGAGAAGGAGTTTTCCCGGGAGTGGGAACCTGCTCCAGAAAATGACCTCGGTCCCCGCCGGCCTCGCCTTAAGGCACCAACGTTTTGGGGGGAGCCTGGCGGAAAGCGAAACTAAGGGAAAAAGTGAAAGGAAGGGAAAGCAAACCCCAGCTGCGTGTTTTATCTCGGGGATGGCTCCCCTGCCGCCCACCTGCCCCCCGTAGCAGGCACAAGCCCCCCCATCCCCACAGGATCCCTACCTGATCCTAGCCGGAGGAGGTGGAGGGTCACCAAACAGCTCAGGAGGCCCCTGGGGCTGGCGGGGAACCGCATCTGCGGTGGAGCCCGGGGGGAGAGGGGGGCAAGTCGGGGGGACGGCCGAAGGAGAGGGGGTGCCCCCCAAAAGAGGCTGCGGCAATCCCGGCGCTGCCCCGCTCCCCCCACGCCGGGATGGCCGCGAAATCCCGCACCGGCCGCTCAGCTCAAGTCACTGCTCCGCATCCCCTGTGGAAAGAAAAGTCACTCGCCGGCCCGAGGGTCCGAGCTGCGGGAGAACCAGGGCGGCCCCAGCACCTCCAGCTTTTGCCCAGTGTCAGGCTGTGGAGGGAGTTCAAGATCCGACCCTCCTCCCGAAAACAGGAGTAAAACAGATAGAAAAATAAAAGAGGAAGGAAAACGCTGTGCGTCTGGGGGGGGTGGGGGGCTGAGCAGTGCCCGGTGATTTTGGGGCATCTCGGAGGAGCCCAGCAGCGTCCCTGCAGCCCTAGGACAGCCGGGAGTTTGGGGGGGCTGGGGGAGAAGGGGACAAGGTGGGTGGGAGGGTTCCAAGTGACGGGACACCCCAGCCGTGCCCTGTCCCCTTGGGGACGCGGCGGGGGCCGTGTCCCTGCCGGCCCACGGGACAGTGGACAGGAGACGTTGGACGCGTCCGACGGCAAAACGTGTCTCAAAGCCCACGCACAGGCAATTATTGATTGACCCCAGCGCCCTAACGGGGTACGCGCTAGCGTGGCGAGTTATGGCAAGCGGTACAGTGTGGTTTGTGTTAATGGCAAGAAGGGAAGAGGGGGAAAAGAGAGAAGAGGAGAGAAGAGGAGAGAAGAGAAGAGAAGAGAAGAGAAGAGAAGAGAAGAGAAAGAAGAGAAGAGAAGAGAAGAGAAGAGAAGAGAAGAGAAGAGAAGAGAAGAGAAGAGAAGAGAAGAGAAGAGAAGAGAAGAGAAGAGAAGAGAAGAGAAGAGAAGAGAAGAGAAGAGAAGAGAAGAGAAGAGAAGAGAAGAGAAGAGAAGAGAAGAGAAGAGAAGAGAAGAGAAGAGAAGAGAAGAGAAGAGAAGAGAAGAGAAGAGAAGAGAAGAGAAGAGAAGAGAAGAGAAGAGAAGAGAAGAGAAGAGAAGAGAAGAGAAGAGAAGAGAAGAGAAGAGAAGAGAAAAGAGAAGAAATAGAGATCACCGGCCCCGGGGCTGCGTCGGTCCCGTCCGAGTTTGGCAGGGATGCCGCCGTCTCCTTCACTTCTTCACCTCCTCCTTTCTTCTTTCTACCTCTTCCGTGGGGTTTTGGTTTTCTTTTTCACTCCTCACCCCCACTCCATTTATACGCGCTTTCCTTGCGTCCCTGCCCCAGCTCGCCCCACGTCCCGCATGTATGGGGAGGTGTAAAGCGCTTGGTGGGATGATGTAACGCCCACGCTCCTGTTAATCTTCGTTGGCATATGCAGGGGTGTCGACCTTAACATGCATTTTGCGGATAATGAGGGAAAAGTCACTCGCAGGCGCGATGGCCCTGAGGCTGCAGCAGAACCGGCCGGGCCCCCCCCTTTATCTCTTTCTCAGGCTGTTTATTCTCAGCCCCTGTTTCGGGGAGATAAAAGTCGTCTCTCTTCACACCCCCCCATCCAGCCCCAAAGGAAGGGGTGCAGGGGGGTGCGAGGGGCTGTCCCTGTAGCAGGGTGTGGGTCCCGGGGTCTGGGGAGGGTCCTACCCAGCTCCGGGGGGCCTGGGGGCTGTACCCCGAATTGGGCGGGGGCACCGGGGGTGAGCCCGTCCCCACCCCGCGGGGTTTTGGGGAGCCCGTAGGTAACCCTGGGGGGCCCAGGACCTGCCTTGCTTGGTCTGCTATGCAAATCAGCCGATAAAATGAACTTAAAACGTGACAGAGGACGTTGCTGGGGGCGCCCCCACCCCGAGGGGACCGGAGCTGGGACAGCGCTGGGACCTGGGGTGGTGACCCGCATCCTCTGACTCTTTATCTCCCTCTCTTTCCTTTTCTTTCCTTTCTTTTCTTGCTTCTCGACTCATCAAGAAGAGACCCCACCGCTTACTCTCCATTTCCACGTTTAACTTCTTTCTACCACAAGTTAAACATTTTACCTGGTTGTCTCCCCGTCATTTAACCCGAGGGGATCACGGAACCTCGACGACTCCCTGGGCTCCCGCCCGAGTCAGATCACCGAGCCCAGGGAGCAGAGGGGCAGTGAGGGGCGGGGGGGGGGGGGGGCGGGGGCTGCTCAGCAGCACCGCAGGCTCCATTTTTGGGGTGAGATTGGAGGTTTTGGCTATTTTCTTGGTGCTGAGCAGCTCTTCTCTCTCTTGTAGGCAGCGCATCCTGCCCGGGATCACTCCCAAACCACTCCAAGTTGGGCAGGACTAGGAGGGTGTTGGCACCTAAAATCCACCCCAAGTTGGGGAGGCACCGAAGACTGTCGGTGCCCCCAAACCATTCCAAGTTAGGCTGGAACAGGAGGGTGTTGGCACCCCCGAAACCCAAACCAAGTTGGACAGGAAGCGGAGAATATTGCCTGCCCCAACCCACCCCAATTTGGGCAGGAAGGGGAGGGCGTTGGCACCCCAACACCACCCCAAGGCAAGAAATGGAGAGCGTTGTTGCCCCCAAACCACCCCAAACTTGGGCAGAGACCAGAGAGCGTTCGTGCCGATCGGCCCCATGTCTCCTGGCAGAGGAAGGCTGAGCTCCATGCTGGACCAAGCTGGGAGGCCAGTGCAGCAACTGGGTTTGTCCCCAGGCTGCCACCTTCCCAAAATCCAGGCTGGATCCTGCTCCCTGGAGGCGGGGGGGGGAACTCCAGGAGCTTTTTCTGTCGCACACCTGCACCCCTCTTCTCGCTCCACGCTGTGGCTTGCGCTGAGGAAGGAGGCAATGGTGGGGCAGGCACAACTCTCTGCCTTTCCACCCCAGGTCCCTTTGCTCTCTCGCAGGGGCGGCAACGCAGCGTTGCCGGGAAGGACAGAACAGGGAAAAGTCCTGCTTTTCCCAGGGAAAAAGAGCGGGGGGATGAGATCCCACTCCTTGCCTGGAGCCACCCCAGAGCTGCGTCCCCCGTCCCCACATCCCCAGGAGCTGCCGGACAATATTAAAGAACAAAATTCAAAATTTTAATTTTTTTTGCAAATTCTGCTTGAAGAGATTCTCTTGCAACATCATTTCAAAAAAAAAAAAACAAACAAAAAAAGGAAAAATGTGCAGAATGAACAGAAGACACCCCCCCAAATCTGGACAGGGTGAGGGCAGGGAAATCTCACGGGCAGAGGCGGAGGCGGGAGCCTCTCCCCACCCAGAAGAAAGGGAAGATGCTCTCCCCCTTGAATGAGGCTTTTTGGAACGTAAAGACGGGGGCCTCACGCCCGGCGAGGTAAAACACTACTTGCCCCCCTCCGTAGTCCAGAGCCACCCGCACCCTCCCAGTTTCCCCCGTGGCGGGGAGGGTGGTGATGGGGGAAGTGAAGGCGCGGTAGCGATTCCCGCACCGCCCCAGCGCCCAGATCCCCTTCTCCGGTTGAAACTCAAGCCAACCCTTCCTGGGCACGGAGCGTCGGGCCACCCCCAGCGCCCAGGTCCTGCCTCCGGCCACCTCCACCTCCCACCAGTGGCTCCCCAGGGTGAAGCCCTGGCAGCCCAGCACGCAGGAGGAGGCATCGAAGCGTTGGGGGGTGACGGGGGGAAGATCCTGCCCTGAATCCGTCCATCTCACCCCCCGTCGGTCCCGGGACAGGATGAGCCGGGCGTTGGCGGTGTCGGGGTCCAGAGTCACGAATGCTGGAGAAGAAAGTGGCATTGGACATCACCCCCCCACCCCCCCACCCCCAAAAAAAAAGCCCTGCCTCGGTCCTGGGTGTGGAAGCAGAGACTTCTCCATGACTTCCTGCTTGGGGAAGCCTTACCTCATGCTGGAGGACCTACCAGAGCTCCTTTGTGTCTTCAGGAACTCCCAAGCGAGCTCAACTCATCATTGCCCAGCTTTTTTTAAGCACTATTTCAGCTAAAAACGCCCTTGCAGCGGCTCCTCCAAAGAGCCTCACCTTTCCCGTTTCCTCCTAGAGATGATACTTGCTCCTTCTCCAGTTCGGATGGCAAAATGTCTGGGGGATGAAGAACAAAGGTCGGTCACCACGCTCTCCAGCTGGTAATTCTGCTCACTCTTGCTCCCATTGTGTTTTTCCTGGGAAAATAGGAAAAAAACGGCAGCAGGCAGAGCTGCCCTCCCCCATCAACCCCATCATGCTCCAGGGTACCTTGAAATCTCCCCAGTGTCTCTCTGAGGACATAGTTTTGTCGAGAAATTACACGGAGCCTCTGTTCCAGGTCCGAGAAGGTCTCCGTTGTCCTCCGGGCACTCCCCGTCTCCCACCTGGATGCAAACTTTACCCCTTAGATATGGGACACGGCGTCAGAGGCCGGGCCCATCCCTCCTCCCCCTGCACCCCGGGCAATCTGGGGATGAGGAATGAGCTGGGTGTCCCCAAAATGTCCCTCTGTACCAGGTTTGGAGATGCCAACCAGCTCTGTACAGGAGGATACTTGGGTCCCCGTTGACCTGATGGCCAAGTAGACCTCCAGTCTTAGGGTGCTTCCTCTCGGGGCATCCCCACAGTGGGGTTCAGGGGCACCTTCTTGTCTCCACACCTCGCCAAGCCCTGCCTGAATTGCCAAAATTTCCATCTCTGTCCCAGAAACCATGGGGATGGTGCCCGTGAGCTTTGCCCCATCGTTGAGACGGGGGTGGTGGAAGAGCACGTACCTGGCCACAGCACTCCGGGCGTCCTGGCGTGGGAAGAGAGAGAAAAAAAGCCTCAGTCTCCCCTCCCAAAATCGGGGGAAGAATCCACCCAAGGCCCAGAAGAGCATCCGACCTGCAGGAATCTGCTCACAGGTTGCTCAAGCTTCTTCTCCATCTCGCAGATGAGGATGTCGAGGAGTGAAATCTCCCCTGACATCTTGTTCTCCTCTTCCTCCTGCCTCCTCATCATCTCCCTGTCCAGCTCTCCCAGCCGAGCCAGGAGGACGAGCTCTTGGTCCTTCAGAAACCGGCGCAGCTGCCGAAATTCAGACACAATCTTCTGTCTCTCGAACTCCGTCAGCGTCTGCAAGACATGGAAGGACAACAGCATGGATCACACTGGTCCAACACCTCTTTTTTTTCCTGAGTGATGGCAACAGATACTCACCAAATAGTCCTGGCATCGCCTCTCTCCACTTATTTTCAATTCCAAAATCTCTTCCCTTTGTTTCTTGAGCTTCTCCAGGTCACTGTGTATTTGGTCCTGGAAGAAGAAAAGTGGTTTGAGAGGGTATCTGGGGGAGGGATAGGATGAGGGGATGTGCTTCCCCACCCAACTTGGGAGAAAAAAAAATGGCAGCATGGGCACGAGGATGGAGAAGACACAGGAGGACAAGAGAGAAGGCAGTTTCATTCTCACATGAAGTAAACTGGAAAATGGCCGTTGACTGATTTGGGGCAAAGGGTTTAGTCTGAAAATGAATCTTTTCCTATTTTTAGCCAAAAAGAGTTGCGTGTTGTTTTTACAATTTCTACCTCTCCCCGACTATTTCTATTTACTTATTTTCATGGGGAAAAAAAAAACAAAAACAAACAGCTATGGAGAACTTCAAAGCTGGCTTGGAGCCTGTGATCCCGAGAAGCTCAAAGAAACCACCGTGTCCCTTAGGGTGGTCAGAAAAACTCAAGAAAAGGAATAACCCAAGCTTGGTCCTGGACCTAACCCTGTCCTCCTGGGCAGGTTCCTCTACGTAGGCTGTGGTGGGACCCCCGTGAGCCCGTGGTCCATCACGGCTGGAGCCAGGTGGTTTTGCATCCCCCTTGAAGGTGATCGTCCTCTTGCGCCGCCGGCAGAGCTGCTCCGTCTCCTCCCCGCCTCCTTCCAGCCCCAGGAGCTTCAGCTTCTCCGTTAAATGCTCCAAATGCTGTTTGGGTTGGAAATTTCCTTTCCCGAGCCGGGTTCGGTGGCCGACTGCCTCGGCATCTCCAAGCCTTCCTCGCTCCGGCCAGGATCGGGCTGTCCCACCTCCGCAGCTGGTGGGGACACAGCCCAGGTGGCCAGGATCCGGCCGGCACTGCAGGACGCTGTGGTGGGTGCTCTCTTCTCCCCCTTCCCTTGCTCTAGATGATCTGGAGGCCATGGCAGCAGCTCCTCCGGCCGCTCCCGTTCCTCTTCTCCTTGCTGCCTGCAGCGGAGTGAACATATAAAAGGTCCCACCGCGGGTGGAGGAAGGAGGAGCAGCGAGGGAAGCTCTAATCTCCTTTAGACGTTGGGTTTAGGATGGGGTGAATTGCCCTTGAGCAAGCCTTGGACTCCAATAGTCCACCTCTTGGGCATCGAGGTTTGTCTTGCCCTCAAGTCTGCGCCCTGGGCGTTGACACCTCAGGTTGGCGTCTCCACTCCTGGGATGGCCGAAGGAGAAGGAGCCAACCTTCCTGCCCGGTGGGAATTGGCATTTTGTCCCCAAAGCTCAAGCTCTAACCTGCTCCCTTGCTGCTCCGCCACCCGGTGTCCTCCCCACGTCTGCTTCCCACCCTTCTGAGCACGGACCGAAGCCAACGTAGGAACCCTCCAACGGTGCCCGACTGCTCAGAAACCCGGTGGGAAACCGGCTTTTACGTCTCCCTGCTGCTTCCTTTTTACCGGGAACCGATTTTAATCGGTTAACGCAGCAGACGCAGAACCTGAAAGCATGCCTGGCGACGCGACCCTCCCTTCCCCCCAACCCCGCCTCGACGGCTTGCACCACACCGACAGGCCACCACAAACCCCAAATTTAACAGCCCTTTCGCCTTGACACTTGGAAAAACATCTCGGCAGTGCCAGGGTGGCCGGGACGCTGCCGGTTCCCTTTGCCGGGATGTCCTCAACCGTCCCAAAATGAGACACTTACCCGTTAGGCAGCTGCAACACGAGGTCTTTGTGGATTATTTTTCTATTTTTTTTTTTTTTTTTTCCTCAGAAGTGCAGGGTGATTTATCCCCAGGGCTCGTCTCCAGCCACCCCCGGGGTGTTTGAGCTCTGAGTTGGATCACGTGGAGGACAGAGGGAAAATATCACCCCTATTTAAGGAAACACAGAGAAGAACGCGCTGCCTGGCGTCTCCCTGCCAGGGACAGGCTCAGTTACGGATCAGCGTTCCCAATTTGGATTTTTCAATCCAAGATACGGCTTGGATTGACAATATTTCATCATTTTCAGCTCTAGGATAAAATATATTTGGCCACCGGGCAAGATGGGGGGGCATCTGCCACCACGCAACACGGGGACCCCGTCCGAGCACGGCCGCCTCCCGGGGGTTCACCACCCGCTTTGGGCATCGTCAGGGTTAAAAAAATAAGCACAGCGGTCACCCAAATAAAACACTGGGCAGCTTTCAGGGGTTACGGCAGCGCAGCGACGCCTTCCCGACGGCAATTTTTTTAATTCTAGCAAAACCAGCTTTAGGGGAACGCGCGCTTCGAAGTGCGCTGGTGGCGATTTCCAGCATGGAGGAAGGGCGGTGTCTCCTCCGCGGTGCTTCCCACCTTGAGAGTTACTCAGAGAAGAGGAATTTAAAAAACTGTTATAAATGATCATATACTTCCTCCCCCCCAGTTGTTGTCGGCTGACAGAAGGAATGGAATTTTGAGCGGCTACAGCAAGCGTGCTTTCTTAGCCCATACATCATCAGCCTGAAGCCCCCAGACTGGAATGATCTGCCCTTCCCCTCCCTCTGCCCCCTGCTTGGGTCTTCTCCTGCCTACCCCCCACCAGCACCGCCGCAAATTTGGGCTTCAAGGGCAATAAGGAAGGTTTCTGGCCCGAGGAACGGCTGGAAGAAAAAACTCAAAACCACAGGGCCGAGACCCTGAGATGCTCTGGCCGTTGCTCAGGGGCGGGAGATGACAGCATCCCTCCCCAGTGGGGATCCACCTCAATTATTGCCCCTCCGAAGTGGGGTGAGATGCTGCAAAGGGGTGGTAGGGGCCCACAGGCATCATCCAAGAGGGCCAGGACGGCCCCACGTCGAACCAGCCGGAGAAAGAAATCAAACCCTCTGGTGCGTGTCAAGTGGTTTATTGTTCGGCTGGGATTTACCAGTTGGCCAACCCTTGGCGGGGCAAGACACAAGATTTAGGGCTTCAGAGGTGGCTAAGAACAAGCAGGGATTAAAGAGGAATTCAGCAGCGCTCTTCAAGTACAAGGAAATGTCGGGAAGAGGGAAGACCATGGTGACACCCCCCCCCCCCCAAGCACCTTCGGCGATGCCCCTAAGTCTCAAACACTGGCTTAACCCCATCCACGAGTCCAGTGTCAGAGCTCCCAGTCCCTCCCTGGAAGCTTTAGGGCAACACGATGCCGAGCTCCGTGCTGGCGTGAGTCACTTCAAACTTTTAATCCCCCCAGGCGCCCCAATTGGCACCTGAGGGCATCACGGCAGCTCGGTCTCGGATCCAGGTTTAGCTCTTGGCCGAAAGACTGAGCTAAGGTCTGGTTAAACCACTTGGAATAAGATCAGCTGCCCAGGCCAGATTTGAGTCAAATTTAGTCCTCCAAAAGTTGCTGGAGAGAGACAGGCACAGGGAAAGCACGACCTGCCTGTCCTGTTTCGACGTCTACGCCTGGATGAGACGAGGGTGCCCACCGCAAGTGCTCGTTTCCCCTCTTTCTGCTCTAAAAGCGGCTCAAACGGTCAAAATCTACGCGTCAACCGCCAAGAGGTGAGAAGGAAATGCTGGGGGGAGCCCGGACTCCCCCCCCTCCCCGGGCGACTTGCTCCGGTGCCCACCTCTTTCCGTCAACCGGAGGAGCAGCCCAGGGTCCTTGGGTGGCCCCCGTACGCTGGAATGGCAGAGGGGGAGGCATCGGGCCGAGGGCTGGGGGCAGGAGGGATGGGCTGTGCTTCCTCCGCACGACGGGGGCCGGAGCACTCGCTCGGGAATGGGGGGGTGGAGAGGGGGGGGGGGGGAGAACGAGGTTTGACTTGACGCCGCTCTTCCCGAGAGAATTTCTATGCCGGCCTCCGTCCTGCTGCTCTTAACCACCGAAGTTCTCGGCGTCGGGATGGAGTAAAGGTGCTTCCAGGGCTCCTCCTGCCCCTCCAGCCACCCCTCTCGGCGTCGGGATGGAGTAAAGGTGCTTCCAGGGCTCCTCCTGCCCCTCCAGCCACCCCTCTCGGCGCCGGGGGGGGGGTGGGGTGGTGGGGGGGGTCATCGGACCAGCGAGAGCGAGCCCAGCTCCACCCAGAACCACGGCCGGACCCGCTCCCCGGCGAAGGAGGCCGGCGGAAAAGTGAAGATGGGTGTTTTGTTCTCGGCGTCGAAAAAAGCCACCTCTCCCCACTCGTAGTCTAGAGAGATCCGGATCTTCCTGGGCACCCGCGGCAGGTCGAGGAGGGTCGGGGGGGAGGTGAGGGCACGGTTCTTAAACCCCCACTGCTGCACCGCCCAGATCCCTCCCGCGGGATTAAAGGCGATGGGTCCCTTCCTCTGTAGGGACTCTTTGCTGACCCCGACGGCGCAGTATTGTCCCTGGGCCACGTCCACCACCCAGGAGTGTCTCCCGGAGGCGAAGGCTTCGCAACCCAACACGCAAGGATCGGCGTCAAACCGCTCGGGGCCGTCGGGAGGCTCCCGCAGCGCGTACTCCCACCTCACGCTCTTCCCGTCCCTGGAGAGGACGAGGCGGGGGTGGGCGGTCGCCGGGTCCAGCGTCACGTTGGCTGCGGAAGAAAGGGGACAAAAAACCCCCAAAATAGGGGCGAGAAAGAGAATTAAACTCATTCAACACGCTCTTGGCACAAGGGTCTGGGCAATCCAATTGGGCGTTTTGTCTTTCCGTGGTTCAAGGCTCAGTCACTTGTGCGCCTTGCCCCACGCGTCTCCGCGACACCGTTCAGCAATCCAGAGTGACAAATTAGATTTTTTTTTTTTTTTTTCCCTCCCCCTTCACCTTTCTCTAAATTACTTACCCATTTTTTCTTCCTCTTTCCCTAAAAATGCACAATAAGAAAAGAGAAATGATTAGCAGTGATGTAAACTTAAATCCCAAAGCCAGAGGGGTATTGGCGGTAGAAGGGAGAAAAATGCACTTACTGTGCTCTGCGATGCATTTTCCTTAAAAGAACAACAACAACAAAAAAGTCATTTTAATGAGGTTTTTTTTTTTATTCCAAAGATGACTCCAGTTCATGCCAATTTTTTTATTTCCTTCCCTCCCGCCCCAAAAATGGCCTTTTTTTTTTTTTTTTTTTTCCTTCTTAGTATGAGATGAAATTGTGAAATAAGACCTCATGGAGACTTGGGAATCGTCACTTCGATTAAACCTCCGAAAAACCAACAGCTGCTTTAAACAAAAGCCCAGGCAGAAGTCACAGGAAAAAAAAAAAAAAAACAAAAGCTGCAATGCCAGGAGTTTCTGCTACAATCAGAAGGCGCCGCTTGCGTGGTTCGCGGAAGAGGAAGGTGCGCGCGTGCTCTGGGAAATCACGACCAACATTTTCACCTTTTGCGGGTGACCCCTGCGACGCTGAAAGCCCACAGAGGTTTAAAAAGTCAAAAAAAATTAAAAAAAAAAAAAAAAAAAAAATCTCGCAGCCCCACCTACTCCAAAACGCCCCCAACACCTCACCCCGCTTGCGCTGCTCCGGAGGGCGAGCGAGAGGACACTCACGCGTTTTTGCTTTGTATTCCTCTGCAAAGAGAAACGGCAGAAATGACCATCGGGCGTTCCTCTTCCTGTTTGTGTTACCACTTCCCAAGATTTTCTTGGCTCCCAAAGCAAAAAAAAATAGATTTCTGTGCCTAGTGATTATCGCAACTGTGTTAATAATACATAACCATATAATGCATGAATACATAAGCACACAATAGAATTGGTATATATAGTGATAATTGTTATATATAACACACAATGCATATAGTTATGACGTGTGCACCTTCCTACTTTATCCACACTAGCCCAGGTTTCCATAAAACTCCCCAAATTAGCTGGGAAAAAAGGCGTAAGAAATAAAAAAAAATAAATACAGGGGACAAACGTAAGACTGGTGCGTCTATGCTCCCTGGGAAGTGACTTACCGAGCTCTGCGGTGAGTTCATCTGAAAAGACAGAAAAAAAAGAGGGTTTCCATCACACCAAGGCGAGCAGAGGGTCTTACAGATGTCACGCCTGGAGAAGCCTGACACTCACCTATTTTTCTATCGCGTTTTTCTAAATAAAGGAGAACAAGAAAAAAAAAAAAAATTAAAGTTGTTATAATCTTTTTTTTTTCCCTTCAGATAAAAACTAATACCAAAATACAGGCCATAAACTGCATGTATTTGTTTTGTTGGAAGGCAGAGAAAAACACTCACCCATTTCTGCAGACAGTTCATCTTAAGGGAGAAAAAAAAAAAAAAAAATACTGAGTTTCATTACTACCGTTATCATAATTAAAATAAAAGTCATGATTCCATGCACCAAGCCCTGTGGGGTTCGGGAGGCAGATGGACACGTACCAATTTTGGCATCACGCTCCCCTAAATAAGGAAAAATTGAAAGGAAAGAGGAAAAAAAGTTACTCCTAAGTACTCCTCCCCCCTTCGCTGTCTGTGTTCATCATCTGGAGATTAAGCTGATATTTTCCCATTCCATTTAGAGAATTATAATTTGCATTTTGCCTCTAGTTTTCTACAGATTAACCCACCCCCTAATTGACTTTCCTAATCTTAAAGCAAAGGGTGTGACTCGCTCCTACCAAAACCCAAACTAAATAGAAACAAGATATTTGCACATTTTTTTTTTTTTTTTAAAGGACTTACCCAGCTCTGTAGTGAGTTCCCCTAGAAAGGAAAACTGGTTTTAATTATGAATATTTTGTTTTCTAGAGATACACACTAAATGGTTGGCTGGGGGTTTCTACGCTCCTCTTCAAGAACACGTTTACAGATTTTTAATTTTAATTGATCTCAGTAGAGTTAAGCACCACTGACTTGAAGAGAGCCCTCGGCAACAGAAAACCAACCCAAAATAACTCCTTATTACCCGAAATGTGACACAAAAGGGCATTTGGGCTGCTCAGGGAAAAGCAAGGGATAAGCAAGCAAGTAGCATGCAAGGAGGTGAAGTTTCTGAACAGTCCTTTTATTTCACGTTAAGAGAAAAAAAATATCTGTTTCTGAGCAATATTTGCTTTCCAGTTCTACTAAAGGCAAAACACTCGCAGAGAGAAGGACACTTACCAATCCGTGCAGTCCGTTCCGCTGGAAAAGGAAGAAAAAAAAAAAAAAAAAAGGAAAAAAAAAAAGGAAAAAAAAGGAAAAAAAAAAAAGGAAAAGGAAAAAAGAAAGGAAAAAAAAAAAAATCTTAAGTGTCCCCCCTCATTTTTTTTTGCATCACCTTCAAATTACAATCTGACAATTTGCCCGCAATGCTGCACTGTTGGTTGTTATTATTTTTACTTTGCCAATGATTTTTTTTTTTTTTTTAAACTGAGATAAAAAAGAAAACACAAAGCAGAAAACAATGTAAAAGAAGTACAGGGAGGAAAAAATAAGGGGGGGAGGAAATGAGGAGGGGAAATAAAGGGGGGAAAATAATAAGGGGAAAAATAGTTTGGGATAAAAAAATTTAATAAGGAGAGAAGGGAAGAGAAATGACTTACAAAGCTCTTCAGTGATTTCCTCTTAAAGGAAAGAAATAAATGAAATAATTAAGATTTCTTTGCTCAGTTGGTACCTTGGAAAAGTTGAAACAAGATGAGATTTCCCCCAAAGTCTCATGAATTCTCCCAATATTCAAACAACCACACGGGAATTTGGTATTTAGGGGTGGAAAAGCAGCTCCCTCGGCTATTCCGGGGACTGGGATAACAGCGCCAGCACCCAAACCCATCCAGAGCACCCAAATATTCCCAAAAGGACCCGGGAAATGAGAACAAAACCCACCTATTTTTTTATCACGTTCCCCTAAAAAAATTAAGGAAGAAAAGCAAGATTAAAATAATTTAAAAGTGTCTGTTGACGTTAGGTCAGAGACAGGACTTTTCCCCAAACACCTTCTTCTTATTTGTAATTTTTTATTTGAAATTCCGTGTTCTCTTGGCTCTTATTTCCCTCTGAGCCTCTATATCTTGTTGTGTTAAAGTTAATATCTGGGCAACAAAGAAAACCCAGAAAGCTTTAGAAAAGATTTTGTTAAAAGTTAAAATAATTAAAAAAAAAAGTAAATCACATACCAAGTTCTTCAGTGACTTCATCTTAAAAGAGAAAAGCATGGATTTTCGTTAGGATCTGTTTATTCCCCAGATATTTTCTCCTTCTCTACTATTATTTCTCTTCTTCGCTATTAGAAGACCCAAGTTTCCTCCAATTTTGCAGTTAAATTGTGGAGAAACATAAAAAAGCTGCTTCTGATGGTGTAAAAGTTGGTTCCTTTTAAAATTTTCAGTACTGTTCAATTTTCTTCAGTTTCACACTGACACATTTAAATTTCAGTGTTAAGTTTTGCTGACGTTTGCTTCATTTCTTTGTTGTGATAACCAAAGGCAACAGAAAAAGTGAAAATAGATGTTGGGTATTTGCTGTTGGCAAAGGAAGGCAACGACTTACCAAGTTCTTCGGTGAGTTCGTCTTAAAAGAGGAAAAACAGGAAAATTTTCACCACGTGCTTAAGGAGGATTCCTTCAAATCAAAAGGTTTTTCTGCCTGGGCTGCAAGGAAAATGGTGCTTACCCCTGTCTAGATCACTCTCCTCTGGGAACAGAAAAAAAAAAAAAAAAAGAAAAAAAGGGAAACAAAATCATAATTCTTATCAGCCTCTCTCATTTTAGAGGCGTCCTTCTTCCAGATATCATCTGCATTTGCTGCTACGATTTCAAAGGAGTTTGCAACTTGTATTAAACACACCCCATTTAAAAAAATTAATAAATAAAAATCCATCCACATCAACCTAACGTGCAGCTAACAAGGTTTCTATCAAAAAACTCGATCTACCCCTTTTTTTTTTTTTGTCAAATTAAAAGGAAAACAAAGATTTACCAGTCTCCTCAGCAGATCCATCTGCAAAGGGAATGATTCGAATTAATTTGCATCCTCAGCCCTAGATCCGCACCTTCATCCAAGCCCCTCATGTCCTACCACTTAAAAGGTGTTTTAAAAAAAAAAACCCTGACTCCTATAATTTTTGTTTCAGTCCCACAATTAAATCAGATTTTAGTTTGGAAAGTAACACATGTATCTGTGTGTATACATATACACACGTACACTTTTGTGTATATATATATACACACACACTTTTTAAACCTATACACACAGACAAACATAATAAAATAAATAATATATTCCAAAATATATAATTGCAAATTGCCTTAAACTTTCTAAATTTTTTTAGAAGGGAAGGAAAATATCACTTACCAGCTTCCCGATCCTTTAATTCCTCTAACAAAAAAAGAGAAAAAGGAAAAGGTGAAACACTGATTTTTGTATCGGGATACAAGGTCGTTTCTATTCCTGTGCTATTTTTTTTCTGTGCATTACCATTATCTAGTATTATTTTATTTTTAAAATTCACCCGCATTAGCGCTTTATCCATCTGCTTCTACAGTTATCTCAAAGTCCATATGCAACCAGCCAACCCGAATGAGGAGAAAAACCCTAAAAAACCCACCCAGAAAATCCCAAATCGGTTTCACGAAAGGAATAAAAACGGCTTACCAAGCTCCTCGGTCAGTTTTCCTTCAAAAGGAGAAATAAAATTTGTTCTAATCAGTGGTTTTCCTTCCCAAGGATGCGAGAAGGTTTTGATGGGGGGAACTCAAGGTGCCCAAATCCTCTAACAGAGGCCTCTAATTATTTTTTTTTTTTTTTTTACTTTTATTTATTTATTTATTTATTTATTTTTTAAGAAATTCAATTAAATTACAATATTTCGACCAAAATACAAAGCCAAAACAGCCTGTTGACCCCCAGTATCCCCAGGGATCGCGTTTACCAGAAAACATGATGATTGATACTTACTAATGACGGCATCCTGTTTTCCTAAAAATTAAACAAAAAAAAAAAGGAATAGAAATGAATAACCCCCCGTTTTTCTCCAATTTTACATATTTTACTACGTATGAGCTCTGCAGAAGAAAGTCACCCAGCTTAGCAAAAAGCACTGTTTCCGCACATACAACTGCGGATATTTCTCTTTATTTTTTTGCATTTTTGGGGGTTGGAAGAGGCCAAAATTTTGTGCTTATCACTCCGTGGAAGGGCAAGAAAAAAAAGCTGCCGAGGTGAAAATCTCGCAAATAAAAAACTGAACAGAAACTCTGACAGTAATTTAGGACAGAGACTCAGACCTCCAGCAGAGTTTCCTCTAATATCTGATATATTTCATGGAGTATTTTCTCCAAATATATATTTTTTTGAATTAATAATTAAAGAAAACATACTACTTTGGCAAAAATGGGCACCCGCACAACCCATTTTAGGGGATTCCCGCGGAGGATTCGCCCCTCTGAGACGCGAAGGGACTTACGAACTTCTGCAGCCCGGTCCTCTGCAAACAGAAAAAAAAAAAAAAAAAAAATAGAAATTATTACCTATTATAACGTTTTTCCCTGCGGGATTTCGCTAAAGCACCTCTCTCGAAGCCTTGACCCCAGCAATCTTTGATTTCCTAGCTGTTATTTTTTCCAAATTATGTAGGGATTTAAAAAAAAAAAAAAAAAAAAAAATATATATATATATAAAGCCATTGGGGAGGGGAAGGAAAGGCACTTACCGAGCAGCTCGGTGAGGCGCCCTGAAAGCAGAGACACATGGGAGTTCAAAGCAGAACTTTTTAATGCCAGAATTACATATCTTATACAATTTATCATTATATATCTATAATATAAAATTATTATTATTGTAATCATGTTCAACACAAACATGTATAACATATAAATACTATTATTAATATAAAAATAATATTATTAATATGTAAACAATAATAAATATTACATACAATATAAATATTTAAATATACAATAAATAGAAAAGGTCTTGGACACTGTGGGGTTCCATGTGTCGCCCCAACCCCATCCCACGCCAGGGTCATGGGAAACCCAGAATTTCAAAATATTTTCCCCCCCCCTTTCCATTCACTTTTACTCTTCAGCAAGGAACTGAAATAGCTTGGACCATTCAAGCCAAAAATTCTTATTTTCTCACTCCTGTGTTTGGCTATTTAGGGGAACTTCTGCAGAGAAAACCCTTTCTAGTCTGTATTCTGGATTTTAAATCGACCGCTTGTTCAGCCTTTGGGTTAAGAGACCCCCCCCAACCACCGAGCGTGAAAATAACACTTACTTATCTCTGCTTCATTTTCCCCTAAAAGAAAAAAAAAATAAAAAGGGAATAAATAACCAGGAATCACTGTTTTTGTCTTCACGCCGTGTCCCTATGCTAGCGGGGCAGCTTTAAATTATTCTCTTCTAAAATTATTTAAATTATTTTATTCTTTTTACTACCATCACCACTGCCTGCTTAAAACCGCGTCAAGCCTCCGCTAAATTAACATTTTCAGGCAAAACCCAGGCTCAGGCAACCCCACAAACCCCAAACTGACGCAGTAAGTGTCCAAATGGGTTTTTACAGGAGGAAAGAAAATGCCGTATCTGGCAACGAAAAAAAAAAACCAAAAAACAAAAAACAAACCAATATTCTGTTTTTTCTGCTCGGCAGATTTGGTTGTTGCTTTTTGCAGCGGATATTTTATATTTATTGCCTCCCTCCCAGGCAGTTACAAGCTCATGTTGCCTGTGAGCTCATCTAATAAAAATAACAAACGAGCTGCCGGGACAGTGTCGAGGCCGGCTGCGTGTCGAAGCAGGGGGATACTTACTGATTTTCACGTCCCGTTCCTCTAAAAATAATAAAGAAATAAAAATAATTTAGCGCGTAGTCGCGTTCTACCAGTGCTGAAGTCAAGCTCTGTCGAGGGTTCACTCTGGGGCTGGTTTTCTAACTAAAATGTTGTTTGGAAATTGGTTTTGGGGGAAAATTTATTATATTATATACATAATCTATCCAAAAAACTATCATATTTCTTACGTAAGATATTTATCTTAACTTTTGCGTACGTACTGCTGAACTTGATTAAAATAGAAATTTACCCCCCGAAAAAACTTCAGATATGCAAATTTGCCCCCCTAAAAAACTTCAGAAATAGATGCAAAAAAAAACCCCAAAACACAACCCAAAACCCGAACCCCGAAACAACCATTTTGAGCAAAGCGGGGAAATTCCTTACCAAGTTCTGCTGCGTGTTGCCCTTAAAATAGAGGAAAAAAAAAACAAAACAAAACAGGAATTTCATGATGTTCCTCTTTTCTCGATGACATAAGAGATGGCAAAATTCTCAGGGTTAATTTTCACAATTAAAAAAAGGCACTTACGAAGTTTCCTATTGCAGTCCCCTAAAAATAAACAGGAATAAATAATTATTACATCTCTCAGTGCCTCTTCATGGGCCATTTCCACCCAAATCAAGATTAACGGGAAAATGACTTACCGACATCTGCAGTAAGTTCACCTGAAAAAAAAGAAGGGGGGCGGGGGAGAAAAGTTAGTTTTAAGGCAGTTTTTAAAAATTTTCCTGTAATAGACAGGCAAGGGACGGCGATTTTTGAGTCTGACTTCCTGAGAAATTTATGCAGAGATTTGCTGGGCCGAGGAACATGAGACTTACCGATCTTTGTGTGCCGCTCTCCTAAAAATGAGTGGAAAAAAAATATGTTATTTTTCACAGATTCTGCTTTTCACACGATACATCTTCCCCTCTGTTCGCATAATTTGGAATACAAGACGATTTTTGCTCTAGCCCATGTTATTCCCATTTCAAATTATTTTAGACAGGTTTTAAACCCCACTTCTGCATTTAAGATGCTGGTTTTTGCTGGGTAGATGAAATGCAGGGAAGCAGGCAGAAAGAAGTTTGGGGGTTTGTTTTTACAATTGCATTTTAAAAATATAATTTAATATTTTGTTTGCAATTTAACAGTTATTAAAACTGTAATAATAAAAAAAAAAAAAAGTAATAAAAATTGCAAAAGAAACAGACTTACCAAGCTCCACTGTAAATAGTCCTTAAAACAGAAAATAACATTTGTTCCTGTTAAATTTCCCAACAAGAGTCAAACCTCCCCCTCTCCAGCCCATCTCAGCTCTTCCCATGGGATTTTCCCCCCCCCGTTAGATTTTCCTTTCTCTCCTTGAACTTTGGCTTCAGGTCCCCCCCGCCTTTGAAACCCAAGAGATCACGTCTTCTCACGACCCAAATTTAGTTTAATGAAGAAATCCCAGCATCCCTTCAACGCCAAAACACCAACCAGACCACCCCGAGGTGTCCGAGGAGGAAGTGGCACTTACTAATTGTCGCATCACATTTTGCTAAAAAAAAAAATATTAAATTAAAAGAAGTTAAAGAATAAAAAGATACCGATCAGCTTTCAGTGTCACTTTCCACCTTTTTCCCTGTAATACAGGAAAAAAATAAAATTACTTACCAAGTTCCGCAGTGAGTTTCCCTAAAAAGAGAGAAATACAAGTTTATTTCAAATAGATGTTTCTCCTTCCTCACTGGACATAGTGTAAATAATTCTGCAGTTTACACTTACAGAGTGTTTCAGAAAATAATATATAGTATAACAGTATAGGATAGTTAATAAAAGCGTATGGGCTGATAGTATAAAATAAAATGTAGGGATGATGTAGGGTGTTGAATTCAGAAATGGCCGGAAAAAATGGGAAAAATAGGTGCCCAGGAGGAGCCACTTTGGAAAAAAATCCACTTTTAGGCCAAGATTTTTTGTGTCCGAAGGAGAACGGCACTTACGAAGCCTCGAGTCTCGGTCCCCTGAGGGAAAAAGAAAGAAAAAGAATAAAAAACTGGCATTTTTGGGGTTGTTTTTTGGCCCAGCACTGCCCTCCTCCCCCGGGACAGCAGGTCCTGAAGCCAAAGCTTCAATATTTTCTGCTGCTGAAGTGATTTTGCTCAGTTTTCCAAATTATATTTTATTAAAGATCCCGCCCCCAAAATTCTGTGAGTTGAATTCACAGTTTTCTACGGAAGAACAAAACCACCCAGCTCGTTTTGGGAAGAAGCTGGACCAAGGGCCTCTAGAGGTTCCTCCAACGTTAATTGCATAAAATCATGCAAAAATTTAATTAAAAACAACCCTGACGGGATGTTCTGTACAAAAATCAGACTTACCAAGCAGTGCAGTGAGTCTACCTTTGAAATAAGAGGAAAAAGAAATAGGTATTAGTTCAAAAAAAGCGACAAAAATTGACCCTAGAAAAGAGGTTTCTAAGCCTAAAATCATCAGTTTGGTTTTGAAAAGGAAAAAGGACTTACGTATTTCTGCTGCGAGCTTGGCTGCAAAGAAAAAAAAATAATATTTGCGTTTATTTGGGTGTTTTTTTTTTCTGTGGGAAATGCAGAAGCCTGGGCTGAAACTTGGGGAAAAATGTGGTTTTTTTTTTTTTTTTTTACGTTAATAATATTTTATTTGTCCCTGAAATTTTCAAGGATGGGGCATCAGAGAGCCCCCCCCCTCCCCCCCCAAAACAAGGGGGTTTTACCCCCAAAATCACACTGAAGAAGAATGACACTTACTAATTTTTCTATCACGTTCCTCTGGAAAGAAAAGGAGAGGAGGAAGAAAAAAAGCAGGAAAATTATTAAATATTTTATTATTTTCTGTGTATTGGGTCTATAGCATCCCTAGAGCTCTTAGATTGCTTTTTTTTCCCCCCAATATCGCCTTTATACTGGTGATTTTACTTTGAAATTACGCTTTGTTGTGAATGTTACTCAATCTACAAAAAAACTCGATGGTTTTCACCAGGAAACTCCCTTTCCGCCCCCATTTTCAAAAATAAAGCAAAGCAGCGGGCACATACACCCCGCAGCCCCCACCCAAAAAGGGCTCATACTTACTGATTTTTGCGTCACATTCACCTAAAAAAACCCAAACAAGAACAAAGCAATAAAACCAGAGAAACACAAAGGAATTCCTCCCGCACCCCATCCCCACCCGCAAACTCCAACCTGATGGAAATTTTATTGCACAGGCGCCTTCCCTTAAAATATTTTAAAAATAAGGTTTGTTAAGAAAGAAATCCCCTGTAAGCCACCCATTCCTAAAACACAAAATCTTCTATTTTTTTAAAAAAATGTTTTATGCCCAGCACTTTTGCACAATTAAGGATAATTTAATTTTAAGGAAATAAAACTCCTTACCCAGATCTGATGTGAGCTTGCCTTAAATCAAAAGAAATAAATGAATATTAGCTTTAAATGGACTGTGGCTTCGCCGCCTTTAACTTTCCCAGGGTCAAATTATTTTATAATTGCACCGCGTGGATGCTAACGAGACGGTAATTAAAAACAGGGAAAAGATTGTTGTCAACAGCTTTATATCGTGATTATTTACCCGTAAACCCGAACAGAAAAACGAGACTCACTGATCCTTCTGTCACGTTCCTCTAAAAGGGAAAATAAAGGGAAAATAAAGGGAAAATAAAGGGAAAATAAAGGGAAAATAAAGGGAAAATAAAGGGAAAATAAAGGGAAAATAAAGGGAAAATAAAGGGAAAATAAAGGGAAAATAAAGGGAAAATAAAGGGAAAATAAAGGGAAAATAAAGGGAAAATAAAGGGAAAATAAAGGGAAAATAAAGGGAAAATAAAGGGAAAATAAAGGGAAAATAAAGGGAAAATAAAGGGAAAATAAAGGGAAAATAAAGGGAAAATAAAGGGAAAATAAAGGGAAAATAAAGGGAAAATAAAGGGAAAATAAAGGGAAAATAAAGGGAAAATAAAGGGAAAATAAAGGGAAAATAAAGGGAAAATAAAGGGAAAATAAAGGGAAAATAAAGGGAAAATAAAGGGAAAATAAAGGGAAAATAAAGAGGAGAGAAAATATCACTAGTCAATAAGCGCTCGGCAGCTCTGTCGTGCTCACAAAGCTGACATCATCCCCCACTTCGAAATTTTGTTTTTACTGGTTATTATAATTTGAAATTATAATTTTTTGTTTAATTAATTGACTTTATTTCTAGCTCAGATTGGATGTATGTGTCCTTGAGGGGAGGAGCAACCACCTCTTTCCCCCAGTGAAATAAAGACCAAAAGAAAGGAAACCACGTACCAAGCTCCGCGGTCAGATTATCTGGAAAAAAAAAAAAAAAAAGAAAAAAAAATGTTGTTTTTTTTTTTTCCCCCTCAAGGATCTCTTGGTGACAAGGACGCACCGTGCCCTGTTCAGCCCTTTGCTTGGAAAATAAAGTTATTTTGTGCCTAACACTCAACACATCTCCCTTGGTCGCAACATCTACCACGAAAAAAGGGACAATTGGAAGCGGGAAAGGAATTTTGGCAAAATTTAAGTATTTTGAGAGGGATTAAGTCCTGCGTTTTGCACGGGCTGGGACTCCACAGCCCCAAATTCCCCAGGCTCTGTCCTTCCCACCGGCTGTGCTCACGTGTGGCTCTGGCTCTGAAATTCCATTTATTCTCTTTATTATTGCGTTCCTAACTAGAGCAATCTGCACCCCCCACCCCATTTCCTGCTTTTTTTTTTGTTTTAATATTTGTTCTTGTTAAAAATTAATATATTCCCTGCTTTTTTTTTTTTTTTTAAAAAAAAAAAAAAAGAGGTGAAAGAAAGGGCATAAACCCCAAGCAAATCAGCTGAAACGTGACACAAAGCTCTACAGAAAAACATCCGACAGGGGGTAAATCGGGACTTACCGATTTCTGCTGTAAGTTCACCTTAAAATAGAGAAATAAATCAGGGTGCAGGTTAAAGGACTGCTTGGATCTGCTCTCTGCCTGACCTTGACCTTGCCATTTATGTGACATCCTGGGTATTAAACAAGAAATTCCCTTATCAGAATCTATTTGACAAAGATAAGAAAGAGACACTTACCTATTTCTGCATTTTGTGCGCCGCCCCCCACCCAAAAAAAAAAAAAAAAAAAAAAAGAGAAAGAGAAACGGCTTTGAGTTATTTATCATCATCACTGTGTATTTATTTTGTTCCTAATATTACTTAGAGACACAAAATAATCTCTGTTCTATCTGGGCTTATTCTATCTATTACGGGCATTTCCCCATTAGTTTTATTTTTTAAAACCTTCCCACTTCTGCACTTTCTGAAGCTGAAATGGAAAAGGAACACGCGCAAAATAAAAATAGCAGCCTGGCCCAAAGCACGGCTTTGCAGAAAGGAATACAACTCGCCGAGCAGCACAGGAAAAATCCCCAAATACAGAGGAAAGCACTTTTTTTTTTTTTTTAAAAAAAAAAAAGAAGAAAAAAGGTATGTAAAAAATATTTTCTCCCAATGGTGTGTGAGATTGAGGCTGTTTGGCTTTGAAGGGCTGCTATTATCTAGAAGAACTTGTAAACTGAAAAAGAACTTACCGTTTTCTGTGTCACACTCCTCTAAAAATAAGAAATAAATACGTGTTAGTCCAAAGAGCTTCTCCACCTTTGATGTGCTTCTACGAGCGAGCGGGAGCCCGAAGAAGAGATGAGGAAATGCTGCTCAACTATCTCTGGGTATAAATTTAAGATCTAGAGGATCATTTCTGGTTTAATAAGCCCTTTCTCTACACAAAGACTTTTTTCCACTTTTAGTAGCAGCAAAAAAGCGAAAAAAAAAAAAAAAAAAACAGCAAAAAAAAAAAAAGAGCGGAAAAAAAAAAAAGAGCGGAAAAAAAAAAAAGAGCGGAAAAAAAAAAAGAGCGGAAAAAAAAAAAAGAGCGGAAAAAAAAAAAAGAGCGAAAAAAAAAAAAGAGCGAAAAAAAAAAAGAGCGAAAAAAAAAAAGAGCGAAAAAAAAAAAGAGCGGAAAAAAAAAAGAGCGGAAAAAAAAAAAAGAGCGGAAAAAAAAAAAAGAGCGGAAAAAAAAAAAAGAGCGGAAAAAAAAAAGAGCGGAAAAAAAAAAAGAGCGGAAAAAAAAAAAAGCGCGGAAAAAAAAAAGAGCGGAAAAAAAAAAAAAGCGCGAAAAAAAAAAAAGCGCGAAAAAAAAAAAAGCGCGGAAAAAAAAAAAAGAGCGAAAAAAAAAAAAGAGCGGAAAAAAAAAAGAGCGAAAAAAAAAGAGCGAAAAAAAAGAGCGAAAAAAAAAGAGCGAAAAAAAAAGAGCGAAAAAAAAAGAGCGAAAAAAAAAGAGCGAAAAAAAAAGAGCGAAAAAAAAAAGAGCGAAAAAAAAAGAGCGAAAAAAAAAGAGCGAAAAAAAAAGAGCGAAAAAAAAAGAGCGAAAAAAAAAGAGCGAGAAAAAAAAATTGCGAGAAAAAAAAATTGCGAGAAAAAAAAATTGCGAGGAAAAAAGAGCGAGAAAAAAAGAGCGAGAAAAAAAGAGCGAGAAAAAAAGAGCGAGAAAAAAAGAGCGAGAAAAAAAGAGCGAGAAAAAAAGAGCGAGAAAAAAAGAGCGAGAAAAAAAGAGCGAGAAAAAAAGAGCGAGAAAAAAAGAGCGAGAAAAAAAGAGCGAGAAAAAAAGAGCGAGAAAAAAAGAGCGAGAAAAAAAGAGCGAGAAAAAAAGAGCGAGAAAAAAAGAGCGAGAAAAAAAGAGCGAGAAAAAAAGAGCGAGAAAAAAAGAGCGAGAAAAAAAGAGCGAGAAAAAAAGAGCGAGAAAAAAAGAGCGAGAAAAAAAGAGCGAGAAAAAAAGAGCGAGAAAAAAAGAGCGAAGAAAAAGAGCGAAGAAAAAGAGCGAAGAAAAAGAGCGAAGAAAAAGAGCGAAGAAAAAGAGCGAAGAAAAAGAGCGAAGAAAAAGAGCGAAAAAAAAAGCGAAAAAAAAAGCGAAAAAAAAAGCGAAAAAAGAGCGGAAAAAAAAGCGAAAAAAAAAGCGAAAAAAAAAGCGAAAAAAAGCGAAAAAAAAAGCGAAAAAAAAAAAGCGAAAAAAAAGCGAAAAAAAAAGCGGAAAAAAAAGCGAAAAAAAAAAGCGAAAAAAAAAAGCGAAAAAAAAAGCGAAAAAAAAAGCGAAAAAAAAAGCGAAAAAAAAAAGCGAAAAAAAAGCGAAAAAAAAAGCGAAAAAAAAAGCGAAAAAAAAAGCGAAAAAAAAAAGCGAAAAAAAAAAGCGAAAAAAAAAGCGAAAAAAAAAGCGAAAAAAAAAGCGAAAAAAAAAGCGAAAAAAAAAGCGAAAAAAAAAGCGAAAAAAAAAGCGAAAAAAAAAGCGAAAAAAAAAGCGAAAAAAAAAGCGAAAAAAAAAGCGAAAAAAAAGCGAAAAAAAAGCGAAAAAAAAGCGAAAAAAAAAGCGAAAAAAAAAGCGAAAAAAAAGCGAAAAAAAAAGCGAAAAAAAAAGCGAAAAAAAAAAGCGAAAAAAAAGCGAAAACAAAAGCGAAAACAAAAGCGAAAACAAAAGCGAAAACAAAAGCGAAAAAAAAAAGCGAAAAAAAAAGCGAAAAAAAAAAAAGCGAAAAAAAAAAAAGCGAAAAAAAAAAAAAGCGAAAAAAAAAAAAGCGAAAAAAAAAAAAGCGAAAAAAAAAGAGCAAAAACCCCAAACAAATAAACAAAAAACCCAATAAACCCCCCAGACCAACAATAAACCCCAGCCCCACGCACACTCACCAAGCTCCGTGTCGCTTTCTTCTAAATGAAATAAAGAGAAACACAGAGACAGACGTCGGGCGCGCGGCAGCGGCCGCCACGGGCGCCCCGGCGGCGCGCGGCAGGAAGGTGAACGGCTTACCAAATTCTTCTGTTAACTTCCCTTAAAATAAAGGGATATTCGCTGAAATCTTTAGCGCCAAGAGGTTTGCCATCAGAAGGGGGAAAGAAATAAAAGGGGGGGGAAAAAAAAAAAAAAAAAAAAAAAAAAAAAAAAGAGACTTACTGATTTTTGCATCCCATCCTTCTGAAAGAGAGATGGAGAGAGAATTTAGGGCCCAGTGGGTCCGTCTGTGGTTTTTTGGTTTGCACTACAGGAGTTGTCTTCAAAAATTATTATGTACTGATATATTTTTTTTTTTTTCCCCCTCCCTTAGCAACTACAACGTTCCCAAAATTACACTGGTTATGAGTTTAGCTACTGTTTTCTAGAATATATTTCAGTAAAAATAAACACACACCCCACCCCCCAAGAGAGGCCACAGGAGATGCATATTAATGAGATTTATTTTGACAGAAGGAAGGAAAAATCACTTACCAAGATCCGCACTCCTTTTCCCTTAAAAAGAAGAAATAAAAAGAGGTGATTTTTTTTTTTCACACCGGGTGCAACCGGAGCGGCTCTCTAGCCTGGCTGCACCCCTCAAGGGTTAAATGTTATTTTCTCAGGTGCCAAATGAGTTTTTAGGGTTTTGTTGTTGGTTTTTTTTTTTTTTTTTTTTTTTTTTTTTTTTTGTGGTTAATAAATCCATTTTTCGTGTACCTGACTCCATCACCCCGTTTCCTTCCTAGCCGGAACCGCCTCCGAGAGCTTCTCCAACCTGGTGGAGCGAGAGGGACCAGTGTTAACCGGGCGCAGTGCAGAGGAAAATGTGGTTTTTTTTTGGGGGGGGGGGGGAGCCAATGGGCCGGCGCCTGCAATATTCCTGCCCGTGGGATAAGGGAAAAAAAATCCGCGGAGGCTTTTTCCTGTTTTTTCCCCCCGTTATTTGGGCTTTGTGAGCGGAGACGGTTTCTGGGCGAAACGGTGGGAAAGAGGGATCTGCTGTAGGGGTGCGGAAATTCCATCGGCACCCCCTCACCCCACCGGCCACAGAGGGGGCCCGGGGGCAAGCAGCCCAGGCTGAAACACTCAATTTTCGTTTTCTGAAGTAGCCTGAGCTTAATTTCCCCTCTATGTCCCCTAAATTACTGACTAATTAACAGCTGTAGGGGAGCAGCCCCGTCCGTGGAGGACGGGGTGCTACTGTCTCCTTCGGCCAAAAAAAGCGGCGCTTATTTTAAACTGAAATCTCTGATTTCTTTTAAACGGAATATTAGACCAAGGGCTTCCCTCCTCTGCTCCGTTTCTCACCACTGCGGCGACTTCTAGTCCGTGCTAATGTTTTGAATCGATTCTTCTTATTAATTAAAAAAAAAGGATTAGATTGCCACGGGGGATGGTGTAGGCTGGGTGATGGGACGCAGATTTTGTGCCTTTTGTTTGCTCCTAATCAATACGCACGCCGGGGCAGACTCCACCACAGAATTTTTCTTCCTCAAAATCACCCCAACTGGGCAAGGAAGTCCCGAGAATTTCATTTTGGTGTTCCTAATCCTGCCAACACCCCGAGCGCACTAAGCTTTCCTGGAGGAGCTGGGGAAAGGCAAAAAAAGAGCAGGGTGGGAAAAGGCATCGGGTTGTACTGGAAAGGAAATTACTGAAATTAACCTATTTTATTACTAAATTAACATATTTTAAATTTTAAATTTACTAATTTTAACATATTAACATGTTAAAATATTAACATATTTTAAATTTTAAATTACTAAATTAACATATTTTATAAACTGTTGGTGCTAATAGGAGCTAAGTTAGATAAATGCTGTTAGAAGGACCTAAATTTATAGAGAAACAGATAAACACAGCAAGGAAAGCAGCACCAATTATTTCTGTATGATATTTTCTGAAAAGAAAAAAAAAAATTAATACAATTATTCTTTTAATCCTTTTCCTGTTTTGCCAGGATTGTCAGATCCAAGTAGAGGACTGAAAAAATCATTTTGTTCTAGGCTCCTTCCAGCTATCGCGAACGTATCGTGTTTCTTCAGCTTTCTAAATGCATCTCCCAGCCTTTCATGAAAGAGCCTGCTCAGCCAGATCGGCATCCAGGAATAGGACACCCACAAATTATGCTTTCCCCGCCGCCCTGGCGCTTGGAAAAATAAAAATAAAATTAAAAAAAAAAAAAAAAAAAAAAAAAAATCACTTACCAGTCCCTGCAGTTGATTTTCCCTAATGCCCAGGTTGATTAATCAGGGTTGTTTTGCTCCCGGGGCGCGATGGTCGAGTTGAGGGGTTGTCTGGGCTAAAAAATTTTGGCAGGTCCTGGGACCGTGGGTGCCCTGGGAAACTCGCCGGGGGGTTTTGGGCGCCTGCGGTGAGGTGGAAGAGCCGGCCCGGGCACAGCTAATTTTAGCTGGTTTAAATGCCGAGGTGGCAGCGGGGCCGGAGGATTAAAATACAGACCACTCCCACAGATATATCCCTAAAAGACTCGTTTTCAGACAGTTAACTCTGGCTTAAAGCAGCGTGAAGCTGGTGAAAGGCGTTTAAAATTGTTGATTTCTCTCTGCATTAGTCACCCGGCCCTTTTTTTTAACAGTCAACAGAAAGGAAATAGTTTTTGACGGCGCTGTTCGCCCGATTGGTCTCGGGTGGCTCGGAGAGAGTTGCCTAAACCCTCAAAATGAAGATAAATGAGACATTTCCAGGGCATTACGACCCAGATTGGGGCAGATGTCTAAGCAGGAAGGAGCATCCTAAGCTTGGCTTCTGCCAAGGGGTATTTCCCACACCTGAAATGCTGAGAAAATGGGCTGAAACAACAAAAAAAAAAAACAACCCTCACTCAGAATCTTGGAGAAATAGATGCCAGCCCTCGAAGCGTAAGGACCAGGACCGGGTGTCTTTGCTGGGAGCTCTGTCAGCGAGACGCACAGGCTGCAGTTTTCTTTCCAAAGGCTGAAAATTAAAGAGTTACGGACACACGGACAGCACGCGGGATTCAGAGGGACCCTCCTTGATCTCCAAAGGCCACGGGCTGACGGAAAAGGGGCTTGAGACGATGCGAAAAAGGGAATTGTAGGAAAGTTCTCCCCTGGAAAAAAGGGGCAGCCCCGGTTTTGCTGACGGTGAGGGTGGGAGAGAGTGAGGTTTAAAGTTAAAGCTGAGGATAAGAGACCACGACCTGGCACCAAACTCCTGTGAGTAAATCCTCTGGGGTTAAAAAAAAAAAAACAAAAAAAAACCCAAATAAACAAAAAAAATCCCCAGAAGGTGCTTGTCTTGGGCAAACCAAAGTGAGGGAAAAGGGGATCACTGCGACAGATCTTTACCTGCAGAAATCTGGTATTTGGGAAAGACAAAATAACGGCGTGTTCTTTGGGGGGGGGCTCTGCCAGGAGAGAAACGTTGCGGCGCGACGCAACGGCACGGGGCTGCAGCAACCCCCAAAACATTTTGAAGAAGAAATTCCTCGCTCCGACACCGCCCATCGGCGCGCGAATCCTCCGCCGGCAAACCTCGCAGCGTAGCGGGGAGAGATTCCTGGGGCACGAGAAGCCGAAGCACCTTTGAGGACCCCGAACGCCACCAGTTCCGGACGGCTGGGCCACAACTGGAGATGTTGGACCCCCCCCCCCCAAAAAATAATAATAAAAAAAAAAAATCAACAGCAGAGAAGTTTTTATCTCCGGGGCTGCCCCGCCGGGTTATTTCCCTTGAGGTGCCTGTTTTCTTGGCAATTTTCTTACGCACCTGGAATTTAAAACACGTGGGAACGTAACAAATCACTTTATTTCCTTAACCCTCTGCCTCACCACCAGCCCCCCAAAACCCTCCTTTTCCCCCTCAACCCCCTATCCAGCCCCCCGCAAGGGCCTCCTTGTCCTCCAAACCCCCCTTTACCCCATCGCCAGCCCCCCAAGACTCTCCCTCTCCCCTCAAAAATCCCCTACCCCATCACCAGCCCCCCAGTCCCCCTAAATACCCCCCATACCCCATTGACAGCCCCCCAGACCCTCCCTGTCCCCCCAAATACCCCCCATACCCCATTGACAGCCCCCCCGACCCTCCCTGTCCCCCCAAATACCCCCCATACCCCATTGACAACCCCCCCAGACCCTCCCTGTCCCCCCAAATACCCCCCATATCCCCAATGACAACCCCCCCAGACCCTCCCTGTCCCCCCAAATACCCCCCATACCCCATTGACAGGCCCCCAGACCCTCCCTGTCTCCCCAAATACCCCCCATACCCCATTGACAACCCCCCCAGACCCTCCCTGTCCCCCCAAATACCCCCCATATCCCCACTGACAACCCCCCCAGACCCTCCCTGTCCCCCCAAATACCCCCATACCCCATTGACAGCCCCCCCAGACCCTCCCTGTCTCCCTCAAACCTCTTCCCAGCCCCCCCAACGTCCTCCTTGTCCCTCCAAACCACCTACCCCCCCTCCAGCCCCCCAAATCCCTCCCTATCCCCCTCAACCCCCTCCCCAGCCCCCCCAAACTCCCCATACCCCACCTCCAGCCCCCCCCACCCCTCTCAGCCCCCCCAAACCCCTCCATCCCACCGCCAGCCCCCCAAAGCCCTCCTTGTCCCTCCAAAGGCCCCATACTCCACCTCCAGCCTCCCAAATCCCTCGCTGTCCCCCTCAGCCTCCTACCCAGCCCCCCCAAACCCCCACCCCACCGCCAGCCCCCCAAATCCCTCCCTGTCCCCCATCAACCCCCTCCCCAGACCCCCAAAGCCCCCCAACGACCTCCAGCCCCCCCAAACCCTCCTTGTCCTCCCCAACTCCCACAATACTGTCCCCGTCCCCCACAACCCCCCAAAATCTTCCCTCCATCCCCCCCCCCTTTAACCATCACTCGCCCCTACACCTCTTACCTACACCACGCTGCGCGCCGCCATGTTTCCCCGCAGCTCCATCCAGCGCGCCGCCATGTTGCCGTACAGCTCCGACGCTGACTTCCGCTTCCGCCGGAAGCCACCTCGGCCTCTTCCTCTCCGGGCGCTGGTGGCTGCAGCGGACGGCCCGAGGGGGACCGGGCCGTGCCCTCCGTTAAATCCGCCGCCATCCGCCCGCCCCGCCGCCGCCATGACGGAGCAGATGACCCTGCGGGGCACCCTGAAGGGGCACAACGGCTGGGTGACCCAGATCGCCACCACGCCGCAATTCCCGGACATGATTCTCTCCGCTTCGCGGGGTGAGGGCCGCGCCGGGCCGGGCCGGACCATCGGGATGCGGGGAGGGGAGTCAGGGAGAGACCATCGGAATGGGAGCGGGGGACCATGGGAAAGGGGGAGGGAAGTCAAGGAGAGACCGTGGGAATTGTGGGGGGAGAATCAGGGGGAGACCATGGGAATTGGGGGGGGGAATCAGGGGCAGACCATGGGAATTGTGGGGGGGAATCAGGGGCGGACCATGGGAATTGTGGGGGGGAATCAGGGGGGAGACCATGGGAACTGGGGGGGGGAATCAGGGGGGACACCATGGGAATTGTGGGGGGGAATCAGGGGGGAGACCATGGGAATTGTGGGGGGGAATCAGGGGGGAGACCATGGGAACTGGGGGGGGAGGGAGTCAGGGGGAGATCGTGGGAATTGGAGGGGGGAGGAGTCAGGGGGAGACCGTGGGAATTGGAGGGGGGGGAGTCGGGGGGAGACCGTGGGAATTGGAGGAGGGGGGAGTCAGGGGGAGACCGTGGGAATTGGAGGAGGGGGGAGTCAGGGGGAGACCGTGGGAAAAGGGGGAAGTCAGGGAGAGACCATGAGAATTATGGGGGTAGGAGTCAGGGAGAGACCATGGGAATTGGGGAGGGGGGGGAAGTCAGGGGGAGATCATGGTGGGGGGGGGGGGAGTCAGGGGGAGACTGTGGGAAGCGGGGGGGAGTCAGGGGGAAACCATGAGAATTGTTGCAGGGGGAGTCAGGGAGAGACTGGGGGAATTGGGGAGGGGGAGACTATGGGAATTGTTGGGGGGGTGGGGGGGAGTCAGGGAGAGACCATGCAAATGGCAAGGGGGGAAACCATGGGAATGGGGGGCTGGTGGGGGAGACCATCCCCTCGGGGAGGGGGGAGATTGTTGTTCTGGTTGAGGGGAGTAGGGAGAGACTGTAGGTCGAGCTTGGAGGTTTGGGGCGACGACAAGGGGAGCCCATGAGCCTGGAGGGGAGAGGGGCAGGGAAGGCTGGGGGGCTTGGGAGGGAGACAGTGATTTTGGGGCGCCAGGGCTCCCATGAGCGTGGAAGGCGGGGGGGCTGTCAGGTAAATGGGGAGACTGTGGATTGAGGGGCGGGGGGGGGACAGGGTGGAACCCCCTGTTAGGACAGTCTGCCCAGGGCAGAGGTGCTGACGAGGAGGAGGAAGGAAGCCTGGGCTCTGCCATAGGCTTGGTCACCCCGTTTTCTTCGGCAGCAAGCAGAGGGCTGGGGGGGGGTTGTGTGTCCCCCCCGGCCCCCACTTTAGCTCTGAATCTCTCTCCCCGCCAGACAAAACCATCATCATGTGGAAGCTGACCCGTGACGAGACCAACTACGGGATCCCGCAGCGAGCGCTGCGGGGGCACTCGCACTTCGTCAGCGACGTCGTCATCTCCTCCGACGGGCAGTTCGCGCTCTCGGGCTCCTGGGACGGGACCCTGCGGCTCTGGGACCTCACCACGTGAGGCGCGGGGAGTCTCCCTGCTCCCTTGGGGGTCTGGAGGATGTCAACACCCCTTAAAAACGGGGCGATGGGCTCGCGGGTCGGAAGAGAAATCCACCCCCCCCCCCCCCCCCCCCCAAAAAGTTTTCCAGTTTAAGGAACGGAGAGGTCTGCCGGCCGCTCTTCCTCCGCTCCCGATGATTAAACCTGACGCAAAGTCTGCCGATCCTCCGGGATCTGAAGACAACGTCCTGCAATTATGATGGGAGAGAAGCAGAGCGCGGGCTTGAGCTGCTCTTTTTTTTTGGGGGGGGGGTCGTTTGGGGCCGACTTGGGGCTACAGCTGGGAGAAGAGGGTTGGGATTTGCAGAGCCAGGCTTGCACGCGGGATCAATTCATCCTGATTCCCCCAGTCCTCCTCCTAAATCCTTTTGAAGGAAAACTGGACCCCTGGGTCCGTAGTCTTTTGTAGACGGCTCCGTGTTTCTTTTCTCTTCAAACATTTGAATTTTTTTCCCCCTCCTTGGTGGAATTAACGAGATCTCGCGGTGTTCCCCGTCTTCCTCCAGCGGCACCACCACCCGTCGCTTCGTGGGCCACACCAAGGATGTCCTGAGCGTGGCCTTTTCCTCCGACAACCGCCAGATCGTTTCGGGCTCCAGGGACAAGACCATCAAGCTCTGGAACACCTTGGGCGTCTGCAAATACACAGTGCAGGTGCGTTTTGGGTCAAATCCCGCCGGTTTTTTGAGTGGGAATCCAGGTGTCTCGGTCCTGATGTTTCGAAGCGAGCTGTTCCTTACTGAGCTCTCACTTGGAGGATAATTCTGAGGATAATTAAGGGTAATTCTGAGGATAATTCAGGGCAATTCTGAGGGGTGGGGGAAGGCTCGGCCCGCCTTTCCCCACCGTGAACCTGACGTCCTTCCTCTTCCTCAGGACGAGAGTCACTCGGAGTGGGTGTCGTGCGTCCGCTTCTCCCCGAACAGCAGCAACCCCATCATCGTCTCCTGCGGCTGGGACAAACTGGTGAAGGTGAGGTGAGATCCCTGCGCTGGCGGGGGGCGAGAATCAGCGCAGCCAATTCTCTGGGGAAGGGTTTATTAATATTTTTTTTTTATTTTTTTTTCCCCCACATCCTGAGAATTGGGGTGCGGCAGCAAGCGTTGAACCCCCTTTTTTTTTTTTTTTTTAATTCTGCTCCTGTGGGTTTTTTTGTGTGGTTTTTTTTTTTTTTTGTTTTGTTTTGTTTTTTTTTCCCCCCACCCAGGTTTGGAATTTGGCTAACTGCAAGCTGAAGACAAACCACATCGGGCACACGGGCTACCTGAACACGGTGACCGTCTCCCCCGACGGCTCCCTCTGCGCCTCCGGTGGCAAGGTACGCGGCGGGAAGGTCGAACCCCTGAGATGAGATCCATTCCCTTTTGGGTTTTTTTTTGTTTTTTTTTTTTTTTTTCCCCCCTCTTGACTCCTTTTTCTGCCCCGCAGGACGGCCAGGCCATGCTGTGGGACCTGAACGAAGGGAAACACCTCTACACCTTGGACGGAGGAGACATCATCAACGCTCTGTGCTTCAGCCCCAACCGCTACTGGCTCTGCGCCGCCACCGGCCCCAGCATCAAGATTTGGGTACGTCCCCCTGCAAAAGACAACTTTCCCCTTTTCTTCAGTTTTTGGAGTCGCCTCCCCCCCCGCTGCTCCGGGGCTGAGGAGGGTGATGGTGGCTGAGCCGCCGTGCCGTGATGAAACACTTTGATGCCATCTGACCGTGTTGCCGTGCGGAAAAATCCCCAGAGGCTGTTTCTGAGCGACCCCCCCCCCCCCAGCTGCTCCCTCGCGGGGTTTCGGGGTCGGATTCCATCCCGGGAATTTCCCTCGCGGGATCCTTCCCTTTCTTCTTTCTCCTCCAGGACCTGGAAGGCAAAATCATCGTGGATGAGCTGAAGCAGGAGGTGATCAGCACCAGCAGCAAAGCCGAACCGCCCCAGTGCACTTCCCTGGCCTGGTCTGCCGATGGGCAGGTACAAACACCACCCCCCCCCCTCCCCTCCCTGATCCCAAATGAGGATTTGGGGGGACACCCACCCACCCACCCCCCCCCAGCTGCTTTTGGGGCTCGGGGACTGTGAAGACACTTGGGGCTCTGCTCCTGGAGGTGTCTCTGCTAGCGAGGCCAAGAACTTCCCTCACCTCCCTTCCTCCCCTGGGGCCCTTCCCAACCTTCCAGCCCCCCAACATCTGGCGCTCCCCCCAACATCTGGCACTCCCCCCGCCCCGTGTTTCGGACCGTAGCTGCTTCTCCTCGCGTCCCAAAGTCCCACCTTGTTGGCCATCAACCCTTCCAATGACCCAACCCCGTTTCTCTCCGTAGACCCTCTTCGCCGGCTACACAGACAACCTCGTCCGGGTGTGGCAAGTCACCATCGGGACCAGATAGCGAGAAAGCCTAAATTTTGTGTATGGGAAAAAAAAAAAAAAAATCAATAAAAAGCGCTTTACAGAGGTTTTTTGCCCACCTCTTGGGTCAGCCCAGAACATGGCAGTTGAAAGAGCCGAGGAAGGGGAGAAGCAAAAACCCCAGCGGGGTTTACGGCCACAAGGAATTGTCCCCACACCTTCGAGGTTGGGGACGTCGTGGAGGGACAGGGGGGTGACCGCCAGAACTTGGCGATGATCATTTTGTGTGTTTTAAACAAAAAAAAAAACCCCCAAACCTGAAAAAGGGCGGGAAATCCTGAGGGGAGCGCGAGGCAGCGGGGTGTTGCTTCTCCCACGTGAGGGGCTGGGGGTGGAGGGAAAAAACAACCACAATTTTCCAGAAAAATGGATAAATTTGAGCACCAGCAGTGGTTACAATAAGGAATTGGGGCTGTGTCCCTGCAGCGGGGATTGTGGGAGTGGCCATTTGTGAGGTTTTTCCTAGAGAATTTCAAGCTGGGCGCAAAGCTCTTTTCAACAGATTGAGGAATTTTGGGGATTTTTTTTTTTTGTCTTTTTTTGCCCTTTTCTGGCCCATAGAGCCCCCCTGAGAAGGGACTTTGGTCCCCAGGTGCCACCAGCTCGGCCATCGGCTGCTTTGGGAAGGCACGTGGGCTTGTGAGCCTGAGCTAATGAGGTGGGATTAGGTCAAGATTTAACGAGGTGAGATTTAAAGCGCAGCTGCTGACTGGGATGAGTTGGTACCAGTGAGGTCAGGCAGGCTCGGGGGGACCCGCACCCCCAGTTTGGGGCAGAGGTGGAGCCAGATTTCTTTGGAAATGGCTCCCAGATCTTGCAAGCCTCCCCCCGGGAATCTCAATAAGCCGAAGACTCAGGTTTACAACCTTATTCTTTATTATTATTATTATTTCTTGACATTTCATAAAACTAAATCTCCATTTAATTCTCATTTTAGCCAAAAATATTTTGAACTAGCTCTGTAACGCCAACGGGAAAAAAAAAAAATACCAATCCACCAACAAAACAAAAAAAAACCACCACAATGGGTACAGTCAGAGTCTCTCGAGTGGGACAGGATTCAGCTGGAATCTCAACAAAAAAAAGGGAGAGAAAAATAAATATCCCCATCTCGGAGAGCTCTCGAGCTGCAAGGGGAAATGGGAGGCTGGTTCCTGCCCCCGCGGCCGGGCCGGGGCGGCTCTGGGGAGGAGACCAGCTCTTTGCACCCTCCTCGGCCCCCAGTAAAGTGCCAGACCCACAGAAAATGGTTCCGAAAGGAATTGGGGGGGGGGGGGGGGTTAGGAAATTTGAGAACCCCCACTAATGGAAAAAAAAAAGAAAAAGATGAGAAAAATTGCAGGTTAAAGCAGGTTTGACTCCAGGTCCCAACAGCAGCTGGGGGTTGAAGGTGAAGCCTGAGAAATCCAGGCGCAACCTGGATGGGGGGGAAAAATGATTTTTTGGGGAAAGATGACAGTGGGGGTTTGGAGGAGCGACGAGCGCTCGCACCTTGATGTCCAGTTTCACACCCCCCCCGCCGCCCCCCAAGTTGGGAGGTCTGTGTCCTAAGGGAGCCAAGAGGCACCTCAAAACTCAACTGTGGGCGCAAAACTTTGGGTGTCAAGCCGGGGGGGGGGGGGGGGGGGGAAGGAGAGAGGAGCTTCCTAGCAGCAAGAGCCGGGGAAAAAAAAAATAAAAAAAAATAAAAAATTGAAAAAAAAAAAAAAAAATTCCCACCTTTCCAAGGCGGATTCTTCCCTATTCAGAACCAAACCACGTTGGGATCGGTGAGATCCCAGGAGGTTGAGGGAAGAGGTTTTGTGAGCAAGCGGGTGCAAGAAGACGAGTGCAGCGTTGGGTCCCCAAGTGGGATCCGGGGGGTTGAGGGAGGGGAAGGAGCGTGGCTCTGTGCAAGGCCGGATCTGGAGAGGCGAGGCCCGGCCGGTCAGGCGCAGATTTTGATGCGGGTGCCCTTGGCTAAAATGCGAAAAAAAGGGAAGATGCGCTCGTGGAAGGAAGCGTTGAAGGTGTGGATGTGGGTCATGCTCTCGGCGTTGTAGAAGCAGAGTTGGCCCCGCTCGTAGTCCAGGTAGACGCCGAAGCGCCGGGGCCGTTCGCTGGGCGACAGCGCCGTCTGCTCCGTGGCCGTCAAAGCCTGGTATTTCTTCCCGTTGGTGCCCACGCACCAGATTTCCCGTTTTTGGTGAGGACCCACCGTTTTCTCTTTGCGCCGAGCCGTCTCGCGGGCGGCGCCCACCGCCCAACCTCGCCGGCCGCCCACTTCGACCTCCCAGTAATGGCGCCCGGCGCTGAAACCCTGCGAACCCAAGACGCAATAATCCGAATCGAAACGTTTCGGGTTGTCCGGCAGATCCTGGCGGCGTTCGCCCAGCTTCACGCTGCGGCGATCCACGGAGAGGCTCAGGCGCGGGTGGGCCGTGTCGGGGTCCAGGGTCACGTCGGCTGGAAAACGGGGAGGTGTGTGTGTGTGTGTGTGTGGGGGGGGGGGTCACCGGTCACCTCCGTCTCCCCACCGGTCCCCCAAGGTTGTTTTTTCCTCTTTCCAACCCCAAATCCGCACCCGCGCGCGCTGCCTGTAGCACCAGTGGCCGCCGGGACCGACAGCCCCCACCCTGGGTCTGTCCTGGTTTTGGCTGGGACGGCGTTAAACCTCTAATGCCCCCCCAGTTTCCCTTCAAAACTCACTTAACCCCCCCAATTCCCCTCCCCCAAAACCCTTAACCCCTCCCCATAACACCTTAAGCCCCCCGATTCTCTTCCAAAACCAACAATTCCCTTCCGAAACTCCCTTAAGCCCCAAAATTCTCTTCCAAAACTCCCCCAACCCCCTCAATTCCCCTTCAAACCCTTCCAATTCCCTCCCCAAAACCCCTTAAGCCCCCCAATTATCTTCTAAAACCAACAATTCTCTTCCAAAACTTCCATAACTCCCCCCAATTCCCCTTCAAAACCCAATTTTCTTCTAAAACTCCCTTGAACCCCCCAATTCCCCCTCGAACCTCTCCAATTCTCTTCCAAAAACCCCTTGAGCTGCCCTATTCTCTTCCAAACCCCCCAATTCTCTTCCAAAACTCCCTGAACTCCCCCCAATTCCCCTTCAAACCCACCAATTCCCTTCCAGAAACCCCTTGAACCCCCCAATTCCTCTTCAAACCCAATTCCCTTCCAAAAACCCCCTGAGCCCCCCTATACTCTTCCAAACCCCTCAATTCTCTTCCAAAACTCCCCTAACTCCTCCCAATTCCCCTTCAAACCCCAATTCCCTTCCCAAATTCCCTTAACCCCCCAATTCCCTTCCAAAACTCCCTCGAACCCCCCAATTCCCTTCCAAAATTCCCTTAACCCACCAATTCCCTTCCAAACCTCCCTCGAATCCCCCAATTCCCCTTCAAACCCCCCCAATTCCCTTCCAAAAACCCCTTGAAGCCCCCAATTCCCTTCCAAAATTCCCTTAACCCCCCAATTCCCTTCCAAAACTCCCTCGAACCCCTCAATTCCCCTTCAAACCCCCCCAATTCCCTTCCAAAATTCCCTTAACCCATCAATTCCCTTCCAAAACTCCCTCGAACCCCCCAATTCCCTTCCAAAAACCCCTTGAACCCCCCAATTCCCTTCCAAAACTCCCTCGAACCCCCCAATTCCCTTCCAAAAACCCCTTGAACCCCCCAATTCCCTTCCAAACCCCCCTCAACCCCTCCAATCCTTTTCCAACTCCGGGACAGATCCCAGCCCAACCCCGGAGCCGTCAGCGACTCCGGATCCAGCTCCGCTTTTGGGATGGGAAGGAGACGGCCCCGTTAGGGGCGAAGCCCAATTAAAGGGCAGAGCAAAGCGTGGAGAGGAAGAAGAGGCCGGAATGGAGGAGACCAGTAGGACAGAAAAAAAAAAAAAAGGGGGTGGAAATCCTGGGGAAGGCAGAAGTGGAGGGGGAAATCCCAGCATCTGCCCCCCCTTGGGCCTGTGCCCCAAAAACCGCGTCGTGCCCTGGGGCGGAGGCGCTGGGTCGCGCTCACCTTGCGGGACTTTGCTGAAGACTTTCTCCATCTTCCTCATCACCACGTCCTGCAGAAAGTAGTTGCGATATTTTTTCCCCACGTCCACCGGCACCATCTCGGGCTCCTGGAATTTGATGTTCTCGCATCTGCCAGTGCAGGGGGTGGGGGGTTGGGGGTTGAGGGAGGGGGGGTGGGGGGTGGAAAAAGTGGGGATTCAGCGCGCTGGGGGGCGGGGAGGTAAAACACAACAGGGAGATGCCCTGCACAGAGCCAAAAACCCCAGAGATGGGCTGAACCGGTTCCGCTGGTACAGCCGGCGGTCCCCACCCCATCTCGGCCGCAGGAAACAGCCAAATTTGGGGCAGGGATGGAGCCGCGGTCACCCAGCGCCCCCCCCTTCCCCTCCCCTCCCTCAGCGAGCAGCTGAGGGAGGGGGCGTGATTTCAAATTCAAAAAGCAGCTCAAAAATAAACCAAAAAAACACCACAACCAAACCAAAAACCCACCACCCCACGATCCGTTTGAGATTTACCAGCGGCTCCGGCTTCCCCGGGGCACGAGGTCTGGGCAGGCACACCCAGCTCCACTCCCAAAAAGCGGCTGCTGGGATTTGGAGATCTCTCCCCAGCCTTTCTCCTCTCCCAACCTCCCCCCCAAATCCCATTTATATCAGCCAGGAGTTCCCAAAGTCACATTTTATTTTTTACACCGGCCGCAATCGACTTTTCCCTGGCGTTACCCAACCCCAGTCTGGAAAAGCACCGACTGCCCAAGGTTTAAAATAAAAATCTCATGGATTTTTTTTTTTTTTTTTTCCCCCCTCCTCCCCCCCACCCCCAAAAAGCCTACGGAAAAGTCACTGACCTGATAAAAGTGCCTTTGATGTCCTGCAAAAGGAGGGAGCCGGGTGGGAAGTGGGGAGGAAGAGAAAGAAAAGATTAGGGGGGGGAAAAAATCCTCTCAGCGGCTGCGGCGCAGCACCGCCCTGAGCTGCAATGAGCCGCCTGCCCCCGGGGGACAGGATGAGTCCCCTGGGTGGGTTCACCCCCTGGTAGAGCCGTTTCCCATTAATACAAGCACCCGAGCAAACCCCAAATTTGGGGGGGCAGCCTGGTTTTTCCCCCCACTTTGGTCTCGCAGACAGGACGAGATCCCCGACCGGAGGGACGGGGCAGGATTTTGCCATCGGATAAAGACCCTCTCCCACGAGGAAAACCCTTTTGGGGAGGAAAAAGAGCTCCCCCTCTTCACAGCTCCGCTTAATTCCCAGCGCTAACGTTATCCCTTTGCTAGAAAGAGGGGGCAGAGCCCCGCCAGCGCGGAGCTGAACCGCTCCGGAGATCAACTGCGTGAATCATGAGTCAAAAACTCCTTGAAAAGGTTCAAAACCAGCGCGAGAGACGCTTTGCTCCAGCGCGGTGGCGAGACTCTGTCCTCCTCCTGGGATCCCCCATCACGACCTTCCCTCTTCCCCCTGCCCCAGGGCTAGAGAAAAAACAACCCCCACCCCCCCCCAAAAAAAAAATTAAAGATAAAAAAAAAGGACCTTGAGCAGTTGCAGCCCGTCCTGTTTGCTCTTGTCCTCCGCCTCGGCGATGAGGCGGCTGAGGGCCGCGCTCTGCTCTTCCAGCTGGCTGATGTTGCTGCTCTGACGGGCCAACAAGCTCTCGTAGCGTTCCTCCAGCTGGTGCAAGAGCAGGACTTGCTCCCCGATGAGGAATTGGTGCAGCAGCTCAAAGTCCGACTCGAATTCCTTAATCTCCAGCTTCATCTTGTCCTGCGGAGCCGGGGGGAAGGGGAGGATAGACACCCTTAAGCTCAAGCGGCAGACTCAAAGGATGGGAATTTGTTTTTTCTCCCCGCCTACCCATCCCCACCACACATTCGGGCACAAAACCCCCTTATTTAAGCTCTAATTCCGCAGGGAAGAGGCTTCCAGCCCTTGTGACCCCAGCAAAGGGACCGCGACACCTCCGGGAAGAGCCCAGAGCTGCGAGGAAGGGGGAGAAAACCGTCCCGGCTCATCCCCCTCACCAGACTGCAGCGCTCTGGCATTCCAGCATCCTGAGGGCTGATTATCTGGAGGGGTTTCTTGTTTTGTTTTTTGTTTTTGGTTTTTTTTTTTTTTTTTTGGTCAGGGTGGAAGACAGAAACAAGAAATGAAGCAGCGTGGAAAGGAATCGCGCACGGGAGCGGTCGGTTCTTACCCTCAGCTCCGTGATTTTCTCCTCCTCGTTGGATTTCTGCTTCAGGACCGCGTCCAGCTTCTTCTTCAGCGGCTCCAGGTGGCTCTGGAGTTTGTTCTGAGAGAAAGAAACCCACCTCAGGCACCCCGGGGCTCAGGGAATCCCCTCCTTCCTCTCCTCTTTTGGGCCCTAAATCCACGGCGGGGCTGAGAATAAAACTCCTCCTAATTTCAGCCTAAACCTCGGCCTTTCGGTAGCAACGCGGTTCTAGATCCGCTTCGGCATCTCCAAAAATCCAATTGCTGCTGTCTCGCCACCCTCCCAGGCTGCGCCCTCTGGAAATTCATTTTTCCTGCCTCCTTGGATTTTTGTAGCAAAAAAATTTGGCGGGGGGGCGGGAGGGGGGGGAAAGAGACTGAGCTGACCGAAGAGCAAACGGCGCTGCCGGCCACGCGCCCACTGCCCCTCACGAAACAGCACGACGCAGGGAGGAGGCACCCCCCGTTGCTGTCTTCCTCCCCCCAAACCTCCTGGCTGCTAAATTCCAGCCTCCCCCCACCCCCCCCAAAAAAAAATTCAGGGGCTCAGAGGGTGTTGACTCCAACTGGAGCTGCCACGGCTGAGTCTCCAGCCAGTTGGATAGTCAAGGAACTGAACCCGACACGCTCTTTTTCTCCCAGAAATCCTCCCCCCACAAAAAAAAACAAGATGTGACCTCGGTGGCCACCGTCCCCCGAGCGCGGCTGCTTCGTTAAAATCCCTAACGAAGGGTCTGGGGGGAGGATTTCAGGTCTGGGGGGAGGATTTCTCCCCCACCCCTCCTGGTTTCACCTTCGTTACCATCCCCACCTCTCCCCCCGTGGTTAACCAGACCCTCCCTGCCCCAACCAACCCACCTCCCTCCCCGGTTTTGTGGCTTCCTGGCCCTCCTGCACCCCAACCCCAACCTCCACCCCCCCCCTTTTTTTTTTTTTATTTTATTTTTCATTTTTCCCACCCCCCTTTCTCTGCTTGCCAAACCAGCCTGGCAAGATGCACCCAACGCCATCCGCACCACCCAGCCTGCGCCGACGGCTCTGTCCTCCTTCCCACACCCCCTCCCCTTAAAAAAATAATTAAAAAAACCCCAAAACAAACAAACCCACCCAAATCCACCTCAACTTCTCCCGACCCCCTCGCCGTTTCCCACCTTGTAATCCTGCACCACCTCCTCGAGGGGGACGACGCTGTGGTGCTTGTGGCTCCGCGACTCCCGGCACACCACGCAGATGGCTTGCTCGTCCACCTCACAGAAAAGCTTGAGGGGCTCCTGGTGCTTCTCGCATAAATTTGGGGGGGCCTGACCCCCCACGGCTACCAGCACCCCCGGCACCCCCGGCACGGCTCCCGACACCGAGGGGCCAGCGGCCGGCGGGGCGAGGCGCTGGGGGTGCGGGTGGAGCTGGCGGATGATTTGCACCATGTTGGCCAGCTGGAGGTTGGGGCGAAAATTCCTCTGGAAAAAGGTTTTTCGGCACTGGGGGCAGGTGAAGGTTTGGAGGCGTCGAGGCCGCGTGGCCAGGACCGGGGGAGGAGGCGTCTGGACCTCTTCTTCCTCCTCTTCCACCTCCTCCTCTTCCTCCACGTCTTCCTCCATCACGTCCTCGTCATAGTCCTCGTCCCCAAAGTAAAGCTCGCCCCCCACCCCCCCGTCCCACATGTCCTCCTCCACGGGGTCTTCCCACAGGTCGCCTTCGTCTTCCTCCTCGCTCCACATGTCGTCCTCCTCCTCCTCCTCCTCTTCCTCCCCGCCGCCTTCCTCCTCCTCCTCCTCCTCCTCCTCCTCTTGCTCCACATCCAGCTCGTCCTCCTCCAGCTCGTCCTCCTCATCCTCCAGATCCTCCTCCAGGACGTCGCCCACCGCCACGGCCCCCGCCGGGGCGGCCGCCTCGTACTCGGCCTCGCCGCCCCACAGCTGCGAGATGCAGACGCGGCAGAAGTTGTGCCCGCACCCGATGGAGACGGGGTCCACGAAATAGTCCAAGCAGATGGCGCAGATGGCTTCCTCCTGCAGCGTCTCCACCGGGTTCAGCCGCCCGCCGGGACCCCCCGAGGGGACCCCGTCCCCTAAAACCGCCGTGGCCGCCATCAAGGGGTGGGGGGATGATGATGAAGAGGAGGGACCCTCCTCCTCCTCCTCCTCCCAAATCCCTGAGCTCCCTCTCAACCCACCAGCTCAAACCCAAAAGGGCGCCCAGTCCCCACCCAGTCGCCACCAAGACTTTGGGGTGCCGCTTCCCTCTTCCCCCCCCACCCCGGGGGGGGGGCACTTCCCTTCCCTTCGCTTCAACACTCAAAACGAGGGGGGGAGGTTTGAGGGGTTGATGCCGGTTTTGCCCCTAACGTTGCTCCCCCCCCCCCCCCCCCCAATAAAAACCACAACCGGGGGGGCTGCTGGAGGCCTCCCCCCCCCACCCCAAACCGGGGCCTGATCCCCACAGCGCTCCCCGCCGCCGGGCCTGGCCCCAACCTCAGCCCAAACGGCCCCGGGGGTGCCACCCTCGCCCACCCCCGCTGGCTCGTCGCCACTCCCGTTCGCTCGCCGACCCCGGAGGGAGCCGCTCTAGCCCTTCTCCCGCCCCCGCCGCCGCTCTCTATGGTGCCGGGGCTCCGCCAACAGACGGGGAAAAAAACGCCGCCGCGCTTCCGCTTTCCGGTCTCCGGCCGCAAGCCCCGCCCACCTTTCCCCCCACCTGACCGGAAGTGCCGCACTAGGCAACCGGCGGCGGGTTGCTAAGGGATGGGGTGGGCGGAAGAAAACCGGGCGCCACCCCCCCCACACCGCCTCCATCCCCCCGCGTTGCGGCGGGAACCGGAGCGCCGCGTTGATCCGCGCCGACGGTGCGGAGGGGAGCCGCCGCCGAGCCGGAGTCTCGGTGGTCTTGCGGCGGGCTTGTCTATCCCCCCCCTCCTCGTTGCTCTTGGAGGTCTGGCTTCCCCCCCCCCCCCCCCCCGAGACACCGCCTCGGGGGCGTGGCCTACGCTGGAGGGGGCGTGGCTACCGCCGCAGCCCGGCTAGCTCAGCCGGTAGCGCATGCGCCGCTGAATCGTAAGATCGCGGGTTCGAGCCCCACATTGGGCGCCCTGGCATTTTTATTTTGATTTTTCATTTTCCTCCCCGCCCGCGTTTCTTTCCGCCGCCCCGCGCACTCGTCGCTCCGCCGGAGCGACCCCCCGGCCCTCGCTGCGCTCCGCACCCGCGGCGGCTGCGCGGCCGTAGGCCCTCATCTCCGCTCCGTTCCCACCGTGTTTCTGTAGTGTAGTGGTTATCACGTTCGCCTCACACGCGAAAGGTCCCCGGTTCGAAACCGGGCAGAAACATTTCATTTTTTCCCCCCCCCCTTTTTTTTTATCCTATTTCTTTTTTTTTTTTTTTCTTCCAGTTTTTTGCCTCCCGCCCGCCTTCGCACAAGCACTTTTAACTCTTCGCAGCAGCCTGCAGCGCTGCTGGGTGACACGCGGCTATTCCGCCCCCCCACCCCCCGGGGGGGGCCCCTGTTCCCCGGGACCCCCCGGCGCCGGTCCCGGGGCCGGTGACACGCGCGGACGCTGCGTCACGTGGGGACGGTTGTTACCGCAGGGGGGGTTGGACACCCCGTGGCCCGGCTAGCTCAGTCGGTAGAGCATGAGACTCTTAATCTCAGGGTCGTGGGTTCGAGCCCCACGTTGGGCGCTTCCTGCTTTTCTTTTCCCCGATTCTCCTCCCCGTGGGGCAGAAAAATTCATCCCGACCCCCCCAAACCCCCCAGCCCTGAAAGGGGCCGAGCCGCAACTCTTCACGTTTTTGTTAAAAGAAAAAGGTTGGAGTTTTGCTGAAGGAAGGAAAAGAAAATCTCCGGAACTGGTCACGATGAGAATAACCACCCTCCTTCTCTCATTTTTCCTTTATTTAAGTTTTAACCACAGCCCTTCTTCCTTCATTTTTACTTCAAATTTTACTCACAGCCCTTCTTCCATCACTTTTCCTTTATTTAAGTTTTAACCACAGCCCTTATTCCATCATTTTTCATTTAAATTTTACTCACAGCCCTTCTTCCATCACTTTTCCTTTATTTAAGTTTTAACCACAGCCCTTCTTCCATCACTTTTCATTTAAATTTTACTCACAGCCCTTCTTCCCTCATTTTCCCTTTATTTAAGTTTTAATCACAACCTTTCTTCCAACATTTTCCTTTAAGTTTTAATCACAGCCTTTCTTCCATCACTCTTATTTAAATTGCATTCACAGCCCTTCTTCCACCATTTCTCCTTTAAGTTTTGCTCACAGCCCTTCTTCCATCATTTTTCCTTTATTTAAGTTTTAACCACAGCCCTTCTTCCATCAATTTTCCTTGATTTAAGTTTTGATCACAGCCTTTCTTCCATCACTTTTCCTTTATTTAAATTGGATTCACAACCCTTCTTCCAGCACTTTTCCTTTAGGTTTTACTCACAGCCCTTCTTCTACCATTTTCCCTTTATAAAAGTTTTGATCAAAGCCCTTTTCCCCTCATTTTCCCTTTATATAAGTTTTCTGAGCCCAATTCCCATCACATGGGGAATCGGGGCCCCCTCACAGCCCGTTTCTTAATCTTTTTTTTTGAGGCAGAAGGACTGCAGCACAAATTCCCCTTGCTGCCACTTTTTGTTTTTTTTTTTTCCCCTCTACATTAATTTCCTTGTGTTTTTGTTTTGTTTTGTTTTTACTGTTTCATCTTCCTCTCTAGTTTTTAGAGCTTTTTTTTTTTTTTTTTTTTCTTTTAACATAATTTAGTGAAGTCGGAAGGCAGAAGAGCTCACATCCATGCGCGATCTCAACGCCTGAGGAAAACAAGGGCTGCGGGTGATATAAAAATCTGCTATTCTGGAGAGACCCAGAAGAGCTTGAACTGAGGCCAAGTTGTTACCGTGCTTGTGAGAAACGGAAAAAGCTGTTTTATTTTATTTTAGCCATCATGAAAAGGGTTTGCTGTGATTTTATAGCTCGCTCATCCGCAGGTACTGATCAGTACCGTGTCTGATAACCACAGGTACCACGCCGGGGGGGTCAAAACTACGGCTGCAGCAGGAGGAAAAAAAAAAAAGGAGATCAGCGTCTTCTCAGCTGAATTAGAGGTTTTTCAACTTGTCTTGAATTCGGGGCGATGAGCCGCGGGGTCAGAGAGGTGGCCGAGGCGGCGGCGGAGGTGGTGGAGGACGGCGGGGAGGCTGCTGGAACAAGAGGTCAAGTTTGCTCATCTTGGAAAGGGGGAAGGAGGGAGAAATGGGTGAATTTAGACGGCTCAGCGCGGCTTCATTTCCTGCAGCTGGGAAAAAAAAAAAAAAAATAAAAAAAAAATAGCTAAAACCCACCGAGGTGGCTTTGCTGTGCGTCGAGTTCCTTCCCTTGCGGGGCTGGGGAGAAAATTGGAGATTTGACATCTGGATGGACCAGGATTTTGAAAGCCTCGTCCAGCAAATGAGGGGTTTGGGGATTTGCTGACAATTCAACGCCCAGCATCGAAACCCGGCGTCCGGCCGGGTGGGTTGGGATAAGCTCGTCCCGAGCCTGGTGTTAATTAATATTTCCCCAAAGCTTTGGCTGAAGGTGCCGGGATCGCATCGGCGCACGACGTGGGTGGGTGCGGGATGAACATTTTGCTGCTATCGGAGAATACTAGATCCCGTGCCCGAACACGCAGGCAGGAGGATTTTTGGCATGGAAAAAGCCTTTTCCCAGGTGGAAAATCGCCCGTTGCTGGAGGAGAGCACGGGGGGTGTCTGTAAGAGCATGGCGAGCAAAACCCTTTCAGGGTGGGCCCGATGCTGGTGCCTGACCTCAGGGCAGGGAATGACCGCAGGGACTTATCTCGCCGAGGATGTCTGAAGCAATTTTTTTTAATTTTCTTTTTTTTTTTTTTTTTTTTTTTTTGGTGCTGCGTGATTCATTTCCTCTGCCGAGTCACTTCTCACAGCTCGGGAGCTGCAGGCGTCCCGCGAGGCCGGAGCTGCAGAGGTGGCCACGAAGCAAGCAAAGCTTAGATTACTCATTTATAATTAAACCAGCGACTCCTTGGCTTGAGCACGTACGAAGGAAGGAAAGAGGTACATGACGATGCACGAATGCATCGCAGGGCTGTAACCCGATTTGGCTGATCAGCCCCGGCTGAAAATTAAAATACACACCGAGCTGATTCCGCCTGGGCAGGGTTTGACCTGCAGATCCCTCAGACTGGGTTTATTCCTGGTCCCGGCGGTTACGTGGGAGCGTCCTGCTCTCCTGCGGGCTGGAATCTCCTCCTAAACGAGCGGGGAGGATGCCGAGCTCTGCAAAACGGGGCATGCAGCAGCACCGAGCTTGGGCATTGCCAGTCGACCCCACGGCTCTTCCCCCCACTTGAGAAAAAGAGGGGAAAAAAGTCTTTTTTTTTCCTCCTGTAATTTTGTGTTTTGTCTGCACAGTTGTGTTGGCAAGGAGCAGGGAGGGAGGGGTGGCATCCTGTAAAGCTGTTCTTGCTGCCGAACGCTCCCCGCTGTCAACTCGTTCTTCGGGACTCGGAAGTCATGGGTCAGGATGAGGAACTTCTTTTCCCTCTTCTCTCTTTAGCAGCAAACTTTTGAAGACCTTGAAACGCCTTGTGGAGTGACTCAGGTTTCAGGGGGGTGTTGCAAAACTGCGTTTCGCGCAGAAAAACAGCCTGAAATTCCCCTTTCTCCGCCCCTCCTTCCTTTTACATCCTTTACGAGGCTGCCCTTTGCAGGCAAGACCTCCCAGATCAGATAGCAAAAGCTGATCGAGAAGGAAACTCCCAGCTGCTGCCCAAGGGAAAAAAAAAAAAAAAAAAAAAAAAAAAAATTCAATGAAGCGAAAGTAACCGTGTCATTCTTCAGCCATGGCCGGGTGCGACCCGCTGGAGAGTCTGCAGAAAGAAGCGTCTTGCTCCATCTGCCTCGATTATTTCAGCGACCCCGTGTCCATCAACTGCGGGCACAGCTTCTGCCGGGACTGCATCACGCGATGCTCGGGAAAATCGGACCGGAGGTTCGCCTGCCCCCAGTGCCGGGGAATTGCCCAGAAAAGAAAATTTAGACCCAACCGGGAGCTGAGGAACCTGGCAGGAGATCGCCAAGAAGCTGAGCTCGTGGGCAGGGTACGCGGCTGGGGCGGGCAGCCTCTGCCCGAAGCATCAGGAACCGCTCAAACTCTTCTGCCAGGAGGACGGGACGGCCATCTGCGTGGTGTGCGACCGGTCCCACGCCCACCGCGCTCACTCCGTCGCTCCCATCGAAGAGGCCGCCCAGGAGTGCAAAGTAAGAAAGCGCAGCGTTTTGCTCTGGTGCTTTTGGGTTTTTTGGGTTTTCGGCCCGTCAGAGGCGGAGGTCTGTGCTTCTCCACCTTCCCAAGGATATGGGGAAGGACGTCCCGTGGGACCTCCCAAAATTTGGGATGTAGCAGGTTGGGGCTGTTTTGGTTTGGGTTTTTTTTTTTTTTTTTTTGGCCCATCAGAGGCTTAGGTCTCTGCTTCTCCACCTCCACAAGGATACGGGGAAGGATGTCCTGTAGGATGCCCCGAAAATTTGGGATGTGGCAGGGTTTGGGTTCTTTTGGGGCTATTTTAAGTCCACCAGAAACTGAGGTCTGCCAGCCAGGGGCTTCTCCACCTTCCCAAGGATATGAGGAAGAATATCCCACAGGATCTCCCAAAATTTGGGATGTGGCAGGTTGGGGGTTTTTTGGTTTGGGGTTTTTTTCTTTGGACCATCAGAGGCGGAGGTCTGTGCTTCTCCACCTTCCCAAGGATATGGGGAAGGACGTCCCGTGGGACCTCCCAAAATTTGGGATGTAGCAGGTTGGGGCTGTTTTGGTTTGGGTTTCTTTTTTTTTTTTTTTTGGCCCATCAGAGGCTGAGGTCTCTGCTTCTCCACCTCCACAGGGATACTGGGGAAGGATGTCCTGTAGGATTCCCCGAAAATTTGGGATGTGGCAGGGTTTGGGTTCTTTTGGGGCTATTTTAAGTCCACCAGAAGCTGAGGTCTGCCAGCCAGGGGCTTCTCCACCTTCCCAAGGATATGAGGAAGAATATCCCACAGGAACTCCCAAAATTTGGGATGTGGCAGGTTGGGGGTTTTTTTGGTTTGGGGTTTTTTTCTTTGGCCCATCAGAGGCGGAGGTCTGTGCTTCTCTACCTTCCCAAGGATATGGGGAAGGATGTCCCATGGGACCTCCCAAAATTTGGGATGTAGCAGGTTGGGGGTGTTTTGGTTTGGGTTTGGTTTGTTTTTTTTTTTTGGCCCATCAAAGGTGGAAGTCTGTGCTTCTCCACCTTCCCAAGGATATGGGCAAGGATGTCCCATAGGAACTCCCGAAATTTGGGATGTTGCAGGGGTTGAGTTTATATTTTCAGGGCTTTCTTGGTCCGTCAGAAGCTGAGGTCTGCCAGCCAGGGGCTTCTCCACCTTCCCAAGGATATGAGGAAGAATATCCCACAGGAACTCCCAAAATTTGGGATGTGGCAGGTTGGGGGTATTTTGGTTTGGGGTTTTTTTCTTTGGCCCATCAGAGGCGGAGGTCTGTGCTTCTCTACCTTCCCAAGGATATGGGGAAGGACGTCCCGTGGGACCTCCCAAAATTTGGGATGTAGCAGGTTGGGGCTGTTTTGGTTTGGGTTTCTTTTTTTTTTTTTTTTGGCCCATCAGAGGCTGAGGTCTCTGCTTCTCCACCTCCACAAGGATATGGGGAAGGATGTCCTGTAGGATTCCCCGAAAATTTGGGATGTGGCAGGGTTTGGGTTCTTTTTAGGCTTTTTTAAGTCCACCAGAAGCTGAGGTCTGCCAGCCAGGGGCTTCTCCACCTTCCCAAGGATATGAGGAAGAATATCCCACAGGATCTCCCAAAATTTAGGATGTGGCAGGTTGGGGGTTTTTTGGTTTGGGGTTTTTTTCTTTGGCCCATCAGAGGCTGATGTCTGTGCTTCTCCACCTTCCCAAGGATATGGGGAAGGACGTCCCGTAGGAACTCCCCAAATTTGGGATGTTGCAGGGGTTGAGTTATATTTTCAGGGCTTTCTTGGTCCGTCAGAAGCTGAGGTCTGCCAGCCAGGGGCTTCTCCACCTTCCCAAGGATATGAGGAAGAATAATCCCGTCGGATCTCCCAAAATTTGGGATGTGGCAGGGTTGGGTCGAGCCAGTAGATCATGGAGCTGGGGTTGGCTTTGCTTCGCTGCCTCGGCTCCAGCCCTGCCTGGATGCGATGCTGTCACCCCCGGTCTGCAGGCGCCCAGAGGCACGGTGAGGGGCACAGCCGGGCTTCAGGGACACGCAGAGACTTCAGGGGGGCCGGGTCAGACTCAGCCCACCAGCAAAATCCACTTTTAGGGTCACCCCCAGGCAGCACGAGTGACTAAAACCCGATTTGCACCGTGACCTCCAAAGAGGGGGGGCGGATTTCAATCCCAACTTCTCAAGGTGACATTGTCAGCTTGGATCCCTTTGGAAAAAGGCACCGTTTTATTTGCTGTCACCCTCTCCGGGGATGCTGAGGCCGACAGCTCATCGAAAATACCCAAATTAGCAGAGCTGGACCCCACCTTCGCTCACTTGTGCACAGGCAGGGCTCTTACTGCTAATTTTTGTGCAAGAATTGGACCATAAATCCCAGGTGAGTTGTGCTTTCTGCTGTAAATCTCTCCCCACAGGAATGTCTTTCTAGACAGCTCTCTCAGAATAACCGTGACGATGCTGGGAGGCATTTTTAGTTCCCTTCGGGGTGGATGGGGTCAGGAGGAGGAGTCGGTGCTCATGCAGAGGAGGCTCCGTGACATTTCATCATGCCCACAGGGGAAGAAATGACTGGGAATGGGGAGGTGAAAGGTGACATTAGTCACGCCGTGAGCATGAAACAAGATTGGGGGGGGGGAAAGAAGTAGTGAGGGGCCAGAGGGAGAAAATAAACTTATTAAAAAAAAACAAACAAAAAAAAAAGGAGGTCAGGCTGCAAATGTCCATCTGGGTTTGTCATGGGAAGGTCAGGAGTAGATGTTAAAAAAACGGACGTTTCTAAGGTGCAGTTTATCTCCTAAAAAACCAAGCTCTGTGGACGTTATTCATATTCATTATTCCTTGGTCTGCAGAAGGAGCTGAAGGTGACAAGTTTGAGCAGAAACGCTGGTGATGGGAAGTTGTAGCAATTTGAGGGACCTGAGTAAAGGTAAAAAAAAAATAAAAAATGGAGGTTGTGCTCACAAGGGGATAAAATTAGCCAGCCAAGGCAGAGCAGATTAGTGAATGCAGAAAATAACTGGCCACAAATACACTGGGAGAAGGAACTAGCACAGAATAGGGGTGTAAATGAGGCTGAAATAATAAATACTGCCTTCATTTCACTCTTCATTCACAAGAGGCTTCACAGAAAATATCTGGGGTGAAGAGGGACAACAGAATAAAGAATATTTAAATATTTAAATATTCCCTAGTTCTGGTGGTCTCGTGCTTGAGAACACCAGGAATTAGCTAGAGCAACACTGAAGCCATTGCATCCCTCTCCCCAAGAACTTGCAGATAATTGTTTGTTTTGTTTTGTTTTTAATGCGCAGGAGCAAATCCAAAGCAAACTGAAGAGCCTCAAGGATGAAAGAGAAAGGCTCCAAGGATTAAAACTGACCGGGGAGAAGAGAAGCCAGAAGTACCTGGTGGGTAGTCGCTGCTGCTGTAGGAGCAGAGGGGTCTTCTGCGGGTTAAAAAAAGTGTTGGAGATGGGTCAGCCACCCCGAGCATGAGGTCCAGGGAGGGGTTTGATTTCATCTTGGACCCTGGTGGGGCTTTTCCACGGCTGCGTAGGGTGGGGGCTCTCGTGGCAGCTTGGGAGATCCAGATGTAGACACATCTCCTTTGGAGAATGCACCAGGCCAGATGTTTCCAGCGCCTCCCAGCCCTGTTTTGGGCTACCAGCGGTTGGGGGGACGGATCTGTAGCTCTAAGGAAGTGAGAGATGGTGATTTCTTCAAAAGCAGAAGCAGAAAGCATGACAGATGTTTCACTGCAGCTTCATGAGAACAGTCAGGCTGCCGGGGTGAAGGTGAGCAGAGGCAGGCGACCGCTTTTCCGCTAAATAAAGCGGGGAAAGAAGGAAAACACCACGAACTCGCTGCTGGTTGCTTGCATTGGGGTCCCTGGCCTGGATTCAGTCCTGCCCCATCCAGCTACTGCCCTCAATGCTAACACCTGGAGTTTTGGGGAGTTACACATCTCAGGGACCATTTCCAACAGCCTCCGCGGGATCTCACGACATCCAAATCCTCCTCTCTCACCCCGGGCTCCTCAAACTCTCTCCCAGCAGGATCTGTCCCACCAAACACTCGCGGGTGCCTACGTGAAGCACCTGGCCTTCTCCAGGCTGTGGGGAAAAACATGAAGCAACAGTGCCTGCACATTTCTCAAGCTGAAAATTAAAAAACAACCCCCCTAAAACAGGCCGGGTGGATTGTAGGACTCCACAGGGCATCATATAAAGTTCAAAGGGGACCCAGGGCCACTTAGACTGCCCTCTAAGTCTTAGACTGTCTTATTTAACCAGGTTTTGTAGTTCTCCGATTTCTTCTGTTCTCATCCCTCCCCATCTGTTCCTTGCAGGAGCAGACAAGAGCCGAGAGGTGGAAAATCATGTTGGTGTTCAAGCAGCTGCACCAGTTCCAGGACGAGCAGAAGCGTCTCCTCCTGATGTGGCTGGAGGACGTGGAGAAGGAGATAGTGCAGACCCAGACAGAGAACGACAGGAAGATCTCCGTGGAGATCTCCCACATGGGCAACCTCATCCAGGAGCTGGAAGGGATGAGCCCACAGCCGGAGAATAAATCCCTGCAGGTGAGAGCGGGGAGCTGGGCAACTGAGTTTGCGACGCTCCGAATGTGCCGTTGGGGTGGTCCTCTCTTCCCCGGTCTCTTTGCCTTGACATTTTGTGTAGTTCATTTAGATGTTAATTTCAAGAAGAAGCCATATTGCATGCCAGCACCGCTGGGCTCAGCTATGTCGTATCCAACCCAAGAAGAGGAGGAAGCCAGAATTAATATTTTGGCATCTTGGAAGCGCCCGCCAAGTGTTTACCTCCCAACCCCAGGCAAAGCAAGGGAGATCAAGGCACTTCTTGCCTGACTGTGGCAAGAGCTAATAAATGAATCCTGGCGTCAGTCCAGAGTGAGTCTACCCAGCATATAGACCACATTTACCCTTCCCAAGAGACCATACCAGGCAGGACACAAGCAGAAGTGAAATTTGGAAGTAGACATGATATGCCACCAGCTGCGTTCAAGCATTTCTTCTAGCCAGGGACCAACGGAGCTGGATGAGCACAGGAGGTCCCCGATCTTCCTCTGTGCTGGCACAAGAAAATCTAATCCAGGCAAAAACACGCTTGCAAACAACAGCTGAGGGAGAGGAGAGATATAATCGGGCCTGAAGATCGCTCAAAGTTTAATTCCCATCTTCTCTCTCCTTTAGGATGCCAGGAGTGCCTTGACCAGGTACGTGGCTCTCCCTTTCCGAAGGGGATGGTTGTCCTCAGCACAATGTCGCAAAGCGGGCACGAACGGGGGAGCAGGAGGGGGTTATCCTCCTTACCAGAGTCCCCAGAGCTCAGGGTGAGGAAGAAGCTGGGGCGGAGAAGGCCCTGGGGTGAGATCACGTCCTTACCACCTCCTCTGTTCAGCTGGAGGAAGCCAATATCCACCCCCGAGGAAGTCCAGAGCAAGTGTGTCCCCTCCACCTTGGGACCCTTGATGTGCCCAGCAAAGTCTCAGCTGACTCAACCTGAGGCTCGGGGAGAAATAAGCTTTCCCAGCAGCTTTTCTAAGCAGGGTTTTTACGTAGCTCACTCAGCAAGGAAGGAATACAAAAGTCTTCTCCTTCCAGGTGCGAAGCAAGGACTTTCCAGCAACTGACGGAGAAGTTTCCCAGAGTGGAAAAGAAACTCAAGGATTTATCTCAGAAAAACATCGTTCTGAAGGAAGCCCTGAGGAAATTCAAAGGTACAAAGGAAGGGGAAAATCTAAACCACACTTTCACAGCTGGAAAGGAGTGGACACCAGCCAATTACCAGCATAAAGCCCCGGCTAAGGAATGCTAACAATGAGTTACTCAATAACCCTCCTATCTGGGGCTGGAGCTGGAAGAGGGAGGGGAACTGCGTTCCCAGGCGTATTTGCACGTGTGTCTGAATGCTTGAGTGATGTGAAGGACGAGAGTAAGCCCCTCCCGTTAGCTACACGAAGGAAATGAATCAAATTCTTGATTCCGCTCCTATTTAAAGCAAACAGGCTATAGGTAACATCTAGCCATCCGCAAGGGAGCCGGCGTGAAAAGTCAAGATATTGCAAACAGATGGTGGTGTCCATATAGATAAACCCCGAATCAGCTATTCCGAGACAGTTCTCCATGTTCAGATAACTGTCCCCTTCCCTCCTCTGATCTCTAATTAGTAATTGGTGCAGTCAACTCTATGAGGACATTTCTTTAAATCAAAGCTGGTCATACTGGGTTTGAAGGTCCGTCTAGGCATGAGCTGGACTTGTCCACCTGGTAATTTTGCTTGTTTTGCAAGGGGAAAAGCGCGCCTCCTTGTATTTACCCATTTCTAATACAGTCCCTCTCCCCCATGAACAAACTAACAACGCTTCTCTCCTCCTCTCCTTCCAGAGAGTCTCCCAGTTGAGCTGGACGTGCAATGGGGTAAGTCACGGGAGACTAGAGATATACTGGGGTGGAAAAGGGGACCCAAGTGAGAGAAGACAGCAAAAGCAGAGAATTCACACTTTCCTGGTGGGTTGGCAAGATGAATTTCCATTCTCCTTTGATTGGAATTAAAAATAATACAAATCATTAGAGCCTTCAAATAGAACTCTATGGTATATTTCATGGAGAAAGTCCTTACTGAGCAGCTTGTCAGGCCAAGAATTCATCCCTGGAAAAAGCCAGGAGGGTGCAGATGGAGAGAAACATCCGTTACCTACTCTCTGACGTGCTGTTTTTCTTCTTTCGTGCTTTCCTTCCCATCAGCGAACGTGACACTGGACCCAGACACAGCAAACCCCCACCTCGTCCTCTCTGAGGACCGGAGAAGCGTGAGGTGGGATGAAACGCCCCAGAATTTGCCCAACAATCCCCAGAGATTTGATACCTACTGCTCCGTGTTGGGTTGCGAGGGCTTCACGGTGGGGAGGCACTACTGGGAAGTCCAGCTGGGGAGCCGGGGATTTTGGGCTGTGGGGGTGGCCAGAGACTCGGCGTGGAGAAAAGGTTGGATTAACCTCGACCCTTCCCAGGGGATTTGGGCTGTTGGCATCTGTGGAGACAGGTTTCAAGCATTCACCTCCTTCGAAACAGTTCAACCTCTGAATGGGAGGCCAAGGACTATCCGGGTCTCTCTGGATTATGAGAAGGGACACGTGGCTTTCTTCGATGCCAATAACGAGACCTTGGCTTTTGCTTTTCCTCCAACTTCTTTCAATGGAGAGAAAATCCTGCCTTTCTTCTGGGTTTGGGAGTCCAGGATCCAGCTGGCTCCCTGAGACAGCATGGGCAGCAAGATGGACATTACATGCTCTGGACAAACCTTTGGTTTGGTCCAAGAAACTGCTATATTCCAAGACTCGATGGATGGTTAAAAAAAAAAACAAAACCAACCAAATAAAGTGGAGCAAATGAGTCCCGGTGTCCACTCTGAATCTCATTTTCATGGGGTTTTCAAGAGCAGCAGATAGAGGAGCAACCATCCAGCCAGACCTCTGGATTTTTTAACATTTGGCTACTCACCAAGATTTTGCTAGGGAATCTCACCCTGGGATGAGCAGGCAAATGAAGCCTCTAATCTGTGCAACTGTCTCTGGGACACCGATTTCATGGTTTTAATCCCTTCTACCCTTCTCCTCTTCTTTCTAATTTTTTCCCACCTTGACATTCAAACGTGATGTTCCTGCAGGGCTGAAGAAGCTGGCTCTGGTTCCTGGTTTAGTAGCTAGGAAGGAAAAAAAGGATATTACCGAGTTAAGTGTAATATCTGCTGTTTTCCTACCAAAACCCCTTATGAACCAAAAACCTCACAGTATTGGCAAGCACATACACATTTTAAGGCTTTGGTGCTGAACCCCATGGATTTCAGCTGCCTTTCTCAGAGCTGTGGGGTAGGAGAAATCAGAGGTTGGTGGAACAGAGAGGAACAGAAAGAGCTTGAACTCCACCTTTCTGCAGTTTACATACATTTGGGTCAGGAAGCTTAGTAAGCAGCTTTATCTAAATATTTATAGGCAAAATGATTGTAATTAAAATGTCTTTCTGTAATTTTTAGGGCTGTTTTTCTTGTTGGAGAGAAACTGGGAAACTGGTGCTGTGCCACCACCAGCCTGGCAAACCCTGGTGGCTTTGTTGCCCTCTCTTGACCTGTTTCTTGTAAAGCTCAAATGAAAGCACTTAACGAAGCCTTTTTTTGCTTCGCCACAGCCATGATGGGAGGGAACAGCAACAACTCTTCCTGTTTATGTGCCTGAAAACCACCTGGACTGGAAACCGGTTGAAAGGCAATGGCAAACTAGTGATGCTGGGAAAGGACAACAATTATTTTTGAAAGTAAAGGCATTTAAAGAGCAGGAAAAGGAGGGAAAAGCATCAGTTCAGTCTCTCAGTTATGTTGCTGCAGATCAGAGAAACCTGCTGGGACCCTGCAAGGTCTTGGAGGCACCAGAGATCTCCAGGGGGACACGAGCATCTTTGATCCCTAGCAGTCTCTGCAGGGTGTTAGTCTGGTGTCCCACCTTACTCCAAAGGCAAAGCTGACGTCCCAGGGGTCAGGAATGGCAGAAATTTCTTCTGACAGCCAGGAAGGCCCTGCCCTGCAGGGAATTGTAAATTTGAACCCTTAGGGTCAACCCAGGAGATGTTAGAGCTCTCCCAAACAGCTCTACAGACCCTCTCCTGAAGGGTGCTGAGGCCCTTCCCAAGCCCTGGCCAGGTCCCATCGCTCCTGGTAGCTCAGAAGCATTTTCAGCCAGTGGTTGTCTCCCACCCCAGGTGCCTCACGGCCTCTCTTAGGTGCTAGTAGGGTGTGAAACTCCTGTGGATTTGGTGATTCAGCAGGTCTCCACCGATTCCAAGGACAGACTTTGGAGACTGAGAAATCCCAGTGCCTTCAGGAAAGGGTAAAAATAGGGTGGGCATCTCTAATGCTCTTCCTCCCCAGCTGTCTAACTGCTACTCCTCAGCACCAGCAGAGCCATCCTAAGGAAATGTATTGTCCAAAGCCTTGTTAGAAAGGGGCTGGGTCTTGGTTTAACCAATGGTTTAAAACTAGGAAGAGAATTCTCTCTCCTTCCTGATCATTCGAAAGCGAAACGAACTTAGTCACACTCATGGCAGCCAAGATGTCTATAGAAAACCTTCAGAATGAAGTCTCCTGCTCCATCTGCCTGGACGTTTTCCAAGACCCCGTGTCAATCCACTGCGGGCACAGCTTTTGCCGGGCGTGTATCATTAAAATCTGGGAAGGAATGACCACCAACTTCTCCTGCCCTCAGTGCAGGGAGACAGTGCCCCAGAAGAGCCTCCGCCCCAACTGGGAGTTGGCTAGCATCATTGAAGCAGCCAAGAACTTGAATCTGCAACGGGTTAGAGAGGTGGAAGGAGGGGAGAACTTGTGCAAAGAGCACAAGGAAGCCCTGAAGCTCTTCTGCGAAGACGAAAAAATGCTCATCTGCGTGGTGTGCGACAAGTCGAAGGTGCACCGCAACCATTCCGTGGTTCCTGTGGATGAGGCCGCCCAGGAGTACAAGGTGAGGGGTTTTGGGGGCACAGTGATGCACAAAGGGCTGGAAGCTCCTGCTGTTGCTGCTCTTGATGGGTGCAGATGCCTGGGCAGCCTTTGGGCTGTGGGATAAACCACCCGTGGGCTTAACCCATCCTTGTCTCTCGATGCCAGCTATTGAGGTGGACAGAGGAGCACCCCGCTCTTGGGGACCAAGGGGCTCATCTCCCCCAGGGTTCAGCCACGAGCAGGGGTGTAGGGAGGAGTAAGAAGCGGATGGGTATGATTTCTCACCGCCACCATCCCCATGTAACCTTTTCACCCCACGATTTTGCAGTGCCAGGGGTTTACTCAGCTTCATGAGGGTTTGTTTATCCAGCAGCCATAAATGGCTCTCTTCTCCGGGATGCGGGTCCCTTATCAGGATCAGTTATGCCGAAAATCAGTGTGTGTTTGAGGGGAAAGACATCCTCAGCCCTTCTCCTACCCCACAGCTCCCTGAAGTCTCCTTGACCCTAGTTTAAAAAAAAGGAAAAAATAAAAAGGGGAGGGGGGAGGGGGGGAGGTTGATAGCCTTGGAACAGTCACAGGTGTCACAAAACTTTCCCAACACTTCAAGAGCAGTCAAGAGTTCCCCATTTTCTGCTGAGCACGGCAAGTTATATCAAAATCCATGAGATTGTAATCGTGACTGAATTTCCAAAGAGACTGACTCCCCCCTCCCACTGATCTTTACCCTCAACTCTGTATTTGGTTGTTTTGTGGTTTTTTTTTTTGTTTATTTTTTTTTTTTAATTCTAAAAGCTTTACATCAATTACTAGCAGCTGACCTAAAACTAAGCTAAGAAAAAAACACCCCACTTCTCAAATGAAGGAGTTGTTTGGAGTTGTTTCTCCCAGCTAAACAGTCCTGCTCACAGCAAACCTCTGTCTTCTAGAGATCAGAACGGCCTCCCATCAGCAGCAGATGCAGGTGCCAGACCCACCAGTCTCCTGCTGCTGTGGACCAGCTGGTGCTCGATGTGAAAGCCCTTCAGCTGGCCTGCTTGCAATCTGAAATGATCCTGCTCTAATTCTGCATTGAGCTTTTTGTTTTGTTTTTGTTTCCCCCCCCCCCCGGATTTCACAAGGAACTTTCCAGCAGTGACACATCTGTGGGCACCTCGGACCGCCTCAGAATTCCTTTCCTCAACAATAGAGAAGCTGTAAAGATTCCAGAAGGAGTTTTGTGCCAGCTGTGGACCAGGAAGCACCGCTGGTGTTGCAGTACCAAAGAGCTTACCTCTGATGTCAGACAACAATGGCATTAAACAACAGATTTATTTCCTTCCTCTCAGGAACAAATCCAGACCCAACTGAAGCGCCTGAAATTAGAGGATGAGGAGCTTCGACCTTTCCTGGAGGTTATAAATAACAGAATCCAGGACTTCTCTGTAGGTGGCCATCAATTTTCCTTGGCAAAGGGTGGGGGGGGGGAAGAAGGAGGAACATCTATCTCCTCTTCCTCTCTCCTACGGGTGGAAGATGCTCAAGGGGCATGCAAGGGGGAAGGGAGAGCGGGTTTGCATGTTCTCCAGATACATTTTTTTGGTGGGCTCCACTCATGCATGAGCCACTCTTGACGCTCTTGTCCTGCTCTCTGCTTTCCTTTCCCTGCTTTGGCTTGCCCTTGGCAGAAGAATACAAAAGCTGAGAAGCAGAACATTGTGGGCCAATATACGCAGCTGCACAAGTTACTGGAGGTGCACAAGTCCCTTTTTCTGACTCTTCTGGAGCAGCTGGACACAGAGATAACAAAAGCGCATGATGAAGTCTTCACCAATCTTTTAGAGGAGACCACAAGCCTGGGCACGCTGATCAGGGATTTGGAGAGGATATGCCAGCAGCCAGACTGTGAACTCCTGAAGGTGAGACCCCAGCCTTCCAAATCTTGCTGTGGAGGTGTTGGCTGAGCACCAGCTCAGTCTCCAGCTCTCAGTTTTATACCCCAACATGCTAAGAGAGGGGCTTCACTACAGCGGAACCCCAGTAATCCAAGGGCAGGTATTCCAGGTCACTAAGTCCCTTTTTCTCTCTTATCTAGGACATCAAAACCACCTTGAGCAGGTACGTGAGCCTTCTCCTATCAAAATTTCACCACAGCAGGGCAGCTTTGTGGCAGGATACTGGGAGAAATAACGTAGGGGCAGGTTGACCCTTCTGCACTATAGCCTTTGGACCTGACCATGGACACTGGAGTTTGGAAGGAAGGCTCTTCCTCTCTAGTTAACTAAAGATAAATTCAGACAGATACTGGCACCGATGGCTCAGTCAGCTGCATGAGCTGAACTAGGAGGACAGGGCTCCACTTCTGAAGGGCGTGGGTTCCTACACTCAAAGTGAGTATCGGGGAGGGGGTTATGTTGGGGAAGAGTCTTAAGCCATTGCTGAAGAAATAGCTTGAGGTTACAAAACCGAGCATCATCCTGGAAGAAGCCATCAGGGTGCAGAGACACCCCCAGCCACAGCCCCATCCCACGTACCTGAGCAAGGAGAGCCAAGCAGGTCTGAGAAGGGCACCTGAGGGTAGGTCCAGGGGCAAGCCAAGAAGGTGACCTGTAGGATGGTGGATCAGCAGGGTCTGTAGCCAGAGACAGATGGTCCCTCAAATCAGCTTACAAAAGGGCTGAAAGCTCCAGGACTGAGCTTAAATAGTGGCCGTGGGTGGGGGTGTGGGGTCCCAGGTGGGTCTGCTTGGGGTTGTTAATTCCCACAAGGGTCCTGACCCAACCACTTTGTGCTTTCACAGCTGAAGCAGATCAATAAACATCTATAAGGGGGGTGGTGGGGTACAGTGTAGACCCATTGTCTTCCTTCCACTAATTCTCCACACTGGCTGCTCATAAAACATTAAGCAGCAAACTACAACCGGGTGTAAATATATCCCCTCTTTCCTTCCAGGTGCAAGAGGAAAACTTTCTCACAGCCACTCGATATTCCCCCTGAGCTGAAAAAGAAATTCAATGATTTCACAGAGAAAACTGCAATCATCAAGGAGGTTGCAGAGAAAGCTCAAGGTACTGTGTGCAGGTCCAGAAAGGAAAATGTCACCGTGCTTCTTGGTGGGGAGGGACGGAGCGGAGCCATGCAAAAGGAATGCATCCTGGTTGTGGAATGAGGGATTTTTTTTTTTTTTTCAAGATCCAGCGATGAGATTGCCAATGAGCAGCGAGTGCTGGTCTGACATTGCCTGGCTGCTGCTGTTGTTGCCTGTTGCATTGAGCCCCACGTATTTCACATTAACTTCTACATGGAGATAGTGTGTTGCCGCTTGCCAACGCTCCTCATCGCAGACACGCTCCAATGCATCGCTGTATTCATTTTCTTTGCGGCAGCCCCTTTGTGCATGGATGATTTTCATACGTGTAATCCTGGTTTTCCCCTCTCCCTCCTCAAGTTTCTCTACGTTCCCCCAAGATCGTTCCCGACTCTCTAGATTTTTGCAGAAATCCTGAATCGGGCCAATTTTTCTTTCTGCCTCTCATGTTTTTCTCGTTCTCTTTCCTCTAGATATAGTGGAGTTCGAGCTTCCTTTAAAAAGTAAGTGAACCAAACGTCTGCCCAGCTAATACAGCATATTAGATCCAAAATACAGTAAATCAAGCTCTGCTGCCCCCAAAGATTAACCTAAACTCCTCTGCTACCTCTTTTCCTCCTCCTCCCGTACTGGCCTCACCATGAGGCAATGCCTTGAGGGGTCCCAACTGGATCAGGTGGATGGGAAGGGAGAGAAAAAAGCCCTGTGCCCCCTAAACCTGCTGCCATGAGCCTGACTCTCTCTCCACCCCCAGCACAGGTAACGCTGGACCCGAACACGGCCAACGCCATGGTTGAGCTCGTGGGAATCAGCGGGGCCACGTGGTGGGATATGCTGTATAAGCAGGACGTGCCCTCCAGCCCGGAGAGGTTCTCGTTCCATCCCTGCGTGCTGGGTTTGAGGGGCTTCACGTCAGGTTGGCACCGCTGGGAGGTGGAGATCTGCGAGGAAGGCCCCTGGGCCATCGGCGTGGCCAAGAAGTCGGTGCCGAGGAAGAGCTCTGCGACCCTGACGACCAGGGAGGGGGTATGGGCACTGTGTCACATCCGCAGTGAGTACAGAGCTCTGACTGTTCCCCGTGCCACCACCTTGACCTTACCTAATGACCCCCAGCGGATACGAATCTTCTTGGACTATGAAGGAGGAAGGGTGGTGTTTTTTGATGCCGTGAGGAAGTCACGGATATTTGCTTTTCAGCAGGCTTCTTTCCAAGGGGAGACAGTCTACCCGTGGTGTCTGGTGAAGAAGAAGACTTACCTCAATTTTTGTTAAACTTTTTTTCTCAAGGCATAGGGGGGAAAAAAACAAAAAAACAAAAAAACCCCCAAAAAAAACAAACAAAAAAACCCCCGAAACCAACCAACCAAAAAAAACAAAAAAACAACCAAACAAAAAAAAACAAAACAACACCCCCCCCCCCCCCAAAACAAACAAACAAAAAAAAAACAACCAACCAACCAACCCATCTACTCACACCTAGGAAACTAAGCAGGGGCTGGGTCCATGATGAACCTCTACGGCTCTGGGTTCTACAACAAGTGTGGGCTATGCAAATCTTTTCATGGAGTGGGTCTGCAAAGCTTTTTCATGGCTCCAAGCTCTGACCCTCCAGAAATTCCTGGCCTGGCCTGGAGGGACTGGACAGCCTTAGACCCATCTTTCCATCCCAGGTGCTACCATAGCTGGAGATGGAGCCTCTGGACTGAGGGGAACTGGTGGGACCGGGGAGACCCTCTGCCAGAGACAAAGCAGAAAAAGAATCAAGGGAAGGGGGACTCCCTAGGCATATCCCAACCTCAAAGATTGTTTATACATTTAATGCAAAATACAGACATAACTGCTGGAGCTGGCACCTGCCCTGCCATCAAGATCAACCTCTTCCCTCCAGACCAAGCCTCAACTGAAAGGGAAAGGAAGGAGTGCCAGGGTTCAGAATCTTTAGTGGAAAATGGGACCATTTCCACGCCTTAAAATATATTCTGATCTTTTAATTGCTAAATGTCTGTTCCTAGTTGCCTGTGAAATTGCACTGATAGGGAATTAAAAGCAAATATACAACTCTAAGTAATTTCTGCCTTGTGTGTTTTCTTTTAATTTTTGCTTTTCTGTGGGTTTTCTTTGGAAGCTGCTTAAAATAACTGGAGGAAGGCAAAAATCATCCTCCTTCCTCTCTGAAACCCACTGCACAGGGAGATGATAAACCTGAGTTTTCTGCACTGTCAGACACAGCAAGTCTGTGGAAATTGAGGTGGTGAGGAGTCAGCAGCAATCCAGGAGTCGGAGTCATCTGCAGCTTGATGGGATCCCGACTCAACGCATAAAGGGGGAGTCAGAATAGGGAATGAACACATAGAAATGGGTTTGTTCCTTTCGGTGTTGGCTTAACGTGATCCCTGACTTAGTCAATCCCAGACTGGACTCGAGTCAAGTCAGAGGTTGGACTTTTTTCCTTGGGAATACACAACAGACACAGGGGTTCAGATGAAGGTCCATCAAGTCCTTGTCCTGTCCCCAAAAGTAGATGCCTAGGAAAGCAGAATAAAGCTGGGCAGGGGTGACTATGGGCCCAGGAGCTCTGTTTAAGCAGCATATATGGGTAATTAAACAATTAAAAGGGTATAACAAGAGCCATGGAGATGTTTGGCTCCATCCTCCCTCTGACCCTGTTGGGCAGTTGCAGACAGCGATTCGATCCTTCTCCTTTCCATGCTGGATATTCCCAATCTCTCCCCATCCATCCTGGCCTTCACTTCGGTGGCCTGCCTCCGTCTGCCTTATACTGGGAAGACCCAAACTGGTCCCCGTATGCAGATATGGCCTCGGACGTGCTGGTGGAGGGGAGCAATCCCTTCCCTCTCCGCTCCTGCTAACGCAGGGTTGATATTTTTGGTGCATGGTTCCCCTGTGGACAGCTTGTCACCCCCAAGACCCTGAACTCCTGTTCTGTGCTTGGTCCTGGTGCAGAGGGCATCCCATCCCGAGTTTCACAAGATTTTTTTTTTTTTTTTTTTTTTTTTTTTTTAACCCAACCACTCCTCCAGCCCGTCCCGGTCCCGCCGGGGCGCGAGCCCTGCCCTCCAGCCTCCTATCTGCTAACTCCCATCTGGCTCAAAAAAGTCAGCTGAACCGAAACCGGTGGGAGGCTGGAAGGAGGAAGCCCTCGCGCATCCACAGCCCTCTTCTCGCTCCTCTCCGAGCCCCCTGCGCCGCTCTTCCGTGGCATTAGGGCTGGGGGGGGGGGGGGGAGGGTTGACTTCCCTCCATTTGCAGCAAGAAAACGGCCGAGCCGGGAGAAGAAACGTCCTCTTCCACCTCCAAAGTGAAGCTTATTTGATCTTACCCCAGAGGTAGGTTGGGAAGAGCCATGGCTGCCAAGAGCCCAGCGGAAAGCCTTCACAGCGAAGCTTCGTGCTCCATCTGCTTGGGTTATTTCCAAGACCCCGTCTCCATCCACTGCGGCCACAATTTCTGCCGGGCGTGCATCGCCCGCTGCTGGGAAGGGCTGGAGGCACCGTTCTCCTGCCCGCAGTGCAGGCAGACGGCTTTGCAGAAGAGTTTCCGTCCCAGCAGAGAACTGGCAAACATCGCCGAAATCGCCCGGAATCTGAGCCTACGAGCAGGAGGAGGAGGAGGAGGAGGAGGATGGGAGAATCGGTGCAGGGAGCACCAGGAGGCTCTGAAGCTCTTCTGCAAGGAGGACCAGCGGCCCATCTGCGTGGTGTGCGACAGGTCCCAGGCTCACCGCTTCCACGCCGTGGTCCCCGTCGAAGAAGCTGCCCAGGAATACAAGGTAAAGCCCGGGGATGTCCTCGCACCGCCCCGCAGTGGGAAAAAAAATCCATGACCATGGAAAAAAAAATCCCTTTCCAGGGGTAAAACGCAGCCATTTGGGTGCATCTGCTTATTCTGATCCCGTGGGCCGGCTGCAAATGTGGATCTCTGGGGTCCTATTTGCATTTTATTGCATGGATATTTGGTTTTCACAGTGTTCCTACCAGCGTTCCACCACCCCCACCCCCCTTTAGTTTATTCACCTTTGACAACAGCGTGGAGAAATAAAAAAAAAAAAAAAAAAAAAAACCTTGTTAACCTTTTTCTGCTTTGAACTGCGCTGTTGAGTTGCTTGTACTGAAATACTGACAATGATAAATATTCAAAACATGTAAAAATCCCCAAGAATTTTTTATTTATTTATTTATTTAAACATGGTTACGTCAGTTACTGAGGACAATTTTGCATATGTGTTCCCCTATTCACTGTTTCTTTAGTTTCAAGCACAGAGAAATAACTTCTTCCCGTCTCTTCCCCTTCTCTACTCCTTTTCTGCTTTGCTGCTGATCCAAACCTGTTCTCATCATCTTTCTCGCCAAAATTTCAAGCGCTTGGCAAACACAGCGCAACAGCATGCAGCGTTAACAGGAGGAACTCCTTGCTGCAAGATGTTGCTGAGGCTGAAGGTTTCTGCGGGTTCAAAAAGCACTTATATAAATGCACACTAAATAAGTCCACTGAGGGTTATTAAATACGGAGATATTTACCCCAGAGCCACCAGCTTCTGGCAGCTGCAAGTGTTTTTGAGGGAAATCTCACTATCTTGCTCTTACATGCTTCCCAGTACACGGGCTATTAATTGCTGCTGGTGTTTTGCTCTTCTGCAGAATTTTTTCTTTGCGCAAATCTTCAGAACGTCTTAGGTCATTCGTGGACTTTCCTCCTCCCCCAGCTTTGCTCCTCGCAGAGGAGCTGGTGTTTAGGCAAAGCCTCTCCCATCAAACACCAGGGCAGAAGGAATTTTAGTGGTGATTTTTCTCAGCTCCCCTAAGAACATCTTTTGTTTTTCCACAGGAAGAAATCCAAGCCCGCCTACAGGCTTTAAAGGAGGAGAGAGAAAAATACCTGGAAAGCAGAAAAAACAGAGTAAGGAAGAGCTCATACCTGGTAGGTCCCCGCAACAGGAGCTGTGGGGTGGGGGGACTGTGGGTCTCTCCACCCACCCCAGCATTGCTGGTGTATTTTGAGGCCAGATCGCGCATATTTGGTTGGGTAGAACATTGTGTTGTTTGCTCTGGGCACCGGCCAAGCCCGTGTTTATCTGCCGGGGTTTCACACCGGCTGGAGCCTGCGCCGGGGAGATAACACTGCGACTCCTCTGCAAGGGAGCTTGGGGGGGACACACAGCCCTCAGCTGGTGTAGAGAGATGGGCTGGAAGGGGTTTTTTTTCCCCGAAACTCTATAAATCTCCCTCATATAAAGCCCAGCTGAGGTCACATCTTTTGGTTTCCTTCCAAGCTAAGCCACCAGAACAGCCCCCGCTACTACCCCAATCCCCAGCAGGATGGTTGGCTGTTAAATTCCCCCTTATATTGCCTAAATATCACTGAGGACATGGTACCCTGAGACCAACCTGGTGGCCTTGAAGCACTAATCTGTTTTATTCTTGGGCGTGGCAGGATTTCTCTGTAGCTCCCCCCTCCCCAGCTCCTGCCCACCTTGCAGAGCTTCACCCGAGCCTCCTGTGATTCCTTCTGCAAAGGTCCGGGGTTGTTGCAGCCCCGCCGACTGCATCAGCCTCCGAGATGTGACGCTAATAGAAACTAGAATGATGTAAAAATAATCCACGGGGGGGGACGTTTTTGCCAGTGTTTCGGGTGCTAGCGTTGTAGAGAGGACGCACCATGGCTTCTGCTGCGTGGGGAGGTCTCCTGCCCCCTCTTTCATCCCCACATCTCTGATCCTGGCAGGAGAAAACCAAAAAGGAAGGGAAGAAGATAGTGTGTGAATTCGAGGAGTTGCACCAATTTTTGAAGGACCAAGAGCGCCTCCTCCTGACCCAGCTGGCAGACCTGGACCGGGCCATCCTCAGGGTCCAGGAGAAAGCTGTGGTGAAGGTCTCGGAGGAGATGTCCCACCTCGACACCTTGATCTGGGAGATGGAGGGGAAATTCCAGCAGCCGGCGAGCCAGTTCCTGCAGGTGAGAGCTCAAAGCATCAGCACTGGTGGGGAAAGGAGGGACGGAGCAAAGCCTGAGACCTGGGAGCCCAAATTCAGCCCCATGGGAACTCCCTGGTGTCTTCTAGAATTGCTGATGTGGGATCATCCCATGGGTAGGGTCCTTCTTCGCTACGGCGCTGCCATAAAAATATATAACGTTTGTTAGAAGACACAACACTGGTTGTTCCTCTTTCCCAACTGTCCCTCCTCTCTCTTCCCACCTTTAGGACATCAGAAGACTCTTGAAAAGGTAACGTGGCTCCTCCTGGCTTTACCCACGCTCTGATGCTTGGAGAGGTCTGGATGCCACCCGGGCCAATCCTGAGGTGGGGGTTTCAAACCCAACGGAGGCAGTCGGTAGCTCAGCCTCCCACCGTGGTGCTTTGTGTTCAGCAACATCCATTCAGCGACCTCCTCGGGGTAGCAAAGTGCAAAGAAACAGGGCAGGGGAAAGGGTGATTTTATTTGTTCCTGGAGAAGTAGCCTCATCCCATCCCATAGCTTCTCCTGGACTATATAATGAGGACAAAATGAGCAACTGAATGTATCACACATGGGGTTTTTGCCCTCTTTTGCTCTCTTTGCAGTTGTGAGAAGATGGAGTTCAACCCTCCCATGGAGATTTCCTCCGATCTGGAAAGACGACTTGAGGACTTTGTTCAGAGAAATGTCCTCGTGCGAGGCACGCTGAGGAAATGCCAAGGTACCGAGCAGGATTAGGAGAGGGCATGTTGCCTTGTGTAGCTGGGAGAAACTGGGTTCTCATGTGCTGGCTAGTGCAAAACCCACCTAGCAACCATTATAAATAAATGCAGCTGAAACTTTTAACCAGAGAAGAACGCTGAGAGTTTTTCCTGGGGCAAAAAGAGTTGGGAAGTGGAGAGGAGAGAAAAACGAGCTCAGCAAAAAAGTCTCCTCTCCCCTGTCCCACGAGAAAAAACAGATTCAGACAGAGCTGCTGGTGCGGTGGTTCCCATCACTTCCAAGCTGGTGGGGAAATTAAAGTTCACGTGGGTACAAAGCCAGGGAGGAGATGCTGCAAGGTGGTGGTGGTGGGAGAAATCCGCTGCAGTCTCTTGGGGATGAGTTGACCTTGGCCAGGAGGGTCACCTCCCCTGGCTTTAGGAGAGTTGTGTAGCTCTTCCAGCATCACTACTCGCACCAGAGCAAGTCACCCCAGAGCCTTTGCACCCAACCAAGCCCTCACACCCTCAGTATTTCCCCTCCCAATTCCTCCATTAGCTGTTTCGCCTCCCCAGCCTGCATGATAAAGCTAAACTGCAGCCAGTTTGCCCGACACATAAACCTGATACCGTGAAATCTCTCTCCTCTTTAGACAGCCTGATGTTTAAATTGCAAGAGCCAAGTAAGTCGATGGTAGTGGGTGGGAGAAAACGGGGTTTTGGCTTGTGGGAGAGAGTCCCATGGGGGAAAAAAAAAGAAAAAAATGCAGTCTCCCCAGGGTGGGGAAGGGAAGGGTGACAGCGTTCTGATGTTGATGCTCCTGGTGTATCCAGGAGCTGAGAAATGGTCCTAATAAAGCCAAATGCCCCTCTAGGACTTGAGAAAGGGAACACCTGAGAAAAGCATTTGTGCTTCCCCTTCCTTTGCCATGAATTTCCCGCCATCCCCACCCCACCCCACCCCCCTGTGCCTCTGTTCCATGCTTTGTCCTCTCCCCCTTCTCCTTCCACCCAGGGGCATCTCTGCTGGGGGACCCCAAGTCTAATGCCAGCCCCAGACCTGCCCATGCCCCCCATGAAGCAGCCAGAGCTGGGAGGAGGAGGAGAGCGGGGCTGGTCCCAGGTGCTGGGAGGAAAAGAAACATCTCCAGCCTCCCCCCGGGGCCAAGCCCTACCTCCAACTTTCTGGTTCTCCCTTGTCCTGCAGCCAACGTGACCCTGGACCCGGCCACGGCTCACCCCAACCTTCACATCTCCGAGGACCGAAAACAAGCCAGGGGCCAGCTGAGGCAGAGGGACCTCCCGGACAACCCGGAGAGATTTGACTTTGAACCCTGCGTGCTGGGCTGCGAGGGCTTCACCTCGGGGAGACATTTCTGGGAAGTGGAGGTGGGGCAGGGGGGTGTCTGGGCTCTGGGGGTGGCCCGAGGATCGGTCAAGAGGAAGGGACGGCTGAGCCTCACCCCCAAGGAGGGGGTCTGGGCGCTGGAGGCTTATCACTCCCTCACATCCCCCCGCGTCAACCTGCGCCTGAACCCACCTCCCAGGAGGATACGGGTCTCCTTGGACTATGAAGGGGGGCGGGTGGCATTTTTCAACACAGATGATGATGCTCCCATCCTGGTTTATGCCAGAGTCTCGTTCAACAAGGAGAGGGTCTTCCCCTGGTTCAAGATGGGGATGGGGGCTCGTTTGCAAGAAATCACCCAAACCCCACGCTCAGGGGATCAGTCCGTGACCGGGCAGCTGATGTCCCCTCTGGACTGGGTAGGGTTCAGGTTTCCCCTCCGGATCTGTCCTTGAGGTGTCTTGTCGATCAGACCTTAATGAAAGGGACACCTCCTGGGTGACGTCTGCTGTTCGCTGTGGTTCTCGCCGAGAACGTGCTGCTCCTCTCCCGTGTCCGTTTCCGTCGGGAGCTTTGGGATGGCACCTCTGAGGCAAGGATGGGGAGATGGGGACAGCGGCGGTGGTGAGGAGGATCAGCCGGTGCGAGGGGATGGAGTCAGCACATCAGAAGGGAACATCGGGGGGGGTTGATGGAGGATGGGGAGCGCTTAGGACTTTCAGATGTGTGGTCTTTTAAAATTTATTTTGCCTTTCACAGACTGAATCCTCCTGTTTATCTCTCTTTCCAAAGCGTTTTCTTTCTGACATCAATTGTAAGGCAGATCCAGAGCCTGTTCTGCCAAGGGAGGTGGCCTTTCACGATGAACTGGTTTTGTTTGGGGAGCTGGTCTCTATCTCTGCATTTCTGATATTTATTTTAAATAAAAGAATGTTTTGGTTTGCACCCTCCACTTTCTGCCTTGTTATGGATGTATTATTCTGGATTTCTTAGCCTTTGGGTCATCAAGACCAGGAAAAGGACGGGGACACCTTGCCTACCTTTCCACTTTCTCGTGGTGGCCCTCCAGTCATTCAAGCCCCCTTTGTAGGCAGTGAAGGGAAACAAACCCACCTGGAATGCAATTTTTCACACCATTATACACATCTAGGTTCCAGGATAACTCCCAAGAAAAGCCTGTTTCTCCCTGTTGGCTGTTCAGGAGGGACAAGGTGGGATAAATTGTACAGTAATTGCCGGTTAGATATTCCTCAACTATGAAAGCAGATGGGGTCGATAGATGAAATACAAATTCTGGCATTTTTGCCTGTCTCACCTACATTGATTCCCTCAAAACCTGCTGATTTTCTTCCGAGGAAACCCGAAAGAGGAAGAGGCATCACTGAAATAACTACACGTTATTGGTTATAGAACCGAGAAGAGGAACCAGAAGTGAGAGTGGGAGGGAGCGGGTGGGGGTGGGCTCAGAATAACAGACGAGATATGAGTGGGCACCTCGTGACAAAGCCCCATCTCACCCTCCCCAGGGGTCCTGCTGCGGGTGAATTTACAGCCAGTATTTTGGCGTTCTTTGTCCTCCATCCGTGGTCCTCTGCCTGGTGCACCGCTGTCACTCGGTCCCTTCAGCTGGGAAACGTGGGGGATCCCGCTGCGGGACGGACATCTACTTTCTGCAAAGCAGAAAAGGAGCTCAAGCATGAGGATTGATTTAAAAAGGGAAATCTGGGCTACTGGGAAAGACTTTTGAGCAAACAGCCTTGAGTATTTTTTCCTTTTTCTCCCATCTCACTGGAGAACCGAGTCCTTACACAGATCCAAACCCAGCTGGGAAAGGCAGAGGGGAGTAGAAATCAATCAGCACAGGAAGGACCAAAAAAAGAAAATCTGTGTGAATCAGGGGAAAAGCTCTTGAGCTGTTCTGCAAGGACAAGTCTGTGGGTGGCTGGAGGTCCCCGAACCACCATGGGTCCCACCACGCTCCTCTCAGAGGCACCCGCTGAGAAACGCGAGGCACAAACACCGCGTTCCTGTAAAACCCTGTGCTTTCCTTGGCGGTAGAGACGGATGTTTTTCCGATTCCTTCAGGGTCCCTCCAGGTCTCGGATCTCCATCCGACTCCCTCTCAAGGTGTCACTTCAGCTCGGGAAATATGCAATGCAGGCGGCTCCACCCCAGCTGGTTTTCCAGGCTCTGTAGATGTTTTTAGGGTGTGACTCATTTGCCCAACCGTAGGCACGTCCTTTTGAGATGAAAGGAGCTGTGCTCCAGGCTCTGCCCACCAGCAAAGCGGCCCAGCTCAGACAAAGGGGCTCCTTAGATGCCAACATTCACTCGGCTGCACCCACCTCCTGCGTCTGCCTTCCCAACCTGCTCACCCCAGGCCACGCTCCCCTGGGAAGCGACTGCAGGGGGTTCAGTTTCCAGTCCCACTGTTCCTAGAGCGAGCGACTCCCCTGCAGCTTTTCCTGCTGGGAATAGTTTGCTGGAAATAAGCCTCGCGACTCCAAACCCGGCCAAGTGATTGCAGGCGGGAGAATTATCCCAGGTGGTAGCCCTTCAGCGGGGTCACAGTGGCCCCATCTCTAAAACTCCCAGTTGCTGCCATGCAAAAAAAAAAAAAAAAAAATATATATATATATATATATTTAGCTATAGAGCTTAACAAAGGAGCAGTGGGTTGTAAATTGCTTAGAAACATTTCCCTGTGAGCTCAGAGCCAGGACAGTGCTTCTTGGAGGGCACGTAGTGACCGGTGGCTATAGGCACATTCGTGGTGGGGGTCCCAAGGACCTCAGCTTGTGCCCCTTTAAGCACAACCCCTCTCCCAGCACCTACAAGGTTCTGGTTGCACATTTCCCTCCGTGTTTTCTTACCTTTTCCCCACCCATGGTCCCAACAAGCCTGAAGAGCTTCTCACCCTCCTGGCAGCCTGAACGTCTTTTGCCTCCAGCCTTTTCCTGGGAGGGCTGATGGTTTTGCCTACTGCCCAGACCTGAAAAAAAAAAAGAGAAGGACAAAAGCAGCGAGGTGGCAACCCTCAACAACTCCCCAGAATAAAAAGCTGGAAGATTGTCAAGGGAGAAACACGAGGCTCCCAGCACATCAGGCCAAGGGTGTCACCACCTCCTGCCCAGGAGACATGGCGCGAAGAGCTGACTCGCGGGCCCAACGCATCCATGCCACAGCTTTTCCCAGGGCTGGGAAGGAACTGGAAGAGAAGGATCCAGCCCCATCAAAGGGATAAAATCCAACAGGTTTTTTTAGTTCGCTCCCAAAGAAATTCAGGCAGATATTAAATTTTCTGAAGGAAGAGAAAGAAGGTCTCCGAGGAAGGACAGTTACCCTGGAGTGCAGAAAACTGGAGGATCTGGTAGGTATCAGCCTCCTTGACCTCTCAAGTCCCTGGGCAGTAATACACCAATTTTAGGGTCATTTCTTCAGGATTTAATCCTTTAGATCCTTTTTGTTTTCTTTGCACCACTGCCATGCTGGTAAATCCAGGAATATCATGGCTTTCTGCCCAAGTTCATTCGAGCGTCCGTGGCTTTTATCAGGATCTTTCCTCCCAAACCGGTGTTGCTTTTCTGCACCAGACTTGATTTCCCCCTCAGATTTCTCCAGGAGTTCAAGAAAAATTAATAAGGAATTGGGTTCATGAGTGATCTCCTCCTGTGGGAAATGCCTTTCCATGAACTCCTCATGGTATTTCCCATCCCACTGCTCCTTTGTTTGAATCTTAAAAGGGGAGGATAGAAGCTGAGCCCTGGCAGACCGTGCTCGGATTTTAGGCACGCTGCAGGTCCCAGGAGGACACGAGCTCTTCTTGTGCTTCCCAGCTGGAAGAACTGAAAAATGAAATTGAGAAGAGGCAGGCAAAAAATGCCACCAAACTCTTGGAGATCTCCCAGCTGGACACCCCGACACAAGGGCAAGAAGAGAAGAATCAGCAATCGGTGAGTGAATTCACCCAGTTTCCAGCTTTTCCCGGGAAAATGGTAGGGAGGGTCCTCCCCGCTAACTAGAGGCTTAATTAGTTGGGCTTTCCTAGTTCCAGTTTGCTCCTGTTCCCTCTATAGATGTGAAAACCCCAAAGGGGGTGAGGAGAGGGAGATTTGCAACTTGGAAAAATGGGGGGGGAAAAAAAAAATCAAATTAAATCACCATCTGTGGGAGGGAATGGTGAGGGCTGGGGGGAAGCTGAGCATCACCAGCTTTCACCCCATTTTTGTGGTACCTGAGAGAGGGAAGCAGGGCAACCCAGCGCATCGAATATTTCCACAGGCAGGGCTGAAGGGAAGCTGGGACTGCAGCCCATGGCCACATTCCTCCAAAGCATCTTGCAAAAGGACTAAATACCCCAGGACTGAGCTTAAACAGCCCCTGGGACCGTGGGCAGGGGGTGGGTGGGGTCTCAGGTGGGGCTGGTCAGGGTCATTAATGCTTATTAGTGCTGCTGAGAGGGGGGTCTAGTAATTGGCAGTGGGCTAATGGGATTATGGAGCAGACAGAGCCAGTGTCTTGGAGGTGTCCAGTGAAAGGATGAGAGGTAACCAGCCCAGGTTGCAGCGAAATAATTTTTTTTTCTAGAATTGAGGGGGAAAAAATGTTTTTCCCTGTGAGCGTGGTGCCTCCCTGGCTCGGGGTCCCTCTAGCAGCTCCATCCTTCTGCATATGCCTGGATGCAACACCGAGCGGAGACCCCGGAGGTCCATCCCCAACTCAGCAATTCAGAACTGCTGTGATTTAAGGAAAAAAGCTCCTGCTGAGCTTCCTTTCCTCTTTCTCTCTTCTTTCCCTAGGATGTGAAAAGCACCGTCAGCAGGTATGTGGCCTCTCTTGAAAGGCCGTTTCACGAGTTTTGCAAAGGGCAATGACCATGGAGGAGAAAACTCAACGGTGGCTGCTGAATCCACCTCTTCCTCAGGGAAAATACAAGATTCTGGAGGGGTATTTTGGGGACCGCCGCTACATGTTTGTCACTGTCCTTCTTGAGGGATTCCTCTTTTGACCACTCCTAGGGCTGTGCTGATCAAAGGAGCTTTAACCTCAAAATGACCTCCACAAGGCAAAGGCTGGCTTTAATTTGTCTACGGAGTCTTGGCTCTTTTCTCTAGCCCAATCCTCCCAAGCAGGACCTTTCACCTGGTCTACTTTAAAAAATAAAATAAATAAATAAATAAAAATAATCTAACAGGGAAATTTGGTCTTTAATTTCCTTGAGGTTTGGGTTGCCAAGGGTGTGAGATTAAAAAAAAAAAAAAAAAAAACAAAAAAAAACAAACAAACAAAAAAAAAAAAACCAACAAAACCCCCCTAACATTCTAGCAATACCATCATGTCATTCCTGGTGGCATCAGATTTCTTGAAATGATGACAATCGTTCTGAAAAGTGCAAGTTGATTTTGTTTTGGTTTGTTTTGCTTTTCTTTGCTTTGTTTTGTTTTGGTTTGCTTTGCTTTGCTTTGCTTTGCTCTGTTTTTCTCACAGGTGTGGGAAAGTGACTTTCCAACTGCCAGTGGATGTTTCTCCGGAATCGGAAGAGAGACTCTGTCACTTCTCATGGAGAAACAGTGCTCTGAAGGAAACTCTGAAGAAGCTGCAAGGTACTGAGAAGGGCATGAGGAGGAGGAAAAAAGAGACCAGCCGTGTTTTGGGGAGAGCTGGGAGAGCTGAGCTGTGCTTAGCTCATACTGGATGTACTTTAGGAACAGAAACACTGCAGAGAGAAACCCTGAGATGGAGGAGAGGAAGAGCAAAGGGCTTTTCCTGGTCAGAAGAAATGGCAATTTGATACCCACTTAATGCCTCATTTATCACTGCCTTAATTATGCATGTTTTGCCCTAATTCCTGAAGGGTGCTCATGGATGAAGGGTGGGCTCCTCTCTGGCTCGGCTCCCCCGCCAGCCTAGCCGTCCCCAAAATTGGCTTCTCTTGAGCGTGAGAATGCAAGAGCAGCCGTACCTGTTAGATGAAAGTGCGCCTAGCCCAAAACGGCCCAAAATAGATGCTGAAGGAAAAATTTAAAAAAAAAAAAAAAAAAAAAATATTAGGGTAACCCAACAAGTTCTTTCAGCCCTGCAGGTGAACCTCGGCGTAACGCTGGAGGAATACCCACCCCAGAGCAGAGCCCTTGCCTCAAAACCTCACTATTTCCATGAAACAAACATGGAAACGGATCGACCTAATTCATCGCCCTCTCTTCAGGTTTTAGCCTTTTTTTTTTTTTTTTTTTTAACTACGTGCTCAGCCAAACCGGTCTGGCCTTGTCCCGTGGTTGTTGTAGGAGACAACCTGCTCGAGACTTTGCTGGTTTACATCCCACGCATTGCTTCCCTTCATTATTTTTTCTCCCCTCAGCATTTATTTTTGGCCCCACGTAGCCTAAAGTCTGAAGGGATTTCTGCGTGAGCCTATTGCCATTACTGCGTGCCTTTTCTTTTTATTTATTTTTTTTGTCGGACGTTTTTTTTGCGGGGGGTTAAAACCAGCTTCTCTGCCTCGTGTACAGCACCCTTCCCCATCTTGGGGGATGCTTGGATTTCTGCATGAGCCTGTTGCCTTTACCGAGTGCCTTTTCTTTTTGTTTTGGTTTTGTTTGTTTGTTTGTTTTTGTTTTATTTATTTTTTTGCTTGTTTGTTTTTTTTGGGGATGTGTGTTTGGGTTAAAAACAGCTTTTCTGCTTCATGTAGAGCACCCTTCCCCATCTTGGGGGTCTGCTTTCATCTTGGGGGTTTGTTTTCATCTTGGGGGCTGCATGGATTTCTACATGAGCTTATTGTCATTACTGTGTGCCTTTTCTTTTTTTTTATTCTTTTTTTTTGAGGGGGGTGTGTTTTGGGCTAAAACCAGCCTTTCTGCTAGATGTACAGCACCCTTCCCCATCTTGGGGGTCTGTTTTCTTCTTGGGGGATGCTTGGATTTCTGCATGAGCTTGTTGCCATTACTGTGTGCATTTTTTTTGGTTTGTTTTGTTGTGTTTTTTTTTTTTTTTTGGGGGGGGGGGTTGGGGGAGTTATTTTGGGCTAAAACCAGCCTTTCTGCTTCATGTACAGCACCCTTCCCCGTCTTGGGGGTCTGTTTTCATCTTGGGGGCTGCTTGGATTTCTACATGAGCTTATTGCCATTACTGTGTGCTTTTTCTTTTTTCTTTTTTTTTTTTTTTTTTGAGTGGGGGGTTGTTTTGGGCTAAACCCAGCCTTTCTGCCTCATGTACAGCCCCCTTGCCCATCTTGGGGGATGCTTCCCCCCCCGTCAGATGCCAGCCTAAGTCACTCTTCCCCCCCTCCAAGCCCCCCGCATCCCCGGGGCGGGGGGGGCTCACCCCTGGGTCTGACACCCCTGTCCCCCACCCCGCAGCCGTCGTGACCCTGGACCCCGACACGGCTCACCCCGACCTCATCCTCTCCAAGGACCGTAAGAGCGTGAGACGCGGGGAAGGACAACGGGACCTGCCCAATAACCCGGAGCGGTTTGACTACTGGCCCTTCGTGTTGGGCTACCAGGGTTTCGTGGCCGGCCGGCATTGCTGGGAGGTGGAGGTGGGGGACGGGGGGGACTGGGCCGTGGGGGTGGCCCGTGAGTCCGTCCGTCGGAAGGGGCAGCTCAGCCTCTGCCCCCAAGGAGGGATCTGGGGGGTGGAGAAGTGGGGGGGACAAATCCGGGCGCTCACCACCCGCAAAGTGACCCTCCTGCCCCTCCGTGGGGTGCCCCGGCGGGTCAGCGTTCACCTGGACTATTCGGGAGGGACGGTGGCGTTTTTCGATGCGGATGAAGGGGGGCTCATATTTATTTTTTCGCGCGCCTCGTTCACCGGGGAGAGGGTCCGCCCGTGGCTCTGGGTGGTGGGGGCCAGGTCCCAGTTAAGGTTGCGTCCCTGAGGCGTGGGGAGCAGCATCTCCCCCTCCCCTTTTTACAGCTTCGGGGGACAATCCGATGTCTCCATCCCTCCCCCCACCTCTGTCGACTACAGTGAGCAGAAGAAAGGGGGACTTTGGCTTTTGTGTTTCTTCCTTCCCCATGAAGCTGGGAGATTGGTGCACAGGGGGGAAAAAAAAAAAAAAAAAAAAAAAAAAAAAAGGGAGAAGCCTGAGAAAAAATGAGGCAAAAAGCAGCTCTGGAGAGGGGAACGTGGGGCATAGAAATGGGGAAGAGTGGTAAAAGGGAAAAAATTCAGAGTGGCAGCAGTAGAAAGGCTGATTTTCCCAAGGTTTCTCTGATGTCCCTCTCTGAGCTGGTCACCTCCAAACCAAGGGGTCCCAACTTCACCTTTTTTTTTTTTTTTTTTTTTTTTGATCCTTCCTGACCTCCCACTGAGTGCAATTGCCCTAAACCAGACTGTTTCCCCTTAATAAAGGATCCTGGGGCAGCCAGTTAAGACACAGACATCTTCTCTCCAAGTTTGTGCTGTTGGGTGAGGTTAAGCCCAAGGCTGCAATGTGGGGTCTCACCAACATGGCAAAAGCTGCTCCTTTGTCCTCAAACAACTGATATTTGAAACCTCCATGCTGTAGGTCATTAATAATAAAAAAATACATTATTTTCTCCTCTGTGTCCTTCTCTCTGGTCTCGTGGACCTTTCTGGGTGCAAGCACAGCCAACCCCCAGGCTTTGTGCAAATAACAGGAATGAATGAGGTTTAGTCACCCAAAACTTCATTTCCCCCCTACTCAAACCCGACATCCAGAAGCAGCAAATAACCAGTCAGAGAAGCAGCATGTAAATCTTTTTACTTCATCTAAAACCATAAAATCAGAGAAGCAGTCAGGCTGGTGCAAGATGCTGCGAGGCAGACATGGCTTCATTTGTCAACCACCGATGCCCCAATTTGGGACACAGACCCACAGAGATGCTCAACCCTTCAGAATCACCGAGGACAGGAACAGAGGCCAGAAAGGTCAGTTTAGTAGATAGGAGTCCTCCAGAGTGCTGGAGATAGGGATGTTGGACATAAAACTTGTGTTTGGGTAAGAAGGGAGAGCCTCAGGGACACAGTGTGATCTGGGACCCCTCGCTCCACACCAGGAACCAGGGATGAACACTCTCCCCTTTGAATGAAGCTGCTGGGAAAGTGAAGATCAAGGCTCTCTTCTCAGCATCAAAAAATGCCACCTGGCCCTTCTCATAGTCCAGGGAGACCCGGACCCTTCTGGGGACCTGGATCTGGTAGAGCGGGATACGCTCAAGGGAGGTGAGAGCCCAAAACTGACCCTCACAGAGACCCATAGACCAGAGCTCCATCTCAGAGCCCACAGCAGGTTCTTCCCTCCTCTTCATGGAGGCCCCGGCCACCCCCACGGCCCAGGAACCTTTGGGTGTCACCTCCACCTCCCAGCAGCATCTCCCCGAGGTGATGCCCTCGCAGCCCAGCACGCAGGGGTCGGCGCCAAACCCTTCAGCAGGTGGGTCCTGCTGGGCATCCTCCCACCGCACGCTCCTCCCGTCCGCCGAGACGACGAGCTGGGGGTGAGCCGTGGATGGATCCAGGGTCACCTTCACTGCAAGGTGCAGAGAGGAGAGCGTCAAAGGAAGCCAAACCCACTCATTTGTTTTCTTCAGACACGGCAGCACCTTCCCCAGGTGACCCTTTCCAAAGCTCATGGCCCAATCCCACGGTGGGCTCAGCCTTCCCTCGGTCCTTCCCACTCCCTCACCTCCGGGAGATGTGGACTTACTCTTTTCAGGCAGCTCAAACATCAGGATGTCTAAAGGGGGGAGAAGAGACATTATCTGATATAACACACAGGTATCAGCATGAACGCAAAAACAGAGAGGTTGTTCTGCCACGCGGAGATCACATATGCAATTGCAATAAAATATAATCTATACGCTAAGTAAATAAATATAATTTATGCTTGCACAGGTATCGTTCTGTCTTCCTACCCCAGCTCAATACCTTGGAAGCTCCTCACAGCCTCCTCTAGAGTATTATTTTTCTCCCTGAAGTGATTAATTTTCTTTTCCAGCTCTGGAAGAAGCTGTGGGGGCTGCTGGCAATTTTCCTTTTCAAACCTAGAGGAGGACGACAAAGAAGAGGTGAGGATGCATCTTCTCAGAGAGACACCAAGAAATCTTTTGTGCACACCCATAGCTCAGAGGAGCTGGGGCAGGCTTTAATAAACCTGCTGCACGTTCAGCGATGGGTAGAGACACCTTCGCTCCGAGCCTTTGTCCCCAAGCCCAAATCTTTGACTCCTGAGGGAGGTTTTGTAAGGGTTTTCCTGTATCTGTCCTAACACAAGGTCCAACCTCCCTCCTCAGCCTGGGGTGGAAGGAGAAGCTGGGGAAGCCCCATACCTGCTCAAGGTGCCTCTGATGTCCTGGAAGAGAGGGAAGAGGGAACTCAGTGAATGGGTTTTGGCAGCAAAACATCTGCTGAAACCTCAACAGCATGGATGTGACTCTGACCCAGAGTCAGAAAACAGCCTGGACCCAGGCGGTGACAACCTGGCTCCATTCCCTTCTCCCTCACCTGCAAAAATTTGCTGGCTGGTTGCTGACACCTCTCCTCCATCTCCTGGATCAAGGTATCCAGACGAGAGATCTCCTTCGTCAGGCTAGTGACGTTTTCTTCCTGCATTTTCTCAATGTCCCTCTCCAGGTCCCCCAGCTGAGCCAGCAGATGACAGACGTGGTCCTCCAAGAAGAGACGTAGCCCTTCAAACTTGGAGAAAACCCTTTGCCGCTCGGCTTCGGTCTTCTCCTGGGAGGAGGGGATACAAGAAGGGAAAAGGAGGGTGGAGAAGGATGCAGCAAAATCCCACACATGCCAGTGACTGCACACCTAGAAAGAATCATGCCTCCAGTATCCTATATATATATTTTTTTTTTTTTTTTTTTTTTGCTTTGCATTCAGCAGTTGAGTCCGTGGCAGGTCTCTAGGCTCCACTTTTTTTTTTTTTTTTTCTTTTTTCCCTGCAGTGAAAAGTCAGGCAGCGTTGGGTTTGGTGCCTGGAAAGGGACCCCAGCCCCAAGGCAGAACAGAACCGTCTCCCACACGGCATCTCATCTGAAGCCAGAGACACATCCAGACCACCCGTCCTTCCTCATAAAAACATTTACCAAATACTCCCAGTTTTTCCTCATTTCAGCCTCTCGAAAGCCCAGGAGTTTGTCTCTGTCTTCCTTCAGGGCTTGCAGACGAGCCTGGATTTCTCCCTGAGGGAAGAAATAATAAAGACTATGTCTCTGGAGGTTGGGACAGCCTAAAAAAAACATATTCTGGGGAGTGGTCAACTCCAGAGCTTCTCTCGTGTCCCTCTTGGTCCTGAGCTTAAGACCTGGGAACGTTTTAAATGCAAATTAATGCCACATGGTGGAAAAGGCTTTCTGCTCTTGTCTGCACTGGATCCTTTCTCTGAGCTGATTTAACTCATTGATGCAGGAAGAAATAAAATCCCCTTTTTTACTGGCCCATATTCTTGCTGATTTAGAGAGCATCTTGGGATCAGCAGGTGCCCGGCAAGCTGGGCAAAGGCTTGAATTTTGCAGCGGGGAAAGGGAGGATGAAGACCTCAGCCCTTCCTCCACGGAGCATCAGGTTCTCACATGAGAACTGCGACAGCAGAAGCACCGACGCGTGGTCTGCGCTCTCATTTTGAAACGGGCTGCGGGGGAAGAGCAGAGGCAAACACCCTGAGGAGGGGGACAACATTTTTGCCCCCAACCTCCTGCCTTGGGTGAGGGCGAGATGTTTCACAGCCCGATGGTAACATCACGCTTTGACGGTGCTGGTCTGGCTCCTTGTGCGCATCTAGATGGGGGGAAAAAAATAAAAAATAAAAAAAATCAACTTTACCTTGTATTCCTGGACAGCATCTTGCACGGGAAGCATCGTGTGAGCCCGGTGTGCTCGGGACTCCCGGCAGATCGCGCAGATGAAGGCTTCATCATCTTTGCAAAAGACTTGCAGAGGTTCCCGGTGTCTCTCGCATCCTTCCTCCTCGACCGTCTCCCCCCTGGCCGCCCGCAGACTCAGCCGTTTGGCTATTTCCAGCACCCGCGCCAACTCCCGGCTGGGCCGAAAGTTTCTCTCCGGCGCGGTCTCTCGGCACTGCGGGCAAGAGAAATTCGCCGTGGACCACTCCCAGCAGCGGGTGATGCACGCCCGGCAGAAATTGTGACCGCAGTGGATGGAGACGGGGTCTCGGAAATACTCCAGGCAGATGGGGCAGGAGGCTTCACGGGGGAGCTCAGCGGCGGTGGGGCTCGGCGCAGCCATGGGGCGGCCCCCCCGCCCCTCTCTCCTGATGTGAGCTGCGAGACGTCAGACGCTTTCATTTTCCTCCCAGCAAGGGAAAGGCGTTTCCTTTCCTGCCGGCCCCAGGGTGGGCAGAGCCTTGGGCGGGAAGGGAGAGAGTGGGGTGATGGCCAAAGACCTCCTGGTTGCATCCCCCAGGGTGGTGCCTGTTCCCAAAACGGCCGGTACCCGCGGTCCGTATGGGCGTCCCGGTACCCACAGCCTGGCAGGGAGGAAGGATGGAAGGGAGGAAGGATGGAAGGGAGGAAGGATGGAAGGGAGGAAGGATGGAAGGGAGGAAGGATGGAAGGGAGGAAGGATGGAAGGGAGGAAGGATGGAAGGGAGGAAGGATGGAAGGGAGGAAGGATGGAAGGAAGTTCGGACGGAAGGGAGGAAGGATGGAAGGGAGTTCGGACGAGTCTTGGGGGGGTGAGACCCACATCGTGGCCGTGGGAGCAAAGAGGATTTGGGGAGGGGGCTTGACGTGGAAAAGATGGGGAAGAGCATCCAAGGGAAAAGGTGAAGCTTGGGAAGGAGGTTGCGTATCGCAGGGAGGGTGAGGGGCACCCACACCGAGCAAGAGAAGGGTCCCAGGATGGGGAGAGGGTCTTGCCCTCCCCTCGGCAGCAAATCGATGCTGCTGGCAGGCACATTTGCCTTTGCAGCGAGCGGTGCCCAAGGCGGAGGGGCGTGGGGGGAAAGCAGAGCCGGGAGGTGGGAAGCGGGACCACATCCAGCTCCCTCTGATCCTGGGAAATTTGCAGCCACTGACCCCCAACCACCGCCAAATCCTCCCATCCCTCCAGCTGCAGGCCTTCCACTGCTCCCACCTCCTGCATTGCAAATCGGGATCAGTTCCCAAGTCTTGGCTCATTAGCACGGTATTTCTCCAGGTACTGGTAGATACCAGCACCCCAGGGATCCCATTTCCAGCACAGAAGGGGCTGGATGCCCCAGACAAAAGCAACCTCATCCCCTTGCTCCCTGTCGGGAAGAGCAGCACTCAGTCCTTACATCCCTCTGGGAAAGTCTCCTCTGCACCAGGGGGGGTGGTTTTGAACCTCTTTAGCATTTGAACCATCCTTTTGAACTGACCCATTTGTAGCTTTGGCCATCACCATCCTACCTTCTCCTCCCCTGCACAGGCTGGCGTCAACCAGGCTGGAAAGAAAAAAAAAAAAAAAATTCCTTTCCCAGCAGACTTATTTTTCAGTCCAAACAGTTCCCTCATCTGGCTGATCCCCTGAAAGCAAAATTTATAGGGGAAAAAAACCCATCCCTTTCTCTGGTCTGTATTTAGATCTAACCCTGAAACTGTGGGAAAAGAAGGCGGGAGCAAAACCACACGATGCAAAGCAAGGAGAAAACTGAGGCAGGGTGGGTTGTGCGAGATGGTGAATTGTGGTCGTGCCCAGCCCCGTATCTATGGCCTGGAAGGAATTAAGCAGATTTTCACAGAAAACCTTTGATTACTACTTTTCCCCCCTCTCTCGCACAGAGGCACCGAGCAAACGCCATCCTGACTTCCAAAAGAGAACCTCCAGCTCCCTCTTGAGCCCACACTCACTAACAGCCCCTGTTGATTACTCACAGCCAATTAAGGGCTGGTTTGAAGAGGGGTGTCGTTATTTGTAACCTGGCTCATGCCCAGCCCAGGTTAGCTGTAAAAAAAACAAAACACCACACCAAACCCACCTTTAGGGGCTGAGCCAAGCGACCTGCAAAGTCAAATCAAGCCTTTAAGTGAGTTTTGCCTTCAGGCTTAAGTTTGATATTGAGGGGGATGGGTACCCCACGGTTCTCTTTGCAGCTTGTTGCTATTCAAGACCACGTTCAGCATCATCTAGACATCTCAGTCTCCCCCTTAGCTTACACATCCCTTACCCAAATGTCCCCCGCACCAACGATGGGCTCAGACACCCCTGTTCTCTCCACTGGGGGAGAGGCAGCACCAAAGCTCTGCTGAACTTTCTCCAGGAGTAAAATTCCCTTGCTGAGGGCATGGGAGTGATGAATCACAAAGGGTTGGCTCAGCAGAGTCAACAGACACACAAGGATGCTCCTCCAAAGCAGCTTGTAAAGAGACTAGACCCCAGGACTGAGCTTAAATAAGAGCTCCTGGGCCATGGGCAGGGGGTGGGGGGGTCCCAGGTGGGGCTGTTTAGGGCCCTTAATGCTCATGGGTGCCCCAAGGCCTTGGCGAAATCAACTGGCATTGGGTTTAGAGATGCATTTCCAGGCACATCAAGCTCTCTTGAAGCCTAAAAGAGGCAGAGCAAAGAGCAAAGCTGCTGCTGGTGATGGCTGGGGGAGTTCTCTCGCGATGTGACTCGTGTCGGTGACTGGGGAGGAAACGTGGCTTTTGGTGCTGGTGGAAATGTGGCAGCGGTGACGATGCTGCCAGAACCTGTGGGATAGCAGGAGGGAGAAGAGCAGGAGTGAAAGCCATGTCCTAAAAGCAAAAGTCAAAGTCGAGCAGTCCCCAAGGGAAACTATCCACCCTGACACCAGTCCCTGCACATCTCATTCCTCCCTAAATCAAACTTTAACTCCAGTTTAACGGGGAGGAAAAAAAAAAAAAAAAAAAAAAAAAAAATAGTGTCTTGAGTATGAAACCGCACCACAAGTTTCGGTCTGAGTGTTTGTGTGCACGGTGCTCTGCACCGGAAAATCTTGCCCCCGAAAACACTTGCAAACAAATAACGGCGGGTGCGTTATTTACTGCTGTTCTCAGAAAATGTGTCGCTTCATTACCCAGCCTCGGCCCAATGCAAATAAATCCCGTTCACTTCCACACGCAAAGGGCCAGGAGCTCCTCCTCCACCTGCCTCGATGGTCCACGGGATTGAGTGATTTCAGTGTTTCTTGTCTAAGAGGAAGAAGGATGATGTTGTTGTCCCTCCAAGAGAGCTGCAGAGGGATGGAGGGGAGGAGAGGAGGACATTTACCACCTTGGTGTCATGAATCCCGATTTGGGATGAGGTCTTGGTGGGTCTGGGGGCTTGTAGCTACACCAAGGGGCTTTGCAGGAAAACCAGGGGTGCTGAGGCTTTCAAAAACCGATATACAAAGAGCAAGGGGAGGCTCATGGGGTGAAAGCACGTTTCTGCAGGCAGGCACCCAACCGACCGTGCAAGGTCAGCGCAGCCGGAGTGAGGTGACATTGCGAATCGAAAAGCAGCCATGGGAAGGGAGATATCCACTGCTGGGAGGACGTTCCTGCAATATCACCTTTTTGCCCCAAAAGGCAGTGGCTGAGGGCTGAGGGCAGCTCTCCCTGCGGCACGGTGGGATCTTGGGCGCAGGAGAACGCATTTCGGGGCTGGTTTCAGGGCTGACCACGAAGTTATTTTATTTACAGGGTGGAAGAAAATCCTTTCCTTTCCTTAATTGCAGGTGCTTGGAAGAAGTGGGAAATTAAAGATAAGAGGATACGTGGTAATTGGCTGCTGCTTGACTCCAGGCTCAGCCCTGAACCATGAAAGAAACAGCATCCTGTTTAAAAGGAGAATCAAAAGCAACAATAAAAGTATTTATAGCTGCACGTACAGACGCAGAAATGAGGACGCTGGCGAAGCCAGCAGTTGGGTATGTTAAATAATAAAGAGGTGAAATGAGCAGCGAAAGACGTGTCTCAGTGGTTTAAGTAGAAGAAGGGAGACTTTGGCTTGCTTAAGCTCTCTTCCCATGGCTGTGCCCTTCAATTAATAAATTAAAAGCGCATTTATTAATGAGAAATGAAACCAGTCTGGTTTCTGGGTGCTCGACCCCATGGGGAGCCTTGGGGCAGGGGCTACTTCTCTTTTTGCCTGGGTATTTTTTTTTTTTTTTTTTTTTTTTGGGGGGTGGGGGTAAGTGTGATGATACAGAAGCTGCAGGTGGATCTTTAACAAGCCCGGAAATGATGAAGAATGTTTATCTTCCATTTAATCTCTTTTCAACGCCACCGGGGTCCCTGGGGAAAGGTGTGTGTGTGTGTGGGGGGGGGGGGCCTTCACCCTTCCCCTCTGCAGCCGCTCAGCGCGGCGTTTTGCACGGCGGCGGTTGCAACCCGGAGGAAAGCCGGCGCGTCTCGGCAGCGAAACTCCTCCGCCGCTCGCTTTCACCTCCCTCGGGGCCCCGAGGCACCTGCAGGAAGGGGAGCAGCCAACGGGCAAGACCAGCCGGGGCGGAAAACGAAAGCTGCCCCGTCATCCTCGCCGCCAAGACCATGGCTGCAGACAGCCCTGCCGAAAGTTTCCGCGACGAAGCTTCTTGCTCCATCTGCCTGGGCTTCTTCCAGGACCCCGTCTCCATCCACTGCGGGCACAACTTCTGCCGGGCGTGCATCACCCGTTGCTGGGAGGAAGCCGAGGAGAATTTTACCTGCCCTCGGTGCAATGAGACGGCCCCGCAGAGAAACCTGAGACCCAACCGGGAGCTGGCGAAAATCATCGAGATAGCCAAGCGGCTGAGCTTGCAGGCAGCCAAAGGAGGGGTGGGGGGGGAGAGGCTGTGCGAGAAGCACCAGGAAGCTCTGAAACTCTTCTGCGAGGAGGACCAGGCTCCTATCTGCCTGGTTTGCAGAGAGTCCCAGGCTCACCGGGTCCACGCCGTGGTCCCCATCGAGGAGGCTGCGGAGGAGCACAGGGTAGGAGAGGTCTCCGTGGGGATGCGGGAGGGAGAAGGGGGGGCCGGGTCGGGGAGCTGTTCTCCTGGCAGACCCCTGGATGTCGATCCCTTTTCAATCTGCTTTCTGCATCGTGTGAGCTGGGTCGCAGCCGCCCCCCGACCCCGCCTGCTCCGTGGTTCCCCTCCCTCGAATTGCTGGTCCCCCCAACTATCTCGGAGCTGTCATTCCCACACCATCGCAGTGTCCTCTCGGAAACCATGCTGGAGAGAAGCCCACGAGACCATCTACCCCCAGCTCCTGCTCAAAGCGGGGTCAGATACACTGTCTCAGATATTTGGGGCGCAGGAGATGCCGTAGGTAGATGTTGAGGACAGAATCTGGTTTTACGGTGCTGGTGTGTGAGGTGGGGTTGGGTCTTCCAGCATGTCAATGGTCTGGGCTCCCGTTTCACTGCTTGCCTGGGCTGGTTGTTGCGAAAATTGATTTTGCTGAAGGTGGGAAGAAGCATTACCTCTCATCGCAGATGTGTGATGTAGCCCCGATCTCACCACACAAGGGTGATGGAGGGTATGGTCTCCCCACCACAAACTGGCTCGAATGTCCCATCCAGGCTTCGAGGTTGTGACCCAAAGCACATTCCTTGGCAGCTGAACTGAGCAAACAGCCCGAGCTTGTAAGTTTTGGGTCAGCACTGAGCACAGGCTGAACCCGAGCAGATGCCAGCAGGGTGTCCTCAATCACTGAAAGCTCCTTTTCCACCAGTTCAGGACTTTGCCTGAGTCTTTTCCAATCTATGCCATGAATTTCACTCTGGTTGTTGAAGAAATCAACCCGTTCTGTCTGCCCCGCTCTCCCAGAAATCAGGGTTGATGTGTTCCCAGAGTCAGATTATTATGCGATTAAGCAGGGAAGAATCTGAGTTTGTAGGAGATAAACCTGGATATGTGGGATGAGGGTAGAGGGATGGACCCGCTAGAAGAAGAAAATGCATCAACAAGGTGTTTCTTCTCCTCTCAGGAGAAATTCCAGGCTCACGTGCAGATCCTGAAGGGCAGGAGAGAAAAGCTGCTGGGGCTGAAAATGGATGAGGAAAGGAAAAGCCTGGACTTCCTCGTAAGTGTCTATCCCTGGTGGCTTTCTCCTTTTCCTTTTGGTTGTCCCTCTGGCCATGGTGATGGAGGTGGAGACACGAGATGTGCCCCAGCCAAAGATCAGATCTCCACGGTCCCTCGCAGATGCACGGGAATGTCCTCTCCATTGGGGTGAGGTCTGGGGGGTGGTGACAGGCTTGTCCCCAGGGTGGATTAAAAAATACTCCCATTTTCCCCATGTCTCCTTCTCCTTGTATGTCTTAGCAGGCTGGGAGCACGCGTTGAATTTTGCCAAGTTATTGTTGATCTTCTTCTTCCTCGGTTTGCTCGCAAGTGGGGCGCCTTCCCAGATTCCCCCTATTAATACATACAGAAAATGGAAACCACCCGGTTGCTTCTTTCTTGCCTTGTTTTCCCTTTCCCTGACCTCTTTTGCTGACTAAACTATTTACAGTTTTATTTCATATCTTCCCTTGTTGTTCAAAGGTCTGGAGCATTTCGGGTACAAAGATTACAGTCCGTGGGAAATGTCCTTTGCTGGCAACTTCAGCCTAGAAATGGCAAAAAAAAAAAAAAAAAAAAAAAGTGTCTTAATTATTTCTCTGCTCTGCAACGGGCACTGGAATTTATGGCTGTGTTATAAGTCATCATGTTAAATCAGCTCCGTTGCATTTTCTCTTGAGCATTTTTGTCCCCAGCCTTGCCTCTCCCTTGTGTGCGTCGGTTATTGTTGCAGGAAAAAGTGGAAACGGAGCGGCAGAAGGTTGTGTCTGAAGTCAAGGAGCTGCGCCAGTTCGTGGAGGGACAGGAACGGCTCCTCTTGGACCGGCTGGCAAAGCTGGACGAGGAGATCAAGAGGAGACAGGAGGAGACCATCAACGGGCTCTTGGAGGACATCTCCTCCATCGGCGAGCAGATCCGAGAACTGGAGGAGAAGTGTCAGCAACCAGCGTGTGAGTTCCTGCAGGTGAGACCTCGGGCCCCTCTGAAGACCGTTGGCCTTGAACACCAGAGGTGTCACCAGTCGAGGTGTCAAATTAATTCTAAATACTCCTTTTAAAAAGTACCTTTCGGTGTGCTTTGCTTTTTAATTTCATTTTATTTTATTTTTTATGTAAATTATTTTCTTCAACGAGCACAAGCTATGGCCCAACTGTCCACTTGAATATCTTATATCAATCACAGTCTGTTCACATGGCTGTCTATTTACACGGGTGTGGGGTTCATCCATCTGGTTGTACATGTCTCCACCCAAAGCGGTTGTCCAAACGCCTTTGTACACAATGGAGAGACAACCAGCACTCATCTTGTCCTTCGGAAGCCACCCAAACCCATCACCAGAGCCCCCCTCCAGGCTCCAATTAACTCCTGCTTCAAAACATTCAAATGTGCCGAAGCAGCGGCGTGGGTTAGCAGTGATAACGCCCGCCCTGGGAGAGCAGGAACACGACAGGATGGTGGGTGATGGCAGATAACTCCCACGAGCTGCTCATTAAACGACCTTGTCGTGACCTCGCCTGACTCCCCAGCAGACCTGCAGATCGGTATTCAGGGACCCATTGCAGACCCAGCACTCAGAGCAGTGCCTCGAGTTGCCCGAGGTCACCCCACCGCCCTGCGGTAGCTGCTGGCTGTTTGCCCATCGCGCCGATTTTGCCCTGACCTAATGCTCCTCCTCTCGTCTTTCCCTTGTAGGACAGCAGAAACATCTTGAGCAGGTTTGCGGCTCCTTTCACACGTGTTCTTGCGAGGTTAACGTGGTTTAACTCTGCGGTGGTGACACCGGTGGGCTCCGACACCCCAGCTGCTGATGGTCCCTGTATGCTAGGGACTGTGTAGGCACATAGGGGACACCTCAAAAGGTCCAAGCAGGATGCTGAAGACCAGGGAAAGGTATCAGACGGGATGATGGTACCCCCAGCTCTGCTGCAGCTTCTTCTCTGTGGTCCATCCAAAACCACCTATCCCTGGAGGGTGGAGCTTTCACTCCCAGCCCTCACGAGCCCGTCAAAAATAGCAAGCCAGCACCTAAAAATGTGCAGAGGTTTAAACACTAAGGAGTGCATCCAGGTGGAAGGGAATCCTGTGAGAACTTCCAGCCCTATAACAGACCAATTCATGCCCTCTATGGACACGGATCGAGGAGGTGGGTTACTGGAAAGACAAAAGTGGGCAAAGAAAGGCATTTTTTTTTTTTTTTAATTGCCTGAATTTCCCTTGATGTAGAGCGCTACTGGTCATGACAGAAAGCCTTCACCATCCAGGGACTCTTCACTGGTTTGGGAACAAAATCGATATGTACTCTGGGCCAGCAAACCCTTCTCTGGGAGGTCATTAATGAGCGCCCTAGGACCAAGCCTTTGCTTTAGTCCTACCATCACTTATTTCTTTATATGAAATCCCAGTGCATAAGGACAGCTATGAGTGAAGGAAGCATTATTAGAAAGGTCTTCCTTCTTCCCAGGCTTGAGAAGGACAATGCCCAGAAGCCAGCAGAGACATCGCCTGAGCTGGAAGAGAAAGCCACTGGTCTTCCCCAGAAAAATATTGCCCTCAAAGAAATGCTGATGAAATTTCAAGGTAACGAGAAACGGGGGAGGAGGGGGGGTTTGAGGTTGTGCTAGGTCTGTCTGCAGCAGGTCTGAGGAAGGAGACCTCAGCTTAGTAGGAGAAGTCCTGGTGAAATGCTGCAGAGAGAGACTTCCAACGTGCCCTGCAGAGCTGTGGCCATATTAACAGAGCAAGAAGCGATTAGTGTGGTTGATTACGTGAGAGAGGGCGAGTCTGCCTCCCGGCAGAGCTCGGGGAGCACAATTAGTGTCAGGCTGCTCACGCAGGGTCAGCAGCACCTTTGGGAGTGATCTCTCTGAATGAGACCAAAGGCGAAAATCGCAAATATTTCCGCACGGGAACTTAAAAAAGGGAAGTTGTAGGACACCTGGGGATTTCTTTCCTCTTCTCAATGACCTGGAGACTCCCAGAAGAAATATCCACCCCTCAAAGCCTTATTTTTAGTCTCAGTCAAGTTCGCTTTGAGCAGTTGTCTTTTCTACTCTTCCAGTCTTGCTCGTGCGCATAAACCCATTCCCGCTCCGCTCCAGCGAACAGGGACTGGGAGCTGGAGCATCCCAAGGCCAAGCTGGGGGAAGAGGGGGAAAACGTGACCCCAGCACCCTCGAGGAACGGGCTGGTGATGCTCATCTTCTCTCTGTTCCCCAGTCAGTCTGACGCTGGACCCAGAGACGGCTCACCCCCGGCTCGTCCTGTCCGAGGACGGCAAGCGCGTGAGATGGGAAGACACCCGCCAGCCCGTACCCGACAACCCCAAGCGCTTCGACTCGTCGCGCTGCGTCCTGGGCTGCGAGGGTTTCAGCGCGGGGAGGCATTACTGGGAGGTGGAGGTGGGCGATGGGGAAGCCTGGGCCGTTGGGGTGGCCAGGGAGTCGGTGAGGAGGAAGGGACGGATCAGCGTCAACCCCGAGGTGGGGATTTGGGCGGTGGGGCAGTGCGGGAGCCAGTACCAGGCTCTCACCTCTCCTACCATCCCCATCTCCCTGCTCGCTGCTCCCAAGGTGATTGGGATTTACCTGGACTACGAGGCGGGGCGAGTAGCGTTTTTTGACTCCAATAATGAGGCCCCCATCTTCACCTACCCCCCGACGTCCTTTGCAGGGGAACAAATCCTCCCCCTGCTCTGCCTGGGGAGGGGGTGCCAGTTCACACTCTCCCCCTGACCCCCCGTGGGCCAGCATCCACTCGAGTCTCACTCGCCGGGGCGCGGGGAGACCACGCGGGCTCATCACCCCAGAGGTGGCTTTTGGGAGCATGAAGGATGCGCTCTCCGGGATGAAAAATTCTCCTTTCCCCATCGTTTCTGTCAACAAGAAGCATCAGTCGGTTCAGAGCTTGAACGGGAGAGGGGCTGCGCTGCTCCCCCCAAAAAACTCGCCTCGCTTTGTCATCAGGCGGCTCTCCTGGCGATGAGGCATCCATGCCCATAAATCCCTTCCAAAATCCAAATTCCAAAACGAGGCAAAAGCCTGGAGGACTTCAAGTTCTACGCGGTCTCTGGCAAGGTGGTAATAATCCAATCCAAGGGCGAGATAGGCAAGGCCTGATCTGGTGGAAGGGTACATCAAATCCCCCAAAGTCCCTGCACCCCCGGCGGGAGCTTGCGTGGGCTCGGCGCTTGGGGCTGTGTGATGTCCGCATCTTTGGACGCCGTGAGCACTCATGTCTCCATGAGCAGCCACCCAGGCCGCGGGCCCTCCGGGGTGGGTGGAGAACGGTGGCAAACTGTAATTTATCTCCTCCAGAAAGGGCCCGACAAGAGCGTGTAGGAGTATTTGCTTCTCCCCTCTCGTTACAGAGAGAGCCCTGATTGACTAGATGGCATGGAGACACGTCTCCTGTAGATACCTAAACCCGTGAGCAATAAAACCTTCCCAAGGCAGAGCTGGACTTGACCTCTTATTGAGCAACAGGCTGAGCTGATGGCTGATGAATATTTGGGGGTGTACGGAGGATCCCAGGCGGGCTGGAGGGTGCTCACGGGAGCCTTTCCCAATGGACGGAGTCGGTGTTTTCCGACATCCAAACCGATCGTGCGGCTGTGCCTTGGGTCACTTGAAAAGCTCGGGTTCCCTCAGCCGCCAAGCGCGCACCGCGGAAATGAGAAAAGAAGAAGTTGCAGCCTGGTGTTGTGGTTATTTTGGCCTTGTAGTTCAAGGGCAGCGAAGGGGGAACCTCGGCGGAATCTCCAGCTGGGCAGAGCGAAGTTTTCTGTCAGGGATAACTACCCCTGCATCACACGATAGCGCTTCTGCTCAAATTCCCGAGAGTTTCAGTCTTTAAGTCAGAGTTAGGAGCCAAAATGCATTTCAGGAACTCAGCCCTACGCGGCAGCAGGTGATTGAAGACGTTCTCTCAGGCCTCCACACACCCAGGTATATGCAAAACCCTCCTGGAAGCTGCTGCACACCCCACAATTAAATTATTTATATATCTCTCTATATATATATAATAACTTTTTGCATGCAGAGGACGGCCCTGCTTGTTTGCTTTGCGTAGGCAGGAGAATTCGCAGCGCGAGCAGCGCAGCCCGAGCTTCTCGTCATGCAAGAGCGAGGCGGCGCGCCCCAGGGAGAGCGCGTCCGGGATGAGCAGCTCCAAACTGGTTCCCAGCAGCAAGCGACGTGCAAGGGGGGAGCGAGGGGTGGCCCTTGGCTTCCTTTCCTCCCAAGAAACCCCTGGATGGGGGGTAAAGGGGATCACCGGGCAGCCAGGGAAGGTCGCTATTCGCCGAAGGAATAGCTGGGACAACGGCTCTGCTTGAGCTGCGGCGGTGAGGGGAGGGGGTGGAGGGCGCGGTGAGGCTTGAGGGGGGAAAAAGACCGAAAATAAATGGGAAATCGGTGAAAAAAAAAAAAAAAAAAAAAGCAATAATTGGGATTGGCTGCACTCGAGCCGTGTGCGATGAGTTGCGCACGGCCTCCCTGGTGGTCTAGTGGTTAGGATTCGGCGCTCTCACCGCCGCGGCCCGGGTTCGATTCCCGGTCAGGGAAGATAAAGCCTAATTTTTTTTTTTTTTTTTTTTTTTTTTGGGTAAAAAGCTTTTCATATTATAACAACGCGCCTCACTAGAAACACTCCTTCCCTCCTCTTTTTCTTCCTACCCCTTTCCACGAGTGCACACCTCCCTCGGCAGAGTCCCCTCCACCTTTTTTATTTAACGATGGGTAGCGTTTATTTTTATTTTTTTTTTTTTTTTTTAAATGGGTGTTATTTCTTATTTCGAAATGTTATTTCACAGGGGGGGTGGTAGCCGCGAGATGTGTTCACGCGAAGTGTGCGGAATCCTGGGAGAAGGTGGAGCGGCAGTATTTTCGCAAAAATAAAAAAAAAGAATTAAAAAAAAAAAAAAAAAAAAAAAAAAAAAGGAGAAATAACGGATAAAAATAAGGAAAAAAGAAAAGCATAGTGTTTCTGCCCGGTTTCGAACCGGGGACCTTTCGCGTGTGAGGCGAACGTGATAACCACTACACTACAGAAACACCCGTGGGTGCCCCTGCGCGCCTGCCCGCACCCCAAACCGCCGCCTCCAGGGACGGGGCGCGGGGCGGAAACCCTGAATTTGGTAAAAAATAATAATTAACCCCCCCCACACGAAATAGGACTTTCTGTGCCCTCCCCACGGCACGGTGGGACACATGGCTGGGAGAAAAATCTGAACGGACTCGATTTTAGCGAGGTGGTCGCGCAGCGCTGCGGGGGGTGTCGGCCGGGGGGGAGCCGCTCAAAAAGGGGAAAATGGGCTTTTTCGGAGGAATGAGCCCCCCCCCGAAAAAATAAAAGACACCTGTCAGGAGTGGGATTTGAACCCACGCCTCCACATGGAGACCAGAATACCCACGCGCGGGAAAGCAGAGCCTTGAGTCTGGCGCCTTAGACCACTCGGCCATCCTGACGGTGCTGAAATGCGGCCAGAAAAGGGAACATAGCGATACTTTAAAATGAAGTGTTTTTTGGCTTTTTTATTTTTTTTTCTTTGAGTTTTTCGGGAAGTTTTGAGAGTCTTTGGGGGTTTTAAGAGGCGGGGGAGGCTAAAAAGTGGGGAATAATTTTCAGCTGAACGGTGGTAGCATGGGGGGAAAAAAAAGTATTAACCGCCCAACGTGGGGTTCGAACCCACGACCCTGAGATTAAGAGTCTCATGCTCTACCGACTGAGCTAGCCGGGCTCCACAAAAACCTTTTTTCTGCCCTCATTTTGGTGCGGGATTCTGGTGGTTTCAGGTCTTCTCAGCAGAGTGATTTTAAACTTTATTTTTTTTTGGGGGGGGGGAAAAGGTTGAAAAGAAAAAATCTCCTCGTCCAACCCCTGCGAGGCGATTTGGGGATTTCTGCAAATTCATGCGAGTTTTGGTTCCGCAATGAAAAGCGCTACGAAACGCTCCCCCCGCTTCGAAAAATAACAGCGACAAGCAGCAGGAAGGTGGGATTATTCCGCGTGAATTCTGTGGAAAAGTTGTTTTTTTGTTTTTATCTTTTAAATTATTTTCACTCGTGTTTTAGTGCCAAACAGGGCAGAGGGAGCTCTTAAAGGGGCCGCGGCGCGTTTCTGTAGTGTAGTGGTTATCACGTTCGCCTCACACGCGAAAGGTCCCCGGTTCGAAACCGGGCAGAAACAGGCCGAAACAGTTCCATTTTGATGAATTTTCATTAATTTAATCCAAATTCTGGACTGGCAGCCCCAGCGAAAATCTGTTGCAGAAGGGGATTTCTTTTAGTCTATGCATTCATATTTTTTTTTTTTTTTTTTTTCCCTGGGGACGCAGGGTGGCCTGGAGTCTCAACCCCATTGTGGAGGGCTCTGTCCCCTGCACTGGGGACAAATGTCGTTTTGAGGAGAAATGTGCAGGAATCCGTTAAAGGGTCCGTGTCCCCCAGCAGCCCCCCCAATATGGGGAAGGAGAGCAGAGTAAACGCCACATAAATTCAGTGCGTGTCCTCCCCCCAGACCATAGGAATATTATTATTACAAAACCAGCTCGGCTGCTTTGATCTTCTGTGGCTTTAGAATTTTCTAGAGAAAAGCAGAAATCAAGCAAAGAAATGGAAGGAATTTATAAATTCATCTAAATGTTAAGAAAAACTTGATTTCCTTTTCCCTGACCGGGAATCGAACCCGGGCCGCGGCGGTGAAAGCGCCGAATCCTAGCCACTAGACCACCAGGGAGCTGATTTTTGCCTGAATTTTACCAATCTCATCTTTTATCTCTGCACGTTTAGACACCTCAGACTTACCGCTTCCCATCAGCCCAGCAGAAGTTGTCTTTATCTCGGCAACGAAATTAATAAAATAATTAAAAAGTTAAGGAAAAAAATAGAAAATTTAAAAAAAAAAAGTCAAATTAATTACAATTATTCGGTTTTTAGTAAAATAGCTCTCCCTGGTGGTCTAGTGGCTAGGATCCGGCGCTTTCACCGCCGTGGCCCGGGTTCGATTCCCGGTCAGGGAAGTTTTCCTTGTAGAAAAGGGTGAATTTAATTTTAAAAAAATCATTATTTTTCCTCCTCAGGGTCCCTCAGGGCTTCTCTGCGCGGCGGAGTTGGGCCGCGTCCCAACGAAAACCTCCCCGCTCCCCCCCCTCCAGTGTGGATGGCTACACAAAACCGCCCGTTTTTTCGACTGTTAAAGGCGAATTTGAGGGAAATTTGGGGAGGAAAGGAGGTGGGAAAAGGTGGAGACTTGGGTCCATCCTGTCACGGGTGGGTCCTCCCCACACCCACGTCGTGTTTCTGTAGTGTAGTGGTTATCACGTTCGCCTAACACGCGAAAGGTCCCTGGTTCGAAACCAGGCAGAAACAGCTTTTTTTTTTTGGGGATTTTTTTCACCTCTTTTTGCTTTTCAGCAAAGCCCAGAGCAGCAAGGCTGGGAATCAGAAGGTGAGAAGGGCCGTCCCGGCTGGCAAAACCTTAATTTTCTATACCACATTGCACACCTATAAACATCATTTTAATTATACATATAGGTATCAACGCTTTGATTCTTGCAAAAAATACGCATTAACGCTCTGCAAACAGAACTCACCCTTTTTCTTGGTTTTGGGGTTTATAACGGAGGAACGCAACTCAAAACCGAATCGGGGGAAATGCCCAATCGGGGCACAAACGTGTTTTCTTTGGCTGGGGCAACGGAAGCAAGTGCGTTGGGTTTTTTGGTGTTTTTCTGGGAAAAAAAAAAAAAAAAACAACAAAAAAAAAAAGAGGCTGTTTCTGCTTGCTTTTGCACCGAAGATCTTTGGCGCGTGTGGGAAACGTGCGGCTGAGCGTGGAAACCCCTTGCAGGCACCAGGGCAACTCCGTGGTTTTGGGGTGAGGCTCCACAAGCGGAAGAGTGACGGGCGGGAAAAAATGGGCTAAAACCAAGCGGGTTTGGGGTCTGGGCTGCGGGGAGCAACGCGGGGGTGAGGGGCCTTTCCCAGCGGGGTTTTGGGGCGCGTGGGAGCACCCAGAGTGGGAGACGGGGTTCACCCTATTCCAGATATGGTGCAAAACCCCTGATTCACCCCGTTTCTGTAGTGTAGTGGTTATCACGTTCGCCTCACACGCGAAAGGTCCCCGGTTCGAAACCGGGCAGAAACAGGCCAAAAAAATTTAATTTTGATGAATTTCCCCCCCCCCCCCCCCCCCCATCTTGCAGCTATTAAAGGAGTTGGATGACCCTGTGCGGGGACGGTGACATTCGAGTGTCCTTGAGCAGCGACCTTGGCCGTGCCCGTTGCGAAGCGATGACTGGAGACTCCCCCTCCTCTTCGGGGTGTCTTCCTAGGGTTTTGTTTTGGTTTGTTTTCTGCCTTAAAAAGCACTTGGAACTGGAGAATTCTCTCAGTCTTTCCAAAGTAGCAGTGCTGGGTTTCCCTTGGTGGTCTGCCCATGAAGAAGGGTGTC